CAGTGAGCGCTCAGTGATCGCTGGTGAGCGCTCAGTAACTCTAGCTGAGCGCTCAGCGGCCCACATCGTCTGCTCAGTCTTATCTTATCGTCACGTGATTTGCACCATAGTTCTTCCGTTTCCGAGCGAGTCCCTGTTGTTTCCGTGATCCTGCAATACAAATGTCCTGTCCTAGCCGCTCGATGCCCAAGTGGGTCGGTTAACTGTTATCCTGCATAACGGGTCGTAACAAATAACTACTCACTTGGTTTTACTGTTACATAAAACTGCTCAGGTTGCCCGTCAATCTGGTGTCCCTTTTCTCCGGTTGGCGATTGGAAATAAACTACTAATAATTTCACTGTTCCAAGCTGAAAGTACTTGAAAACAGCTTTATTTAAGTAACTTGAGTAGACAAGTACTGAATCCAGTCCGAAGTTTCGTCCACCCTGACCGAGGTTTACCGAGATTTACCAAGATTTACCGAGATTTACCGAGAGTTGAAAATTACCCCAATTTCCTGCAGGGTGCATCTATGTAGATACCTTATGTCTCGGGGCGCCATCTCGTTACCCCGCAACCCCCAAGTTGCCCATTTCTCCTCCTGATTGCGTCTGATCTCACTCCTGACATCAACAACTTGAAGCAACTCAAAACCGCTCACAACCCAACCTCCTACCTCCGCAACACTCGGCTTGGGCCATGGCGTTTGCGGCCCCCGTCAGCAGAGACGGGTTCTCTTTCGTAGGCGACTCCTTTTCCGTTTCTGCGAGCGGCCATGTTCACCGGCGGAGCACGCTACCAGAACTCAAGGCGCACTTCAAAGCAATCGGGAGTGGCAAAGATCAACCGGGCCACTGGTACGAAGCCCAACTTCTTCACTATGGCCTTGCCCCCTCCAAGGTGAAGGGTACGGCCAAAATGCGTCTTATGGAAGCTGTTGCTGCTGGGAAAATGACAGTCCCAGCTTCGCTGACTGCTCTGGAAAAGGACATGAAGAAGGAGTGGACCAAGGCGAATAAAGCTACCATGGTTGCAACATCCAAGCCATCTGGGACAAGAGCCGCAGGTGGAACTAAGAGGAAGGCGACTGATGTGCAAGTCGTTGCCACCGGTGGAACATCTGTCAGTGTTTCAGTTACCGTGAACCACGGAGCGGATGTGCATGCCGCGAAGAAACCGAAGGCCACTCCAAGAACCACGTCTACGAAACAGGGTGCAACAAAGACGACCAAGTCTGCCACGCCAAAGGCCAACGGGCCGAAAACCAGTGCATCACGAACAAGCATGCGTGATTCTTCTCCTACGTCGCTTGGCCAAAGTCGACAAACAAACGCTCGACTTGCGACGTCGACGTCATCTCCAGTCCCTCGGAAGCAATACGCACGCCGAGGAAATCCTAATTTCGGAGGTCGAATCAAGGATGAACCTGACTTTGAGGACGAGTACAACAGCAGCTCATTCGACTGCACTCCAACTGGTGCTGCCTCCTCTTCCACTGGTTCATCTCGCCCAAGGCAGACTGCTCGCCGCGGTAACCCTAGCTTTGGTGGCAGAATCAAGCGCGAACCTGTGGTCAAGGACGAATTTAACGAAATACCTGCTCCCGTTAGTCTTCTGCCCCTCGGTCTGATCAATGGTCGCTACGAGGTTGTGTATATGGGCTTTGGCCGCAGTTATCTGAACGAAGACTATCGTTACCTTGTATGCACCATTGAGGGCGATCGACTATGGGTGTCTTTTGATTTCAAGGTCGTCAGAGGTGTTATGCAAACACATACGCGACCGATGGTGTCTGACCTGGAGCCATTGCTGTTTCACTGGTGCGGAGAAGGACCAGACGGCAGGACATACGACTATTCTCATGAAGCGTCTTTGACTTTCGTTGGGGGCGGGGTGATCGAGGGTACTATCGAGTTCGCGTGCTGGAAGTATGATTTTAGGGCAGAGCGCGTTAGTGGTCAGCCTACGAGGAGTCAAATCCCTGCGTACGAAATGCGCGATAGTTGGGAGGCCTGGTGCGCTGGATAAGACATTGCACCCTCTAATCTATCAGTTAATTGCATATGCTCCTTCTAGTCCGTGTCGATTGGCCATTCACACGATCAATTAGTCTAGGTACAGAAGTAGTACACAGGTATGGAATCAGTCAATTTATATCCGCTCTGGACATATGGGCATGTGCTTTCACTTGAATAGGAACTTTTCTACCAATACTGTATTGTCCTCTCAGTATTACTGACTCCTCAACCTATCTCAAATTGCTACTTTCAGGACATGGTGGCAGAGTGTTTGTGAAATTGTGGCGCGAGACTTGGAATCTTGTTTCTTTGGGAGAGTCTATTCGAGCCAGGTTCACGCCGAGATCCTCTGATGATTCCGCACACTTTTAAAATGCCCGAGTTTGCGTGGCGCCAGAAATCTGACGAGAACGGCTTCATATGACAAAGTTTGTGTAAAGGATCATATATTGGGATTTGTTTTCATGACGAGACTCGTTTGGATGAAGAACATCGTACGGACCTATCTAAGGCGTTTGTTCCGAATCCCGTCAGAAATAGCCATTCATATGGGCAATACTGCATCCTTCGCACAGCACCAAACTCCTCACGTCCCATTTGCGACGCCCAACACCTCTGCAAAAGTTCATCACTAAGTTGCAAAGTTTTCTTTGGTCCTCGTGATGTTTTTGATGTAGTTGTGATTCCGGCTCGTGTACGTTCTCGAGCACAAATCTTATGACGAAGTCTACCCAGTTGCTCGAAAAGGGGCTCGAGGTGCTGCGCTGCACTATTTGAAGTACGCACACCGGACAGTCTCCGAGATCATCGGTAGCATCTCGTTTGGCTTCCTCGATCCTATGGCATTCAAAGTCAGAGAAATCGTTAGCGTAGCTTTCATAGCAGGTGTCGTACTCTCTTGCATGCATTTTGTCGACGGGATCTCGCCGTCTTTGAGCATTTCGATACGGAAACATAGTTTCCGGACGCTTTTGGTTGTTGGTCTCAGTCATTAAATCGCTTGATGAATATGTCGCCATTATGAACTGGGGGGTCAGATAGAGGCCATGCGCACTATGCCCTGACCCTAGTTAATCAGTTCCAATTCGAGGCTTTTGTGCCCACGTTTCCAGCCCGTAAGTTTTATCTTGAATGACATTTCAGCCATTGAGTGTATGGTTATTGACTTTTATCATCAAGGTGATGCCGCGCCCGGCGGTGAAAGTCAATACGGTCTCTTCGAAGGGCGGAAACCTGCTTGGTCGGAAATCTCAGTTGATCCTTCAGAAAGATCAAGGTATGGATACTTTAAGTCACCTGAAACGCATTGGCAAAGGTATCGCCGTTCGGTGGCGTGCCACTTGAAAACTTTTGCGCAGTTTTGGGGAATGTACGAGGACCTGGATGGTCGACGGCGTTGTCACCGGGCTGGCTAATTAATCGGCACAGACTGGACATGCTCAACCTGAAGATTTAGACTAATATTTCCCGGTATCGATGAGTTTCCAGAGGTGAGTTTTTTAGATGAAAATTCTTTATCCAGTATGGAAGCTTGCTTCACAAACAGAGGGCTTCCCAATGCGCTGTTTGTACAGGTATTTACATGTATTCTGTAGAGTTTTGGTAAGGTAATTAGCTGAGCCAAACTGACGTCCTCGGTCACGGAATGCATTGAGAAAGCTGGCGCAGGATCATGGTACGCGTCTCTCGAGTTTCTCCACAATCGTGGGCAGCCTCCGATGGCCCCGAAAGTAGCCCAACGGCTCGCACGTTGTTTACCCCGGCATGCTCCCGAGCGACCAAGACCTGCAAGTTGACCGAGATTCCCTTTACCGTTCACAATTGCATTTTTGCCCGAGTTCCCAGAGCCGCCCGGCGATGTCCGAAAAGCCGAATGGGACGTCATGACTCGGTGTTGACCCTTGGCCAATCGGGTTCCTTGCTGCGACTGAGTCGTAGAGCCGGGGTATGGAGAACACTGATACTGATCAGCGGAAGCTTGGCGCTAAACTACACTTATGCTTAAGTTTATTCCGAGTTGACTGACTTGTGACTCCCTTCCCAAGCTTGATTCGAAACCTACGTAGATAACAAAGTCGAAAATGTCTCTGAGAGTCACGATATAGGGAAACTAGAGGTGGTTCGAAGCCAAGAAGATATCTCCAGGCTCTGTCCCAAATTAACACCCACCCATGCCGTGGGAGATTACGGAGCGTGGATATCCATCGGCCATACTCCGAATCTGGACAACTTCGGTCCTCTTTGGGCTACAGCGGAGATCCGGCACGCTACCCGCGAGCCTCAATTGGTAGAATCAAGAAGCTTCTCCGAGGGCCTTAAGCCTCACAAGTGGAGGAGGCTGCGTCGTGGCCCACTGCGGACCGGACCACGTTCCGCTTGACGAAGGGATTGGTGAGTTGGAACTTGGAAGGAAGGTAGGGCGCGAAAAGCGATCATGGGCGATCCGTTTATAACACCACGAGAGTCCCGCGGTAAGCCGTGTATATGTATCATGTTGTCTCTGTGGAACCAACCTCAGTCTGTCGCAGCTTTCCCCAATTGCCCAAGCGGCGTCCATTCTCTTCTACGCTTCCATTCTCTCTGACCACTGTCACTCTTTTTCCGAATCGACGAGCAGGCAGCCTGTCGCGGGTTTACACTACTTTCTATCATCCCATCACCATGCTTATGCACGCACTCGTCGCCATTCTTGGCATGACTGTTGCCGTCTCCGCCGCACCCCCTCAACTTCGCTCTCTTGCAGCCGACGACGTCGTCATTCTCCGTACCGATGGAACCTCTCAGATCATGAAGGCTGCCGAATTCGACGCCCTCGATGCGGCGACCGTCGCTCCTGCACCTATCGACTCTTACAACCAAACTAGCGTCCCCGGTATCTCTCGTCGCGGCTGCGAGGAGAGCACCGAGGTCCAGGTCCTCTCCGACGAAGAGTTCGTCGATTGGGACGTGGCCATTTCCCCCGTTGTTGCTTCGAAAGGCAACTCAGTGGGAGTCTCAGTCACACAGGGATACAAGCTCGCCAACCGCCTCACAGTCAAACACGAAATCAAGTTCGGCGGCAAGAAGATCATCAGTGTTTCCCTGAACAAGAACTTGGACATGACCTGGACTACCACGCAGAAGACTTCGCTCAGTTTCAGCGTGCCTGACGGACAGTATGGTGTCGTTGTCAGCCAGCCTTACGTCCGCCGTGTTCAGGGCAATCTACTGAGTGGCTGCACTGATAGCCCCACCGTTGACCCCTTTACGGTCGACACATATGAGAGTCAGGCATATGACGATCTGGCTTGGGTGAAGGGCATCATTCGTCTCTGCAGCAGCGACACTTACCCAATTCCTTACTGCATTGGTGAGGGTCATCACGAGTAAAGGCAAACATGGCTTGCGGCGACGCGGGCGGAAGGCATTCTCAATCGGGAGCCAGACTAAAGCACAAGACCGTATACAACCCTTTCAAGCCATCGTCCTTCAATTTTCGATGTAGATACCCAAGTCATAGAATAATTGCAGATAATTTCCGGATGATGAATTTTAGTTGATCTAGGTAGCTAATCTACCGCGAGGCAGAATTTCTTGAGCAACACCTATCTATCCATACTCAACTTATGACCAACTATTATGTCAAGAAGCCATACTTTGATAGAGCCTATATTTCTAGAACTTCATAATCTCAAAACTACAGGCAAATCTATTGCAATCTTTTTGGTCATTCCGAGGCCATGACTGAGGCAAAGAAGCACGTCTCAGCGAGTTTAGATCAGAAGACAGATGATCACAGAATCAACGTGAGGTTGGCGTGCGAGAGCATACAAATGACAATCACAGGATTACAACTTCACCCTTGAAAGACTAATTCTACTGAGTCCATCGGGACAGGCGGCTTGCAAAGTGGGCAGAATAAATTTTCGGGATTGACGCAGAGAACTCGCGTAAAAGTCGTGGGCTCTCGTCCAACGCCGCAGGGCTACAGAATCGACAATCTGGGCCTGGCCACTTTCCATGTCCTCGTACCAGTGGGAACGAATCAGCGGTAAGCGATGCCCCCTGTCTCAGCCCAAGTCTCGCGAGATTCGTAAGCACAGGGTACCTAGATGAGCAGTTTCCGTTAAACGTTAGGACTAAGATCATCTACCCCAGCGGATCACTCAATGCCAAGTCAGACGAAAATTGTCTTCCCCGCAGACCCAATCGGATGGCTGAGCTGTTATGCAAGGTCAGCGCTGAGCCTGACATCATTTCCACGGAAGGAAGCTGGGAGAATTTATGTATGTATATCTATCTTTATCGGCGGATTGTTGGATAATTTGTGCTTCTCCAGCACTTCTTTCATCCTCACTGCCCCCTTCGCTCATGTTCAAAGTCGTTGTTTTCGTGTGTAGGAATTGTCCAATATGCAGCTGGCGACCTTGCTATCCCTCTCCGTCCTCGTCGGATGCACTATCGGCGACAATGTTTTGGTGAAGCACTCGACTCCCGATGCAGTCGGGCGAGAATGCAAATGCGTCGGTCATCCTTGAACCTTTCAACTGTCGCGTCTTTGATCTCGAACCACTTGGTGCTCGCCACAGACTGACACTGCAGTAGGCTCCTGGAGATGAATGCTGGCCGGCCGAGTCTGTGTGGAAAGAATTTGACACTGCTCTCGGCGGCAAACTCGTCGAGACCCAGCCCATCGCACAATCTTGCTACGATGGCCCGGCCAAGGACCTGGAAGCGTGCGCACACGTAGCCGAGATGTGGTCGGATCAGGATTTTCAGACATCAAATCCCATTGGCCGACCGTATCCGTACAACATCACTTGCGCGCCGGTAGATTATGCTGCGGGCCAAGTTCCAACAAAATGTTCTCTCGGCCCATTGCCAACATATGCAGTAAATGCAACAACTCGGGATCACATTTCCTCGGCCATCGGATTTGCGCGTCAGCACAGCATTCGCCTTGTTGTCGCCAGCACGGGACATGACCTTCTTGGTCGCTCCGATGGCTATGGCAGTCTTGAGATTTGGTTGCGACACTATCGCAACACGATCGACTTCCAAGACACTTACGTACCCGGCAGGTGCTGCTCCAAATCAGGGTGGAACGGCAGTGCGCTTCATATCGACGGCGCGTATCAATGGCGGGACGTCTACAAAGTTGCAAAGGCAAACAATGTGATTGCTGTTGGCGGGGGTGCTGTATCTCCTGGTGCCATTGGAGGATGGCCTTCGGGCGGTGGCCATGGACCTGCGACACGAAATTACGGACTTGGGGCAGACCAGATTCTGGACGCAGAAATCATGCTCGCGGATGGACGCATTATTGTGGCTAGCCATTGTGAGCACACGGATCTCTTTCGAGCCCTCCGTGGCGGTGGCCCAGGCTATGGTATTGTTCTCAGCATGACGATTAAGGCACATCCCAATGTCGATGCCGTCACCGCTCATAAGCTCGCCATCGCGCCCCTGCAGCAGACTGCGAACAACTCTGATCTTCTCGACGCCGTGGCAGTCCTTCTTCAGTCATATCCCGACCTCAACGACGCAGGATTTGCCGGCTACGCCTTCTGGTTCCGCAACTTTCCAACTATCTTCGTTGGCAATGCCACTTCCGGCTATTCTCATGGCTTCTGGACCATTGGAAAGACAAGAGAGGAAGCTGATGCTGGTTTCGCACCTGTGCGCGAGGCTCTCGGCAAGTTCACAGACAGGCTGTTCATCAGTGAGAGCTTCGCCTCATATGATGACTACTGGTCCTTCTATGAGGCAGAGTCAGGGCTGTACGATCCCACCGGCGACACCTCCATTCTCACATCCCGCATGATAGATCGGTCGGCCGTCGAAGATTACACCCACGCCCGTGAGGCTGTGGAGGTTCTCAGCGGCAAGCCGGAGGAGTTTGCGTCCAATGTCGTACTTCTGGTCTCCGGTGGACAGGTATTTGAGGATGCCAAAGATGCAACCTCGGGCTTACACCCGGCATGGCGAAATTCTTCTTACGCTCTCATCACCGGTCGTGGCATTTCGAAAATAGCCAGCAATTCTCAGCGCAAAGCTGTGCAAGACGACATCACATACGTCAAGGGTGCGGCCGGGAAAAGGCTTGCGCCAACTACTGGAGGTTACATGAACGAAGGCGACCGGCATGATCCGGATTACGTGGAAACGTTCTACGGCGCCAACTACAACCAACATCTGGCAGCGAAGAAGAAGTATGATCCGTTCAACGTCTTCTACTGCCCCACTTGTGTTGGCTCAGAGGCCTTCGTAGAACTACCTGACGGGCCACTGTGTAAAAGGAAGGCTTAGGACATCTGACGTCACATCGACTTAGGCTTCATGCTTTCAATTGCAAATATCTCAATCATTGATCATGATCAATTATCTACAGGTACTCAATATGTTGTAAGCTCTGGCGAGCCCTCCGCCCTCGGAGACGAGAACTTTGTCTCAACGAAAATCTTCTGCATGCTGTCCTCCTTGTTCTCAAACTTGTAGTAAACCTTGCCGAGGTCGTCGAGACGAATGCGATGCGACAACATCTGATAAACATCAATGTCGTCACTCTGGATCTTCTTGAGCAAGTCCTCCCAGTACAAATGAACAGGTGCCTGTCCGTTGCCAATCAAGCGCACACCACGCTCCATGAGCGAACCGATATTGAAATGGTTGGTGTACCCAACGTAGACGCCTGTGATACCACACCGACCAAAGTTGCGCACACCCTCAATCATCTCGTTAACAATCTCACTCGTATCGGTCTCGGCGCCCAAGGCAATTTCGATGGTGTGGAGCCAGCCCTTGGGGTACTCTCCAGCTGCGCATTCAAGCGCAACGTCCGGGCCTCTTCCGCCGCAAAGCTCCTTTAGCTTCGACACAACAGTCTCCTTGTTGGTCACGCCGCTCGACAATTTCTTGAAGTCGACGAGCTCCAACTTGTCCGCATGTGCCGAAGGCCACTTGGACTTGATGTATGATAGACGCGGTTCCGTGTCAATGAAGATGACTTTGGACGCACCCTCGCCAAGAGCGAATGCGCCAGCCATTTGGCCGATAGGTCCTGCACCCCAGATTGCAACCTGGTCCTTGGGGTAGACTGCGGTGTCTTTGACAGCATTGTACGAGGTGGCGAGCACGTCGGACAAGTACAAGGCCTTCTCATCCGGCACATTGTCGGGGATTTCGAGGAGATTTACATCTCCGATCGGAACGCGCACATACTCAGCCTGACCTCCCGCAAAGCCACCCGTAAAGTGGGAGTAGCCGAACATGCCCGCCGTCTGGGAGCCGTACATGGATTTCTCCATCGTGTTGGAGTTCGTTCTCTCGCATTGAGACGACAGCTTTTGGCTGCAATAGAAACACTGGACAGGTCAGCTCACACACCCCGTGACACCGAACAATTGGTTTCCGACTCACGTTTCCGCATGCAATCTGGAACGACGCGACATAACGGTGGCCAATCTTGGCCTTCTTCACAGCCGATCCGACTTGGTCGACGATACCGCAGAACTCGTGGCCGAGAATGTCGCCTTTGTTCATTTGCACCACGGAGCCATGCAGAAGATGAAGATCGCTGCCACAGACGGTGCTGCCAGTGACTTTGAGAATGACGTCCGTCTCCTCAATGATCTTGGGCTTGGGCACGTCGACTAAACTTGTGAGCTTTGATAACCCTTTGGTGAGATCAGATGGAGGCCACTGACCTATTTCAACCTTGTTCTTGCCCTGCCATGCGAGTGCCTTCATTGTGTCGCTGCTGTCGCTCCCTTTTGGGTAGTTGGTTACGTCCTGGGCCGTGACGGCGTCGCCCTGATGTCCGATGGCCTGTTCAGCCGCATATGCTGCTTGTGACGCCATAGCTAGAGAATGACGCAGGAGGTTTTCAGTGGTATAGATATTACAATGTGGATGTGAATTGGTCAATTGAATTGAGTTTGGTTTTCAGGGGAACTTATCGCGGAAGTCAAACATGAAAGCCATCTTATATCTCCAGGACCACGGACGGGCAGCGACATTGTAAGCATCACGTAAAGACACGGTCAATGGCCTGACCAGATCGTTGTGACGGAGCAGGGCAAGTATTCTGGTACAGCGACAAGGCGATGCGACCTTGTTTGGGCAATTGAAAAGCCCATGACGGGCGGCGGCGTCATTTTCGACGGAGAAGCGACGTCATGGATTCCAGAAGGGATCGCGTTGGAGCGGAGCTTCTGATCCTGGGCCAATGAGATGAGCCGGTCCCAGCCGAAGAGCTCGCAGCCGTGATCTAGATCTAAGTAAGGCTGAGTAAAAATGCCAGAACATTGTTTAAGCCGATGGATGTGATGAAAAGCAGCTGTCGGCACTTGCGTTTTGATGGAAAATGCGCCACATGAAGGTAAAGCTGTACGAGTTGAGTAAGCCAGTAGAGGGGTGAATCTGAGCTTGATTTCATTTCATATTTATACTGGGTGGGTATTGGCTCATGCGTTCATCGGATGTCAAGAGGCTTACATCAGACGACAGGGAGTTCTGGTCACTCAACATCCATTATGACACGGCAGTCAAAGTCGCATTCATCTTGAGCCTCAATGGGGCTTCACTATTATCAAAGCCAACTGGTGATTTTCACCCGCCTCCACGTCGGATCTCAACCGAAGAACGTCACCAAATTGCCGGGCCGGCCGCACCTGTCTGCCAGCTGACAAGGCAGTGTGGGTAAGGGGAAATTGGACCTCAAGTCTTGGAGAAGACAGGCGGAGTCTTGGTTCCGTCCCGTCGAGCCGTCTGATGAGTGAGGGGAAGGTGGGGTCGTCTGGAGTCTCGTCTGTCGTTCTGAGGGACAGAGACGGAATATTTGAACCTCTGGGCCGAAGTCAATCCCACTCTGGACATCGGTATCCCAAGAAGGTCGACTCAATATGGCAATCCGGAGCATGATGCGTCCGCAAAGGACAGCAAAGCCGTTTGAGCTGCCAAAATGCGCTGATGGTATTCGAAGCGACACCTATATGAAGAGCGTGTCTTCGCCTCGTCTGCTAGCACTATGCGACTGAGCTGGAGCATTCGTGTTCTGTTGGCATCCTCTGTTGTTGCCGCTGCTTCATACCATTTCGCGACCCCAGCCGTCATCATGAAGTTCCAAGCTCTCCCCCTGGCGACCACCCTCTTGGCTGGCACGGCTTCCGCCTTTCAGCTCGGCGGGAAGGAGATGCCGCAGCCTGAGACGACAATGGCTGACAATTTCCCCTGGCGCGACCCATTCACAGCAAAGACGACAGACTCCTACGACCACACATGTGAGGCGTCCAAGACGTTCGCCGCCACACAGTACACTCTGCATGACCTTTTCGAAAAGCCGCCCGTCGGGCTTTTCCCGTGGGGAGACGGCCTGAAGCTCTTCTTCTCCGGTCGCGAGTACCCCGGCGGCTGGGCGGGCCTCGATCGCCACATGTACGACCGCAACCTGCTCATGATGGACTACTCCGACCTCCCTCTTCGCGTCCGCGAGTGGATCGAGGAGCAAGAGCGCACCGAGGACAGCAATGGCAAGGGCCTCTTTGCTGTCTTCGACAAGCCCACCACCGAAGAGGAGAAGATCAAAGACCGCGTCACTGTCTCCAAGTCGCCCACGGATGTCAACCGTGACCTCGACCAGAAGCGCGTCGCTATCTTCGCGCCGGGCGCACTATATCACATCCTGCCCCTCTTCGTCGCTGACGGCAGCGATTGTCAAGGTAAGCGGAAGAAGCTGGCCGTCCCCCAGCCTTTGCGCCCTCATCATCTCGACGCATATGAAGCTGACTTGGTCCACAGCAACGCTCGCCGATTTGAGCAACTACAGCGCTACGCCGAAGGATGCTGTTGTCGTGTCATGGCCCATCAGCCACACCCGACCCAACACCGCCCAGAAGAAGAGGGATATCGAGTTCACCGTCAAGGCGCAAGTCCTCAAGCTCAAGGAGGGTGCGAGTGAGGCCGCGGAAGAGTCGCCGAGGGTTGTCAACGAGAAGGAAGCCGAGCCATCCCAGCCGGTCAAGGATGAGCTGTAGACGGGATCAGTAGGCAGGATGCACAATCGTGCAAATAGATCAGTACGTTCGGAATAGACAATCTTTCGAACCGAATGAGCGAATGATGTTACATCCGGGGAATGTGAGACTGAAAGTCATCCAAAGCCACATCCAGATTCCTAATGACATGGTCGCATGGATTATTAAGTCAGCGCACGCAAGCACTAGACCGAATCTGACGAAGGATCAAGCGGGGAGGATCAGGAGAGCGGCTGGGTGGTTGGTATCCGTCATTAGTAATCGTAGGAATCCTGCAGTTTTCTCCGTGGAACGCCGTGGAGCTCGCCGTGGCGGTGCCAAAGTCCGATGTGTGTTGCTTCGTGGGGCTTCACCGACACTCACCGAGAGGCACCCGGCGCTAACATTTCCCTTCTCGGACTCGAACGGCCATGCAGTCCAACACTGCGCTCCGTGGAGGCGGAGTCTCCTCCAAGTCTTCTCACCATCCGCGTCGACCAAAAGTAACAACAACACCGCCAACATTTCAACATTACTAATGGAAACTTAGCTATAAGAACGGAACTCTCTCGCATGCTTTTGAATTTCGAACGCACATTACCGCTCGCGTCTCAATCAGTTTCACACCATTGACCCGACATTGAAACCTCAACCAACAAGTCAGAATGTCTTCTCGTTACGCAAGTGAAGCCGCCAGCCCGGAGCCATTGGCTCAGCCCTTGTCTTTTCCCTTCTCCACCAAAACAGCCAAGAATCGTTTCTTGAAGAGTGCAATGGCTGAGAACTTGGCGACGTGGAGTGGGAGCGAGCCATCCAAGAGAGGTATTCCCACACCAGAACTTGTTGAGGTCTATCGCCGGTAAGTCGCATTTGCCCAACCCTCGCCTCTCTCCCATATTTGTTCTCAAGAGTCTTTTTTTTTAATATAAAGACTGACAAGTTGAAATGCAGTTGGGGTGAAGGCCCAAACAACTTTGGTGTCATCGTCACTGGCAACATTGACGTCGAGTTCGACTACATGAGCAGCATTGGTGACATGATCATCACACCCGAGTGCAAGACGGAGGGCGAACGGTTTGAGGGGTTCAAAGCCGTTGCTGCGGCTGGCAAGGCCGATGGTAGTCTCATGCTGGGCCAAGTCACCCACGCTGGAAGACAGGTTCAGAAGAAGATCCAGCCCAACCCGATTTCGGCGTCGGCAGTCGTACTCGGTATGCGGTTTTTCATCTCGCAAAAGCTCGTGGCTAAACTAACAAACTTCAGAACCCAAGATGGGCATGGAATTCGGCAAGCCCCGTGAAGCATCCAAGGAAGACATCAACCGCGTCATTGAAGGCTTTGCGCATGCCGCCGAGTACCTGGACAAGGCAGGCTTCGACGGTATCCAGTTGCACGCAGCGCATGGCTATCTCATCGCTCAGTTCCTATCCCGTACAACGAACCACCGAACCGACGAGTATGGCGTCCAGACGCTCGAGAACCGTACCCGCCTTATTGCCGACATCGGAAAAGCAATCCGCGCGCGGACATCTCCTGATTTCATCCTCTCAGCAAAGCTCAACAGCGTCGAGTTCCAAGACGGCGGTGTCACCCCTGACGAGGCCCGCGAGCTTTGTGCATTCCTATCAGAGCTCGGTTTCGATTTCCTGGAGATTTCTGGGGGCACGTACGAGGCGCTCGGCATGTCTTGGACAAAGGAGTCTACTCGCAAGCGGGAGGGGTTCTTCCTGGAGTTCGCCGAGACGGTCGTCGCGGGTCTAGGAGACCGCGACACCCGCAAGACCAAGGCGTATATCGTGGGCGGTATGAGAACCGTGGGGGCCATGGTGAAGGCCCTGGATATTGTCGATGGCGTTGCCTTGGGTCGGCCTGGGGCCCAAGAGTTCCGGATCGCTTCTGACATTCTCGAGGGTCGTATCACAGGGGCAATTCGTCCAGTTCAAATGATGGAGGACGATTTCGGGTTCGGACTCACGGCGGCGGGCGCGCATATCCGCCAGGTCAGCAAGGGGCAGGAGCCCTTCGACTCGAGCGATCTTGCGGCTACAGGAACCTTTGCATCGGACATGCAAGCTTGGTACCAAGATATGATTGCTGACGGGGACAAGCTTGAACATCATGGTGGCGTTGACTTTTCTGGAAAGACGGTACCCTATGGAGGAGGCGTTGCGGCAGCCCAGGCGTAAGAGCAAGTTGCGTCTTGTGATTCTCAGGGTTGATTGCTTTTCAATGCATTAAGAATTTTTTTTCTTAGTTAGAATCGCCTACTTACTTAGAATTCCATTAAGATCTGCTTTTACATCAATAGAAGTTACCTGCATTAGACGCCGTGTATCTCGGTGAGTCGGTGAGCATAGATGTACCACTGCGTTAATGTGGCTAAGCTGTCTCAATTAGCAGAAATAGTCACACGATTTCGGTCAAAGAGTCTGCGAACCATCCAATCGGAATACGAGCCTGCTTGTCTGGAAGGATTCATGATGGGGTGGACTGTGGCTTGGTAGGTGACAAATGGGGCTATCCTCAGTCGGATTTGTAATCCTCTGCTTACACCCACATCCCGCGTCTGATTCGCTCCTTCAGATGTCATTTAACTCATGCGGTCAGTCAAATCGCAAGTACGCCTCTGGAGATGGCCATCGAAGGGGTTCGATTCTATAGATGACCTTGTTTTGTTTTGAGGAGTTCCGACAAAAAGTGCCAGATTCCCCATCATCATGGAAACGTCTTCTCAACGGCGGAAAGGTCAGATCCATCCGCCTCGTTCAACCTGCCCCAAAGACAAGTTTTCAGTCATGTTCTAACATACGACAGCCTGCGATCTCTGTTTTATCAAGAAGATCAAATGCGACATGCTCAAGCCCGCATGTTCGAACTGCCTGCTCTACAAGTCAGAATGCCGGACAACAACTGTGAGGCGAAGAGCACCTCACCCAAAAGAACGACCACAGCCTCCAAAACAGAGCGAATCTGAAAAGTGAGGCGAGCTCATCCTTGGTATTCTCAACAGTCTTCTAACCAAGTACTCAGCCCAACGAAAGTCTCCGAGTTAGAGAGCCGTCTAGCGAGCATAGAGAAGCAATTGCAGCAAGCCCTCGACGCCAACCGTCAACACTCCAACCAAACCTCAACCCAACCTTCAACGGCACCGAGCTCAACCGAGAGTATCAATGGACGTGGGCAATCGGCAGAGAGCATTGAGTTCCTGGACCATGTGTCCAGCAGCGAGAGCCCAAGTGAATGGGTGACGGAGCCCGAGAAGCCCAAACTACCGCCGCTCGAGGAGATCATGCCCATTATCGACGAGTTCTTCAACCGCTACAACTGCGTCATGCCGCTCTTTGACCCGCCAACGTTCATGCGCATGTTGTCAAATTGGTACGTGCCATCTTCCGGGCAGTCCACGGCAGTATGGGCAGCGGTCAACATCGCAATGGCGCTAGGGTATCGATGCACTTTAAAAGAGCAAGGTAATTTGGATGCGCTGGTGGACGACCAGAAAGTGATGTATCACATGCGCAACGTACAATCTGTCGTGTCCGATTTGGTCACGCGGGAAGAAGATCTCCTTGGTCTTCAGGTCTTGTTGGGAATGGTGGTGTTGTTCCTAGGAACGAAAGACCCAAAGCCAGCTTCAGTCCTGATCGGTACTGCCGTGCGTCTGGCACACCGCATGCACCTCCACGACAAGGAATCGCTTCAGTACTTCTCGCCGGAAGTTGCCCGACAAAGAGCGAGGCTCTTCTGGATCACTTATATTATGGACAAGGTGAGTCGCAGCTTAATAAGTCTCACGATTGGCAGGTGCCTGACCACACTTTCAGGAAATCAGCTTAAAGTCCAAGACGCCGTCATTTCAGCTTGACGTAGATATCGACTTGCCGCTACCAGAAAGAGACCCGGAAGACGGAGCAGGCATAGTGTTTGCGAGAAACGGCAGCAAATTCAACTACTTTCGAGCTCGGGTGGAGTTGAGTCACATTGCCGGCAAGGTCTATGACCAGCTGTACAGCACACGCGCTCGGAAAGTGTCGCAGCAGGATCGACAACTAAGAGTGACAAGGCTCGAGGAGATGCTGGAAAACTGGCGGCGTAATCTACCGCCTGAGTTCCAGATAGACTCGGCACTCCAATGTCTCGATTCCCTGCCGATAGTCCACATGTCGCTCCTTTACCACAGCTACTTCACGGCGATGGTGATGACACATGGGATCTACTCGCACGACGCGGACTGGGTCCGACGGATAAGCTCATACAGCCAGATGACGATCAAGGATTTAGATTCGTCTCCGAGCTCGTCATGCGGACATCAAAATCCCCCTCTGCCGCTCGGATGGGCCAAGTGCGCGGAGCTGAGCCGCAGTTGCATGAAGCTGTTCGTGGAGTCGCCCAAGACGGACTGCAGCATCTGGTCCAATTCGTGCGCGCACTTCTCCGGCCTGATCATTCTCCTGGCCAACATGTTTGTGTTCCCGGATCACCCACACCTGATGACGGACAACGAGCTGGCCAACCAGGCACTCCGGCTTTTCGAGCTGATGCTGTCGATGAAGAGTTACGAAGACTATGAGTCCTTTCATAGACTGCATGAAGTCGTCAAGGAGCTCCATCGGCGTGCGTTGGAGGCTGTGGAGGAGGTTACGAGAAAACAAAAGGAGCGGGCAGAAGCAGCAGCAGCAGCAGCTTCGGCGATGGATACCGGCTTACCGTTTGGGGCTCAGCTGGAGGATGAAGTGGAATTCTTCCGAGATGCCGAGGCGGCAGCCTTGGAGGGGCCCTTCGTTGGAACGTTTGTGCCGGCATCACCGTTTGCGACAACGTCGTGGGGTTTGGAAGGGCTGCAGAGCGAGGTAGGCCAGGTGCCGTCACTGGCAACGTACAGCCCTTTCTAGTCGGTGTAGATGCGACGAGAGATCGATAATGAAGTTAATGATACACGTCAAGACGCAAATGAACATCGAATCCATACATCAGGTGCTTCGCTGTGAAGAGGTCGACCAATCTGGCCGATAAACACGAGCGGACCGGCCCCGGTTCGGATTCGGAGCCCGGGTCGATGCCCAGATCTACCCGCTAGCTCACTGGAGCTCACTGGAGCTTTCTTTCCAGGGGGGCACGGGAGGGCAGCTGCGGGGTGAGGTGCTGCTCCCTTCTTTAGGTAGGTAGGTACTCCAGGGCTCGGATGACGGAGAGTGGGGCTCTTGGGTGCTTACCTTAGAGTTCGAGAATGGGGCCAGAGCTCGATAGCAGCGGCCAATGATGATGCAGCAATTTCCAAGCGGTGTAGGGAGGAAGGAGCTCCCGTCCACTAACAGCTTCGACAGCAGGCACCGGGCAGGCACACAGCACCCAGCACCCAGCACCCAACAACAGGCACTGGACGACGTCGTTGTGTCGCAACTCCCCCGTGCAATTGTCATGTCGTCATAGCCACAATGCTCAATCCGGACGCAATGAGGGGTTCCCGCGCGGCTGCTCCTCCTCCTCCTTTATCTGCGGCCACTGGGAGCTGCTGCCGCTCCTGCTCCTCCAAGTGCCGCCGACCCTCGAAGACCCCAACTGCTTACACTATCCGACGTCGACAACCTCGCTGATTGACCCCCTCGCCCTCGTCCACCCAATTAACGCCCCAGAACTCGAAACCATCGTCTGATCGCAAGCACGTAACGTCACGCTCCCTCGCCCAGTCCGCCTCCCAGATCTCACTCCCCACGCTGCTCATGCGTATTCCGAGACCTCTATACCGTCAATCAACCATATCCAGCCTCCTCCGCAAGCCAATTCAAACCAGATCATTCTCCCAAAGTGTCAAAGACATGGCCGACTACAAGCTGAAGGCCGTCTCCTCGCTATCACTCCGACCGGGTGACAAGCAAGAGGTCGAAGTTGAGGGCATCGAAGGAGCCAAGGTTCTGCTCGTCAACGCCGGCGGCAAGATCCAGGCCGTTGGTCCCAAGTGTACCCATTTCGGTGCTCCTCTCGTCAAGGGCGTCTTGACGACTTCTGGTCGATTGACTTGCCCGTGGCACGGAGGTATGTTGACTCCTAAGCTGCACCCCCGCACGATGCCCACGCTGACGTTTTCATAGCCTGCTTCAACACCAAAACCGGTGATGTCGAGGATGCCCCCGCCCTCGACTCCATTCCCGTCTTCAACGTCACCGAGCGCGACGGCGCAGTCTACATTACCGGCGAAGAATCCGCCATTAAGAGCGGCCGACGGAAGCCCAACTTCAAGTGCAATGTCGTCAGTGGGACTCAGGAGGAGAAGGTCGTCATTGTCGGTGGCGGCTCAGGCGCCCTGGGAGCTGTCGAAGCCCTGCGCAACGGCGGTTACCAAGGTCCATTGACAATCATCTCCTCCGAGGGATACCTCCCCATCGACCGTACCAAGTTGTCCAAGGCCCTTCTCACAGACGTCAACGCCCTGCAATGGAGAGACAAGGCTTGGTTCGAGAGCGGCTCTGTTGACTGGGTTGACGACGAAGTCACCGACGTCGACTTCTCCGATCGCAAGGTATCCACAAGCGGCGGCAAGACGCTGCCCTACACCAAGCTTATCCTGGCAACCGGTGGAACTCCAAGGAACCTACCCCTGCAGGGCTTCAAGGTCCTCGGCAACATCTTCACCCTTAGGACGGCCCACGACACACAAAAGATTGTCAAGGCCATCGGCGAGAAGGGCAAGAAGATTGTCATTGTTGGATCCTCCTTCATCGGTATGGAGGTAGCCAATGCCACCGCCAAAGACAACGATGTAACCGTCATTGGCATGGAGAAGGTACCCCTCGAGAGGGTTCTCGGAGAGAAGGTCGGCGCTGGTATCCAGAAGAGCCTTGAGAAGAACGGCGTCAAGTTCCACATGAACGCCGGCGTGGAGAAGGCTGAGCCCTCTGGTTCTGACCCGTCCCATGTCGGGGCGGTTCACCTCAAGGACGGCACCAAACTGGAGGCTGACCTGGTCATCCTGGGAGTTGGTGTTGCGCCCGCCACTGAGTTCCTCAAGGAGAACAAGGTCATCCGCCTTGAGCAGGACGGTTCCATCAAGACAGACGAGAACTTCTTGGTTGTTGGGCTGAAGGACGTCTACGCCATTGGCGACATTGCCACATACCCGTACCACGGACCTGGGGGCGATGGACGATACACGCGCATCGAGCACTGGAACGTCGCCCAGAACGCCGGCCGTACCGTGGCTAGCAACATCATCAACGCGGCGGTGCAGCCTGCGCGCTTCATCCCCGTTTTCTGGTCGGCCTTGGGCTCCCAACTGCGGTACTGCGGCAATACAATTGGCGGTTGGGATGATGTTGTAATTCAGGGAAGCGTCGAGGAGTCAAGCTTCGTCGCCTATTACACCAAAAGCGACACGGTTGTGGCGATGGCGTCCATGGGCAAGGATCCCGCCATGGTTCAGTCGGCTGAGTTGATGGCTTTGGGTAAGATGCCGTCCAAGAAGCAACTGGCCGACGGCCTGGATATCACCACCATCGGACCGCTGGAAGCATAGTTTAGTCGCCGAAGAATAATAAATGGACGCTTTGTTTACGCAATCCGGCATCATATCTACACTCGTCGTTACCTACTGGAAATAATAATATCGCTCTTACCTGGCTAAGTAATCCTAGACTATAAGCTGACCAAATCTGGGCCTGCTGTCTTGAGTAGAGACCGAACTGGCTAGTAGATGCGCGCGAGAGTATTTTTGGAGGCTGAATCTATTGTAGACGCAGCCCCCAAAAAGGGATGCATGGGTATGTATCGGATAGCCGTAGTCATACGAATCCATGGCAGCCGCAGCCGTCACGGGTTCGGCGCGGGGTGCGGGGGTACGAAGGCGTCGTAACGAGTTTCTCCTTTTTCCCAGCCTCCAGTCTCCCCAGATGTTGAGCAGCTGCGCTAGTCTGTAGAACCCCAGATCATCGAGCCACAGGCTCCCGGGCCAGATCTCTGACATACTGGACATGTGACAAGTTGGTCTTACAATGGAATCGACGACCCTACGAGCAGGGGAGGCGCCGCGCCCGGCGTCGCGACCATGGGGAAGACATCGGCCCTATGGTGGAACCACCGACGGGGAGAAACGAGCAAGCGCGCCCGCAATGAAGGTGAAGCCATATGTGCGCATTATCTGTATGTGTCCAACACACAAAAAAAGATTCTGGAATGGCTTCATTCAGGGGTTGTTGCTGCAGGGCCTTGATACGCCATCAGGACATGATCGTACCGTCATCGGACGAGTGTTTGTTGGGGATGGGGTTGAGCTTTCTGCTTGAAGAAACAAATTTTCTTGTCTAATAGAACAAAATCCATCACGTTTATGCTGGAAACCATGGAAGCGCGTCTGTGTAAAAAGCCGCGTGCGGCTCAACAGAGTAGCGGCGGGATGATGCCAGCAGCTTGGCGAGTGGCAGATGGGGCTCCTTGGGGAAAAGGCATCGAGGAAAGGCCGAATAAGTGAGCGGGAGTGTGGGCGAGCAGCAGAAAAGACAAGACGATGGATCCAGTCGGGCAGGGGGCGGATCTGCACTGCTGCAGAGATTCGGACCGGAAATGGAGACGCAGGAGACTGGGATGAGAGTCAGGGTCCAGGGTGCGGACGGCTCTGTCTTCTTTTCGCGTCTTTCAAGTTGCAGGATCATGGATGAGATCTTTCCCGTAGGAGATCAACAGCACTTCAGTAGTAGTGTTGGCGGTAGTTGGCACCGTTGATGGGCAATGGGGGCAGGCAGGTGATGCGGTTTGTTGAAGTGCCTAGTGCGCTGGAGAGTCCGAAGCACGGCGGCTACTGCACACCATGAAGGCCGGTCGGAGGTGTGGTAGCGGCGGGCACCGGTGGGCGCAACCCGGGGGCCATGGTGGTGTGAGGGACGCGAGCCAGAGAGGTCGATAGGCCGTTTTGACCGAAGCCGCTGACGTTTTAGAGTTTGGCTGATGGGGTGCATTCGATGAGGTTTGGTGTTGGTGGTGTTGGTGGTGATGGCGCTCGTAGGGCGCGGCGGCCTTGTGAGAATTTCAGCGAGAGCATGGCCGGGCGGAATCGGAGGATAGCTTGGTTAGAGACTGGTCAGTGGTTGGTTTGAGGCTCACGATGATGGAGAATCTTGATCGAAGCAGCGGAGAGAAAAATAGATGCGAAATAATTAGCGTTGGAAGCGAGCTGGGCTGCAGGAGCGAATAAGAGGCGGCGACGTGATGGGGAAAGAGGGCCAGCGACGTGGAAACGGGCCGAACAGCGTCCACTTCAAATCTTTCGAGACAAGCAACCGGGCGGCTGCAAGCTGGGGGGATGCCTGGGCTGGGGGCAGAGCCGAGGCCAGGCGTTGGTTGCCAGGACCATGTCAGCGGAGCGGGAACATGAAGGTGTCGACTTTGAAAATTGTGCACTCTTCTCTTGTTCTTTTTTTTTTTTTTTTTTGTCATTTGTCTTGAAATGACTGGTTCAGGAGGAGGCGACGAGGAAAGAAGCGGCTTCCTTACGTGCCACGACTCACGAGGGGTGGACGAAAGTTGGGAAGGAAGAGACATTGTGCCCAAGTACATCTTGCCTTGGCTGTAAGTGGAAGGAAAGAGACGGCGTCTACCTTTGACTGGTCGATGAGACGGGGTTTGGGGGTGTCAGATGGTGGTGTTCTCAACGGCGTGCTGGCACTGAATGGCATTGTTTTAGCGTTGCTTGTTGTTGAAGCTGGCAGCAATGGATCCAGTCAGTCAGATCATCCATCATTCATTCAATTCAAGGTTGGCGTTGGCGGCCATGCCGTGCGTGGGCCGACCCCACCTTTGCGACGGCCTCTCTGTACACTACCTTACTACGCAGTAGTGTACAATCACAGATGTACCGTTGACAGTTGTTGTTTTTCCTGCTTGTGTTCCTTGCTTTCCCCATGCAGTTTCGATTCTTCAAATTCCCCAGTTCCCACGTCCTCTCCATATTCTCCCCCCATTCTCCAGAAAACCTTGCCATTGAGCTGGGAAACTGAGTCGTGGGGTTCGGGGTAGACGACCCCCAAAAAAAAGTTTTGCATCACCTGCTGGGCCCCTCTGCGCCCACCGTAGAGTATTGACTGCCAACTGAAGTTTCACGTAGGCATCCCGGCCATTCAATTCCGGCTGTTAATTGTGCATCGTCATCACGAATGAGAATTTTTAGACGGATGCCGGCGAGATGACAGAATAAGCATCGCCTATGGTCTTGGTCCTGTGTGCTGATCAGTGCCAAGTTGAGATCACCACGCTGGGCAATCTGGCTCATGTGCCATGCCCATGGCGGCTTGGCACCGTCTGCAGCTCACCTCGACTCTCCGCGGCCTTAGACGCCACCTGCCGCCAGCGCGCGTCTCTTCTTACTTCACCTCAAGAAGAAGAAGAAGGGGAGATACCTCTCAGTGCTATTCAGGTAGACCTAGAAGGTGACACCTCGTTTTGCGCGACAGCAAGTACCTATCTTGCCTAGGTAAGGTAGGTAGGTACACACCCGGCAGAGCACCTACCCTACCCCAGACTCTTCTTCCTCCTCCCCCTCATCCTGCACACCCTCTTTCTTTCTTTTTTTCCTTGGGTAGGCACGACCACGAATAGAGCTAGGAGCGGTCACCCCCTGATCCCTGCCCCGGATGGGGTTTCTTGTCGGGGGAGGAGGGGCACCCATGGGAACCAACCCGCAGCAGAAGGAGGGACACTCGTGGAGTGTTCCACGACTCGGGCAACCCGCCGTGTCTGGAAGGGCCTCGACGCAGTACCTGCCGCGTCTGCAACCTCTGTGCGCCGCCCCAAGTACCGCGCCTGCTTCTCGTGAGTACCTCGCTGCATCTCCTTCCTCCTCGTGATCGTCCATCGGCCCTACCCATCGTATGGTCTTTCCCATCCGCTCCCCACATCATTTGCCTCAACTCCACGCACCGTCGCGCAGTCCTGCCATCCATGATCCATGGACCATGAACCATGGACCATGGAACACGCCCATGAACCACCACCGCGTCCCTACCTATCCATCGGCCGGCCATCATGGTGGCCCTGCACGCTACGTGACACCTGCGACTGTTGCGCCGTCTAGGTAAGCCTGTAAGGTATTCGTACCGCAAGGTTGGGGAACCAGAGTGTGGGAGCTCCGCGTTGTGCCACACACTCTGGGGAACTTTATATATCGACGTTTCCTCCCATCTCTTCCCCAGACGCTCCCCCTTCTGTCTCGTCTTCGTGTTCAAGCCTTCAGCTGCCCAACGTCCCTTCGATCCAGTCTCGCTTTCTGGACGTCTCACACTCCTTCTCCCTCCTCCGACCTCAAACCTCCAGCTTCATCAACAACCTAGCCCATCATGGGTATCAAGCCAGCTGGCGAGCCGGGCAAGGCCTGGCCCGCCATTCTCATCGGCTTCTTCGTCGCCTTCGGTGGTCTGTTGTTCGGATATGACACCGGTACTATCAACGGCATCCTTGAGATGGTGTGTATTCCTCTGCTGGCCCCGACACATGCGAACGGCTCAAACTGACCATCTGCTTCTTTAGTCTTACTGGCAACGTCTGTTCAGCACCGGTTACGTTAACACCAAGGGCAACCTCGATGTTTCTCCCGACCAAGAGTCCGCCATCGTCTCCATCCTCTCTGCCGGCACCTTCTTCGGCGCTCTCGCTTCTCCCTTCCTCGCCGATACCATTGGACGTCGCATGGGTCTTGCTGCCTCCACCTGGGTTTTCAACCTTGGTGTTGTCCTCCAGACCATTGCCGTTGACATCCCCGTCTTCCTTGCCGGTCGTTTCTTCGCCGGTTTCGGTGTCGGTCTGATCTCTGCTTTGGTTCCTCTCTACCAGTCCGAGACTGCTCCCAAGTGGATTCGTGGTGCCATTGTCGGTGCTTACCAGTGGGCCATCACAATCGGTCTGCTGTTGGCTGCCATCGTGAACAATGCCACCCACCTTCGCCAGGACACTGGTTCTTACCGCATCCCCATCGCTGTTCAGTTCGCCTGGTCCATCATCCTCTTCGCCGGCATGCTGGTGCTTCCCGAGACCCCCCGCTTCCTTATCAGAAAGGGCCGCATGGAGCGCGCCGCCAACGCCCTGTCCAGACTTCGCCGCCTCCCTGAGACCGATCCGGCCATCGCCGACGAGCTTGCCGAGATCAAGGCCAACCACGACTTTGAGAGCAGCGTCGGCTCTGCCAGCTACCTTGACTGCTTCAAGCCCCCTGTCCTGAAGCGTCAGTTCACCGGCATGGCCCTCCAGGCCCTCCAGCAGCTCACGGGTATCAACTTCATCTTCTACTACGGCACTCAATACTTCCAGAACTCTGGATTCTCCAACGGTTTCGTCATCGGCATGATCACCTCCTCCATCAACGTCGCTTCCACCATTCCTGGCATGTACGCTGTTGACCGCTGGGGTCGCCGTCCTCTTCTCCTGTGGGGCGCCATCGGCATGTGTATCTCGCAGTTCCTTGTTGCCATGCTCGGAACTTTGACTACCAGCCAGGACGACGCCGGCAACATCATCGTCCTCAACCTCCCCGCCCAGAAGGCCGCCATTGCATTCGTGTGCATCTACATCTTCTTCTTCGCCTCTACCTGGGGTCCCCTTGCCTGGGTCGTCAACGGCGAGATCTTCGGCCTCAAGACCCGTGCCAAGTCCCTCTCGCTCTCCACTGCCACCAACTGGCTCCTCAACTGGGCTATTGCCTACTCCACCCCCTACCTTGTCAACTACGGCGACGGCTATGCCAACCTCCAGTCCAAGATCTTCTTTGTCTGGTTCGCCGCCTGCTTCCTCTGCATCGCCTTCGTCTACTTCTTCATCTACGAGACCAAGGGTCTCTCTCTCGAGGAGGTCGAGGAGCTCTACAACGAGGTCAGCGTTGCCAGCAAGTCTGTTGGCTGGCGCCCGTCCACCACCTTCCTCGAGCGCAGTGGCGCTGAGGGCAACAAGGCTGTTCCCAACAGCGATGGTGACATCACTCACCACGAGAAGACCGTCGGCGCTTAAGATGTGGCGTCGAATCATCTGCATGAAGGGCGTTTGTAATTGGATCCCCGGGGGGATATGAAGAGATGTGTTAATGCATGTACCATTTCGAGATACCAAAGATTTTTCTGCCAATATTATTCAAGATTTACTGAATCAACCTGAGGTGCTGTCCTGCTGCTGTGATCGACGATGAGGCGATGGTGTTGAGATCAATACATGAGTAGATGTATTTGATGAGTGCAGTTGGTTTATCTTCCTAGGTGTATCAAATGTCCGAAAGACTCTAGCCCTTGTCCGATAAAGCCGGCCATTCCCAAGCAACACGCTGACCGAAGGGGCTTCCCAAAGTTTACTAGCTCGTGTTGCGTCTCCCGGCCCGGCAGTGGATGGCCCTTCCCATTCGCCGCCCGACAATGATGCGAAGTTCTGCCACACCGGCTGCGTCTCCCGTCGTCCACTCGGGACTCCCGCCTCCACAACCCCGGTCAGCACGGCCGAACTCACATCCCACTCTCACCTCCAAAGACGTCGAAACATCGGCTTATCGCCGGATGACACTCGCACATGCGTCCGCGCTTTTGCCGGGAGTTGCCAGCGGCTATGCACCCACGCGACGAGCCGGCGGGCCTTATCGTGCATGCCGCAGCGCCCGTCTGTGTTCTCCCTGGGGCTTGTGGTTGAGCGACGGGCGAAGATTGGGTAATCCGTGTCACAAGATGCGGAAGACGTTTCTCAAAGAGCGTCAGTTTTCGGGACTTCGCGCCGGTGAGTCGCGGTATCAAGGTTCGGCGATTGATCACCTGGGTTTGAAAGGTCTATATAAGGCGGCCAAACCACCCTTGGTCAGTGGCATATCAATCCAAAAGATCTCATCCCAGGCCGTTTAGACTATATTATACTGCATTCATTCATCGCACTCAGCGACACAATGGCCTCCCGTCACCCGATCCCCAACACCTACCACGTCCCGCCCAAGGACCAGAAGCCGTCGTCCACTTCCGTCTCGAGCGCCGTCAAGTCGTTCTTCACCATGCCCGAATCTTACCCCGCCATGTCGTCGACGACGTCTCAGTATCCTCTGCCTACGGCCTACACGAAGACGAAAAGCAGTTCGCAGACCCAACACGAGGCAAGCTCTCAGGGTTCTATAGGACCCCGAGCCTCGGTCGAGTCGTGGGATACCATCGACAAACTGAAGGATAACGAGACATCTTCTTGAGTGACCAGATGCAGACAGCCCGCTAGGGATGAAGGATCTGGTGAGCAAACATGCCTGGGCGAGAAGCATCCCACTTGCTCCAAGTCAAGAGTAGCGCAAAAGCCTCATCCGCAACGGCTTCTTTGTTCTCAGGTTGGCGTCTGCGCCGGCTCCGGTCGAGCAGCGGCAAGGGATGATGGGCCTATTGTTTAATTCGACGTCTAGACAAAGCTTTCATTGAAAGCTGCAATGAATGCTCATTTCCAGAATAATGAGACTGACCGCCCAACATTGAAGTGCATACAAATATAGAAACCATTCAGGTTTCCTGCTTCTCCTTGGCCCAAAAACAAAGAAGCCTACGTGTTTAAGACATAAGACTCCTCGCGATGGCACTGTTGCCCGATTGTTTCCGCGTCCAAAGACCTCTGTAAACTACCCGTCTCGACCATGTGTATCCGCCACGTCCAATTCTTCGAGTGCCCCTCGAGGGACGGCGTCCCCAAGCGCCACTTCATCAAGAGCAACATCCTCTGCTCCAACCACTTCCCCTGTCCCGACGCCCACTGGGAGTACCGCACCAGCGAGTACACCCAGATGTGCCCCGGCTGCTCCGGCGAGCCTCCCGAGGTCCCCAGCCAGAGGCCCCAGGGGGACGCCTGGGATCGCGACATGGCCATGGACAACGTCTGGGCCAACAACTACATCGAAGGCCTCGCCAACGCCGTCTTCGCCTGGGACTGGGCCCGCCACTTCAGCCAGAGCGACATGTCCTCCATCAAGCGCATTACCGAGCTCTATCCAACCTTTTTCCTCGAGCGCCGCTGCAAGGAAAACGCCCATCGGCCCTCCCGGTGTCACTGCGAGGCCGCCGGGCCGCTCGCGTACTTGTACAACCCCGCCGCTGCCGCCCGGAGGCACTTTACCGACCAGGCGGCCGCGCGCTTCGAGGCGAACGCGCAGGTACAGAGCGAGTTCGCGCGGCAGATCTTTGCCGAGATTCACCGGAATCTTGCCGCGGAGTGTACGGGCAGCAATGTCTACTTCACTGACGGCATCGCCCGACAGCCCTTCTTCTCTACGGAGGCTGTTATGCGGAGACGGGCGACGATTGACGAGATCGTCGGCAAGGCGTTCAAGACCGTCAACGACGAACTACTCGAGAGCGCGGCGGCGAACGGGGCGAAGTGGACCGACGCACACACGCTGATGGAATCCAAGGCATACCGGCGCAAGGGCCTCGTCCAATTCATGTGCCAGATTGCGGTATATGACAACGGCTTCTCCATGGCGCGGTTTTGTATTGTCGTGGAAAAGCTCGCGCGCATCATCCAGACGCCGCAGTGGCGTCGGTCGTCGGGCGTCGTTGCGCTCGAGAAGCTGGCCAACGCAGTGTCGTTTCCGCCTAGCGACGCGAATGTAGCCGGGTACGGAACCGGCACCGGGTTTGAGGAGCTCATCTGGGAGGCGATGGCGTTTTTCACAGGGAAGCGCGAGGTGTGGGCACGGGAGATACGGAACTACACGGCGAAGCGTCTCGTTTTTCAGCAGTCCGTCGAGGACGTGACGGACGCCGAGCTCCAGGCCCTCGTTAGGAACAACGGCGTCCAAGAGGAGTGCGTGATTTGCCATGCGGATTACTGGGAGCGCCGCTCGGAGAAGGAAGTCCCGCCGGCGGTGTCCAGTCCAACGGCAGCTGAGCGACCCCGTCTCCGGCCGAGACGGCGACTCAGTGCCCAGGAGAGCAACTTGTCCAACCTGTCCAACATCTCGAACCAGATTCGGCGGCTCAAGTGGGACGACGACCCCAACGTGCAACTACGGATCTTTGGTGCGAGCACGGCGGGATGGACCGTGTTGGACCGCGGAGAGCAGCCTGTCCGGATCAAACATTGCGGGCACATCTTTGGAAGGAGCTGCTTGTTCCGGACGTGGGTGACGGAGGCGAACGATCCAGACTTGAGACCGACGTGTCCGATGTGCCGGGCAGAGCCTCCGGACGGAGTGATCCGGATGATGGAGGGGTTTTTGGGACCGTTGATGACGCGCGGGGCGGCATGGGGCCTGCCTACCTCTCTATTGTCGCTCGTCCGCCGGCAATGAGTGTTTGCTGTGTTTGGCTTGGTTTGGTTTGGCGTTTGCAGGCTGTTATTTTAGATATTCCCAAACATCATCTTTCTGGAAATGTCATGTTCTGCACACGTGTGTCGCTTCTGTAGCGGGCGTATTCGTAAGCCCCTTGCGTCGGCGACGGGATCAATGTCGCGCCTCGAGAGGTGTCGACTCGGATAGGGAGCACAAGGTCGGAGACATTGACGGCCACAAGGTTGGTGAGGCGGCGCAGTGCGGAAGCGAGCCGCGTCGGGAAAGCCATATCGACAGGGGGTGATTGACGCCAGAGCGAAGGTTTGAATCTGCGTCTGCAGCAAGCCGAAGGGCCTGGTGATTCGGAAAGGCTTGTCGGCCGTATGGAGGCCACGAAAGGAATCAACAAGTCGTCCGAGCATGATTTTGATGACTGTGTTTGGTGCCTGCCTTCCTGTGCGACCACTGCCCTCGGCGAGACCGCGAGGATGTTGGTGATGTTGGTGATTTGTCCTTGACGGGAGAGGTTGGCGAGAAGACTCTCCTCGCTTGGGCGGTTGAAGTGAAGATGCGGAATCCAAGCAGGTTGCCGAAAGGTAGGATATGCATGGTCTCAGCCCCTGGATGATAATGCATCTCTTAGATCTCCGGCTGCAACGCTGGAAAGACAAGCATGGTGAGCATGGTGATATGGCGGAAGCATTAGGTTGTGATTCGGTCATGGCCGTCCGGGTATGTGGTGGCGCTCAATACCAAGCCAGAGGAAGAACATCCGGTGCAGAAAGTGCCTGCTTCCTCAAGTCAGAAAGAACACTGTGAACACCCACTGTGCCACTGAGCTGAACTGAGGCGGTGGCCAGAGCTTCTCCCATGTGGATCCCCCTTGCCCCCAAGCGCGTCTTGGCTTCGGCTGCCGAGCTCTGGGATTGGCCGGATGATCGAAGCTGTCCGCCATTGGTTCGTTTGTGCCCGCAGGGATGCAAGTGCGGGGCTCGTAGTGGAGACGCTCGACCCGACTGAGTGGATTCGTTCGCTCGCTTAAGGATGGAACGATTCAATTGCATTGCATCCACGAAGCAGCAGCAAACGGACATTCATTCACCTTCTTCATAGATACTTACTGGGTAAAAAGGAAGGAACAAACTCATCTGACATGCTCCGGATGCGAGTGCGGCAGCTCCCAACGTTGCATCGACCGTACCCGGTGATGTGAAGTTGAAGGATGCCTCGTTCGACACGGCTTACCTGTCAAAATAATCTTTCGTGTGTTCCTTGGCAGTTGGGTGACCTTGCTCCCAATGGTTCATCGCATGTTTCTCATGGGCACGTCGATGACGAGTCCATGGCTTACGGCGGAACCCTCGGCGCCGTCACCGTCACCGCATCCCGTTTGAACCGCCCGCTCTTATGATGACGGTTTGACGTCCAACGACGCTGGCCCCCATCCTAACTGACACATGCCATTCCTTCTACTTTACCCAACCGAATAAATGTCCATTTGTTAGACATTTATCGTCTCGCGCCCGCAATAGCGCCATCACCACTCCCGCCGCTTGTACCACCATCACACACATCCTCACACGCACTCTTGTACACCCACCACCCGCCAAATCACACGCACACCCAATCACTTGAACCGCTTCTCATTCTGATGGCTTGCAGCATCGACCGTGGCCTCGTCCAGAAGCTGTCCTGATTCGGCAATAGACCCGCATGGTAGACGCTTCTCGTCTCCGCGGTACACGGACTTGGCATCTTTCTCGTCCGTAGCTACGGCCGTACCATCCCGGACGCATCGAAAAACGGCGCACATCCACCACCACCTTGCTTTTTCCCGGTCGTTTCGTTTGATCGGATCTGAGATTCTTGGTTTCCTCGTCTCACACTCACCACCACCTGCTCGCCCATCCGACCGGTAGTTCGGGTCAAACTGCTTCTCGGTTTTCCCCCGGCCCACCACCAATCCAGCCGCCCATCCATCTGCCTCCCACCCTCCACGTCCCCGGTCACATCGATCAAAGCGACTGAGCCGAACCTGCTGCTACGTCCGTATTCCGACGGTGTAGGATATCCATCCACCTTCACCCCACAGATATCGATTGCGCCTCGGCGCGCTCTCGTCTCCTGCGACGATAGCTTCTCGCACTCGCTCCCGGCTAGCGTGTTAGTTGCATGGCTCTCCTAGACACACACAAACACACACTCAGACACTCTCTCTCCCATCAGCTGCGACTCGCTTAGGTCTAGCAATACCGTTTTCTGGTAAGCGCATCCGTTGTCACAACGAACAAAAAGTCCAACAATCCTTTGTGCGCTTGTACTTAAGGATCCCATCTTCCACATCCTTCCCTTCCCCTTCCATTCTAAGCCTCGACCAAGCTCTCGGATTCGCGTCAACACCGTCACTTCTAAAATCTTGGGACCCAAGCCGCTAGTGGTTTTCGATCGACTACCACTTGTTTCTTTTCCCCCCTTCGTTGACGCTGGTTGCTTTTACATGTGTTTCGTTTGCTGCACGCAGTGACCTCTTCACCACGCTCATCCCACACCTCACTCACATCATCTCACACGACGATTAACTTCACGAGAACCTTTTCTCACCACACATCCCACCACACTCAGCTTACATCAATACCCTAAGCCTAGAACATCGCCCTGAGCTCAGTCCAAATGAGGATCCGTTCACCCCGCTCAAGTCTTGTCAGAGTAAGGCGACTGATTTCCTTACCAACCAAAGAACCCTAGTCGATTTTTACATGTGAACATTTCAATTTGCCCTCATCGACACCTCGCTCACAAAACAATCTCCAGGACTCGACTTTCTCTGAGCCACAAGACACCTCATCTCAGAAAACCAACCCCAAAATGGCCGCGACCTTTACCAGACTGTCGGCGATAACATCACGTCGCACTGCCAAGGACGAGGAAACGGATCTCCAAGCGTTCCGCGACAACCGGATCAGAGGCGCGTACGATGAATGGCCCAACGAAGCCGGTGTAAGAACAGCTCGCAACCCCTGACCCTATATGTCTCTGTCTGACCGAACCCAGTTTGACGGGTTGACCGAAGAGCGCGGCCCTATCGAGCTCAGTATCCAAGGCGAGATTCCCGCATGGGCAGCCGGCGCCCTCTACCGCACGGGACCAGGTAGCTGCAAGATCGAGGACACGCCCAAGGGGACGTACTACATCTCCCACTGGTTCGACGGCCTCGCGCACACGCACAAGTTCGACATCGTTCCCCGAGAAGACGACGACAGCCGGCAGGGCAGCAGCCCGACTCGCGTGATGTACTCCTCGAGACGGCAGTGCGACCAGCTGGTCCAAGATATCCAGGCGTTGGGCCCTCAGAATCGCTTCACCTTTGGCCAGCGGCGCGACCCATGTGTGGGCATGTTTGGCAAGATCATGAGTGTCTTTTCCCGGGGCACCGCGCCCAACATCTGCGTCGCCGTCAACGCAAACGTCCCCGGCTTGACCCCCACCACCCCTGGAGCCACCGATCAGGGTCCCGCCGGCCCGGGGCACCGCAACGGCGTCCGCAGTATCTGGCTTTCCACCGACGCGAACCCCCTCCTCGAGATTAACGCAGAAACCCTAGAGCCTGTGGGCACCGCGCGGCAAACCAAGCTTCACCCGGACCTGACGGGCCCCATGTCGTGCGCTCACGCCCAGCGAGACCCTGAGACGGGCGACATGTTCAACTTCAACCTTGCCTTCGGCAGGCTGGCCACGTACCGCATCTTCCGTGTCAGCGCCGCGACCGGCAAGACAGAGATCCTAGCATCAATCTCCGAGGCCGAGGGGAAGCCCGCCTACATCCACAGCTTCTTCCTCTCCAAGAGCTTCGTCGTGCTCTGCATCCCCGTGACGCATCTCGGCTACAACGGCCTCAAAGTTCCTTGGGAGCGCAACATCCTCGACTCCATCGAGCCATTCGACGCCAGCAAGCGGTGCCGGTGGTACTTTGTCGACCGCCTCCACAACAAGGGCGTTGTCGCCACCTTCGAGACCCCGGCCGGTTTCTTCTTCCACTCCACCAATGCATTTGAGGAAGCGGCAGATGACGGATCAGGGGTCGATGTGTTTTGCGAAGCGGCCTACTACCAGAACCTCAACATCCTCCAGAACCTGTACTACGATGTCCTGCTCAACAGGAACGACGCCGCCAACAAGTTCTGGACGGCAGGCGATCGGATGCAGAACGGATACGCGAGTCTCCGGCGGTACAGGTTCAGGATACCAAACGACACCCATACCAAGACGGCAGCACCACCCACGGAGCCCGAGCTGGTTCTGTCCGTCCCCGCCCCGCACGCCGGCGAGCTGCCGACGATTAACCCGGCCTACCTCACCCGCCGCCACCGCTACGTCTACAGCCTCTCGGACCGCGGCCTCAGCACCCTCCTCGACACCATCGTCAAGACGGACGCCGACACGCGTGAGGCGCTCATGTGGGAGTGCCCGCACGCCCACACGCCCGGCGAGCCCATCTTCGTGCCTCGGCCTTCGAGCAACGGCGAGGCGTCGGCTGAGGACGACGGCGTCATCCTCAGCGTCGTGTTGGACGGCACGACGCAAACGAGCTACCTCCTCTGCCTGGACGCCACGACGATGACGGAGCTCGGCCGGGCCGAGTGCGACTTTGCCGTGGGCCTGGGCTTCCATGGCATCCATGCGCCTTCGACCTCGGGTATGAACTGAATGTGGATGGAAATCGACGTTTGGGCATGTGATTTGGATCAGTTATGGTGTTGGGCCTTTAACGACGATGATGTCTTTTTATGTTATGATACCTTGATGATGATGAATAATAGACCGTCTTCATGATGAGAATATTGGGTATGACGAGAGGCTTTCTCCCACGACCCCTAATTTTCTAGGAGACAGCGATTAATGAAAGACGTCCGTTGAAACTACTATCGTCCGAATTCGAGAATGATGCTTGAGTGGCAGTGTATGGGCAACGCTCACCGAAACGGACTGGAGTCACTTTACTCCTTCACGGTGGCAGGTCTGGCATTGGCCAAAACTCAACCCAAACCCGAGTTATCTCCAGTCTGGACCTCTGCCCGGCTACCTTGTTCTTGTTATAAGGGAGGCTGGCATCTAGCTGAGTGTGGGCTTACCCCTTCAATGTCCCTATCACTGACGACACACTTGTCTTCACAGCCTCCTTATTCCCCTCTTTCATTCTCGCCAGACATCAGTCGCGAACAAATCAAAGGCTTTAGGATGTGACTAGAATTATGTTTAGAGTATGCATCGTGCTTCAATGCGGGTTGCTATCTGTAAGTATATGCTCGTGGTTCTTCTGTTGGATTCATCCATCTTGATGCCCTGAATAGATAGGATATGATACGGGCGGGGGTGACAAAGGAAATGTGTAGACTAGGGGCGAAATGAATGCAAACTCGTCTAAGCAGTAGGGTATCTCCAGCTCCTATCCTTGAATATGTCCAGTAACGCCGAATGCAAAACAAAGGGACCAAAATGCCTCATGCAGGCAATCCAAGACTCGCCAATCACTCTTCGAGTCCTTCTCGCAGCGCGTCGATATCAACAAGATCAGGAGACACCTTGCTTGGGGGCCCGCGGCGCTGGTGAGCCGCCAAGTACTCCTGAAACCCAGGTATCGCCCCGGGCTGGTTGATGCCTGGTGCACGGCGAAGGTCTCTCTCTTTTTCTTTCTCCTTGCCACTCCGTTTAGGCGGCGTAGGCGTAGGCGGGGTGGTTGTTGGAGTGGTTGCCCGTGGGGGAACGGAACCTCCGCCGCTCCACGGCCGCCAGCTGACCCATCTCCCAAGACCGCTCGAGTACTGAGAATGCTGCGATCCGGGGCTAGATGGCGATGTGCCACGTACGGGCGTTGACACCATTCTCGGCATGGGCAACCCTGCGAGGCTGTCGCGCAACATAACGTCACTTCGTTTGTCGCTTCCGCGAGAGATGGTAGACCGTGCGGTAACGCCAGTGAAGACGGCATCTGCCCCGCCTAAAGGCCGCAGGGTCATTTGACTCGGTCGTACCTTCAGCGTGTGAATGTCAAGTCCTCCAGATAGAGACATGATCGACTCATGAGAGACTGCACGATGCAGACGCTGCCGGGGTAGCTCCTCGTATTTCGAGAACGACCTTTCCGTCTCCGTCTCCATCGTCTCCGTGTCAGTCTCCGTGACCTCTTCACTGGCTGAAGTGAGATCCGGAAGCTCCTCTGTGCCGTTCTCTTCTCTTTCCTCCTCAATCGTTGTCGATATGTGCTGCGTGACGTGAAGCGCTGGCGCCGCAGGTGCAGCGGGGGATGCCACGCTTAAAAGCCTACTAGGCACGGAGAAGCTTCGCATGGACGCTTCCGATGGGCGCTTGTTGTGAGATGACTTCCATGTTGGTGAAGTCGGGTCCAGACTTGTGGTTGGAGACGTGGGGATATCCATATCCAGGATTGGCCTGTCAAACATGGACAGTCGCGGATTTGACTGCGGGGAGCTTGGGACGGACGAAGGTGCGAACTCTGACGGTTGTTCCGAGAAAACGGACCATCTGTTAGATGGTCCCATGGAGACTGTCGAGGTGGAGGCCTTGTGAGAGTGGGAGGCCATGGCCGGTGTTGAGGGTGGAGGGCGCCACGCCGGAGGAGGCGTAGAGGATCTTGAAACGCTCGTAGGCGAAAAGAGTCCTGGGTTCAAGCTGTGACGCTTCTTCTTCGACTTGTTCTTTTCGGCCACATGGTAGTGGTGATGAATATGCAACTCCTGGGAGATGTTTTGGGTCACCTCGGCGGGTTCCAGGGGAAGCTCTGCACGCAAAGTAGACACGGCGCTTGTGTCGTCCTCGTGAATAGGCTGGTGGCACATCAACTGGTCCCGCAAAGCCTGGATTTCGTCGTTGGAGTTGACCAGCATTTGCCGCAGTTCCGCCATGCCCAACTGCAGGTTTGCGTTATCCTGAAGCAGATCGCGCACGAAATGGGACACCACATTTGTGCCGCCTTTCCCGGTGTTGAGTGACTTGGCTGCGGCGGCTCCCTTAAGACGTCCAGCGGCGGCATTCAGCTCCTTTTCCATCTCTCGTTGACGCTCCATGCGGCCCAGAACCTCCGTGTGGCGTTCTCTTTCCTCCTTGGCTTCCTGTTCCATGCGCTCCAGCTGCTCTTGAAGATCGGAGATTCCCCTCTCGGCTTTCCTCCATCGCTGCATGGCAGAGCGGGCTTCAGATTCGGAGGTGATGAGGGTGTTCTGCAAGCGCAGCTGCTCCTGCTCGAGGAGGGCGATATGCCGTTCCATCTCAGCAGCCCGGGCTGCTGCGCCCTCAAGGCGACGGACGGCCTGGTGGGAAGATAGCAGGGTGGCCTCCAGGGTCTGGATCCGGATGTCGGAATCTTGGACGGTATTGTTCAGCATCTCGAGCTGGTCGAGCAAGGTTCGATTCTCCTCGACGGTTCTCGTGTTCTCGGCCTGAAGCTCCAGCTTATCGTTCTCCAACTGTTCGATTCGGCTTGTTAATGACAGGCGGTCTCGTTCCGCATCGGCCATGTATGCCTCGTGGCGGGCAAGCAGGGCCTGGAGTGAAAAGGTCAGCGACATTGTCGACATGAGCGGTGGTTCCGAAAAAATGCAATTGGCGATGTCAAGCGTGGAGCTGGAGAGCAAAGTTTGCGGACTGAAACGAGCACAGGGCCCCATCTTCTTGATATGAATCACAGGAAATGAGGTCTTGGAATGCATCGAGATAGGACACGGGACGAACAGAGCTGGAGCAGAGGCTGGAATGTTCTTGACTTTGAGTTGGGCGGGGGAGAAAAAAAGAAGGGTGAGGGAATAGGGCAGAGACAACGCACCTTGCCCAGCTTAGCGGCGGTATGGACATCTTTTTCGACGGTTTCTAGGAGGGTGCAGCTGTGTTTGAGAAAGGCGCAATCGTTGCGGCCGCAGCAGCAGCGAAGCTTTGGGCCATTGTCGGGGCGAGCCGTGGAAGTTGGGACGAAGTCTGCCATGGCGTCGGCGTCGCGAGATGGGGCGTCATCGGTGGACTCTGCCATTGTTATCGCGGCAGAGAAGACGTCTCTACGGCGGGCAGCATGCTGAGCTGAGACGAGGGCAGCACGGACGCGGGCACTTTGAACCGTGGACGGGGTGCTGCCGATGGGGATCACGAGCAGGTGGGGGTTGAATAAACGAGGGTTTTCGGTACCGCAGCCGTAGCGACTCGGGCTGGGGTCGACGAGATGAGTCGGTGATGAGAGTGAGACCCGGCGGGATTGTGCGCGAGAGAGGGAGGAATGATTTTATGTCGAATTGTGGTTGTTGTGTGTGTGCGTGTGCGTGTAGGTGTACAGTCTCCGTAGCTTGGGCGTACTTGTATTGGGGGTCGACGCGATTGGGAGAGAAGAGACGAGGCGGCGCGGTGAGCACCTAATGCGAGTGCCAAGGCGTGGTGAGTAGGAGGATCCGCCGTTGTGCGTGTTATCGCGAAGTGGGCGTGACTGGGAGTGACTGGGAGGCCCTCTGTGTGCGGTTGTGTCTTTGGCGGGCGATTGTGCCTTTACTGGAGCAGTGTGGCTCTCGATGGTCTGCTAGGCGCGGTATGGACAGGGGATGACCCAGGCCGGCGGGGGTCGACTGCAGTTTCTTTTGAGAGCATGTGGTCCGAGCCGAAATGAGTCTCATCAAATAAGAGAGAGGCAGCGCGAGAAAAGAAAAAGATTTCAACGGCAAAGGCTGCGAGGTCGGATCCGATAACGAAGCGGGGTGTCTGCCAGGTAGCAGTGTGTTGTAGGTATTGTCGTAGGTATGTATCCGTATTCGTAGGCGAGGTAATGATGCTGAAGAAACAAGATACAAAGGCGGCAGTGAGGTATCGAGCAGGTGTTCGTCCGACCCAGCAGACGACGGGAGGGTGGAGGGAGGTGGAAGGGGTCCCGGTCAGGAACCCGACTGGAACAGGAACAGAGGATGCGATGGTGAGATTGAGAGATTGAGACAGTGGAGGGCAAAGGCGCGCAGGGGCCTCGCAGGAGTCAGTCAGGACAGACGGGATGGAATGGAAGATGGGAATGACGACCCTAAGAAAAACGAGATGGAAGACGGGAGAGCTACCCAAGAAAAAAAAAAAAAAGAAAAAAAAAGAACCTGAAGCCGGAAATAGCTGAGACGGGACGGCGCAGCGCAGTGCAGCAGCCCAGCCCAGCAGCGCACATGGCGCCCTCCAGAGAAGGAAAGAAACGTTCGCGTCAAGCCAAACACAGGCAGGCACAGGCAGGCTCGCCCTTCCCACGCTGATCCAAACTGGGATGGCGTCTTTTGGTGGTCCCCACTTGGCGTTCTTTCGGCGTACCCACGTACCCAAGGTCTCCACCAATCCAGGAACACCACACATGAGAGTTGTCATCCCGCCCACGTCCCCCAGGAACAAGTCAACGAACCCCACCTCCAGTGCCCGCTCTGCCGCTTCACGTTCACAAGTCACTGCTGTCTGGCTCAGAGGTGAGATGTTGTCTTCAATGTATCTACCTACCTACCTCACTGAGAAAAGTACATGAGATAAGGCACCACTGGCATATGGGGTAGTAGGTACAGAAACCACAAACTGCCACCCCACGAGGCCAGCCAGCCATTGCCAACGAATGAGACTCATCATGTCTGCCAAAATGACGACAGACTACCTGCCTGAGCTTAGGTTCCCTCAGGTTCGTCAGTGGTGTCTTGTGACAGGAGCTGGCAGCCACTCATCTCGTGGCCGCATGGCGACGGCCACCTCACCTTTACACCACCACCAGCCACCTCACTTCCTGGCAGTCGCTCCAGACCAACAACATCTCGACTCAACGAACAAGTGAAAACTCGGTGACCATGACGCAAATTTGCAGATAACGATGGCCGTGACCGCCGTCAATCTACAAGGTTCATCGCGCTAGCCCACGTCCATCTGACAGGAGTTCTGAATCGGCGCACATTGACTCAGATCGGGCTATCCCCGCGACCAAGTTTTTCTATCCCATTCCCGAGTCAAAAGCTTACTGCACGCGACCGCGACTGCTCAAAACAATGGCGCGTAGAAGAATTCCCCCGTCATCTACCATAGAGGAACTCTTCCATGTGAAGGAATCTTGTCGCGATTCCACCGTTGTGTACCTTATTCTCAGACATGACTGGCCTTCAGCTATCGGTAAGGCTTTTACCCCAAACCTGCCAATAGGACCCGTCAGTTCTAGAACGGTAGCACCTGGCCGCATCGGCCGATTCGACTACGCTGAAGCTGATGCTCGGCGAGAAGAAGGTAGTATCAGTCGGCGGCGGCCCCTCACCTTTGACACCCGCGGCGACGGGTTGGTTGCAGCCGGCCCGGCAACACGCATCGAGATTCAGTGGGCCGATCCGCTGCATCTCGGTGTGCATCCACTGTAAATTCGGTGCCTGACAGCGGGCACAGGGCGGGCAGGTACTCTCAGTGTGTGAGGTACACCGCTGTGGATCTCGGCCGAGCCACTTTTAGATCATCTTAATGACAATCCCGACGTCAAGCCTCTGACCTCCGTCAACCGGGTCCGAACACGGTTGCCTCAAACCCGTCACTCAACATCATTTCTTCCGCCCTTCCGATCTCACGCCACAGACACCACATACCCGCGGATTCGGCCCAATCCATCGCTGGGTGCGCAATGTCGTCCTCAGAAAAGACGCCGCCGGCACCGGCAGACGCCAGCAAAACCGTCGTCCGCGGCGCCTCCCTCCTCATCATCCTCCAGATCGGCTCCCGCGCAGTCACCTTCATCGCCAACCAGCTGCTCCTGCGCTTCCTGACCGCCCAGCTCCTTGGCGTCTCGACACAGCTGGAGGTCTACTACCTCTCCGTCCTCTTCTTCGCCCGCGAGAGTCTGCGTGTCGCCGTCCAACGCCAGGAAACCCGCCCCGGCTCCAGCAAGCGCGATGACGACCCGAAGGCCCGCGTCGGCCGTGAAAGCCAGGCCGTCATCAATCTAGGCTACCTCGCCGTCCTGCTGGGCTGTCTCGTCACCGTCGGCCTTGGATGGCTCTACCTCTCGTCCGCCGATGAGCTGACCCGCAACACTCCCAATTTCCTGCTCGCCCTCCGCCTCTACGCCGTCGCCGCCGTGCTCGAGCTCCTCTCCGAGCCCTGCTTCGTTCTCATGCAGACCAGGCTGCAGTTCGGCACACGCGCCACCTCAGAGTCCATCGCAACCTTCCTGCGGTGCATCGTCACCTTTGGCACCGCCGCGTGGGCGTCGCGAGCCGGCATCGAGTTTGGCGTTCTCCCCTTCGCCGCCGGACAGCTGTCCTACGGCGCCAGTCTTCTGCTCGTCTTCCTCTGGTCCGGCGCTCGTCTATCAAGCACAGACGGCTTCTCCCTCCTCCCAAAGAGCCTGGGCCCCAGTCAAGAATACGTCGCCTCTTACTTCTACCGGCCAACCGTCAGCCTGGCGTCCAGCATGATGGCCCAGAGCATCGTCAAGCACGTCCTCACCCAGGGCGACACTTTCCTGGTTTCCATCCTCTCCTCTCCCAAGTCACAAGGCGTGTATGCCCTGGCCAACAATTACGGAGGCCTGCTCGCCCGCCTCGTCTTTCAGCCAATCGAAGAGAGCAGCCGCAGCTACTTTAGCCGCCTCCTGTTGTCGCAAGACACAAAGACCAGCAAGCCCTCCAAGGAGACCGCAAACACGGCCAGCCAACATCTCCACACCCTGCTCAGATTCTACGTCCTCCTCTCAGCTGTCATTGTGAGCATTGGCCCGGTAGCTGCCCCGCCCCTGCTGTCCCTCGTAGCTGGCAAGCGCTGGGCCAGCGAGGGCGCTGGAGACGTGCTGGCAGTATACTGCTACTACATCCCTCTGCTTGCCATCAACGGCGTGGCCGAAGCATTCGTGGCATCGGTGGCGACAGAAGCACAGGTGCACAGGCAGTCAGTCTGGATGGGCGCCTTTTCTGTAGCCTTTGGCTCCGCGGCCTTCATCTTCATGCGCGTCATGGACCTTGGTGCTTCAGGTCTCGTCTTTGCCAACTGCATCAACATGCTTTGTCGCATCGTTTGGAGCATCGCATTCATCAAATCGTACTTTAAAGGTCTTGAAACACCATTCGAACTTTTTACATTGCAGCCAAACGCCGTCACCTCTATCGTCTGTTTATCTGCGCCGCACCTCATCCGAAAGGTGGCCGGCGTCGTTTCCTCGGGGGCCTCCACGTCGTTCAAGCACCTGGTCGCCATTGGCGTGGCCTCTGTCCCCGTCGCCCTTTTGATGTAAGTTGCCATCATCTTCCCTGACTCTTTGACTCTGGTATTCTAACATCCATCTAGCCTCTTTGCGGAACGGCGGTTTCTCATGCAGTGCTACAACTCGGCCCGCAGACCAAAGGCTGCTTCTTAGCTTAGACACCAATTAGATATAGAAAAGAAAATGAAATCAGACAGTTGCCTGGACAGGCTGGTAATTTAATCGTCAAACACAATCTTGGTGGCCTTCTTCGTCATGTCAACGTCCTTGAAGAAGGCGCCGTAGGTGTCGTGGGCCTTCTTCTTAACCGTCGTGCCGAACTTGAACAGTTCTTCGGGCACGGGCTGGTTGGCGCCCTTGAGAATGTTGATCAAACTAGGTCATGTGTAAGCAATTGTCTTGAGTATCGTCAAATCTTCCAGCAACTTACGATCCAGAGTGCGCCTTGTCCTGCTGCGTGAAGAGGGTGATAGCCTCGCCGGTCTTGCCAGCACGACCGGTACGTCCGATTCTGTGGACGTAGTCCTCGATTGTCAGAGGGAACTAGAAAATGGTCAGCCAACTGCTGTGCATCGACGGCACGAATTGAGACTTACGGTCACGTTGATGACAAGCTTCACCTCGGGAATATCCAAACCACGGGCGGCAACGTCAGTGGCAACCAGGACGGGCGTCGTGCCCGCCTTGAAAGCCTCCAGACTGCGTGTGCGCTGCTCCTGGCGCAGATCTCCGTGGATGCCGCCGACGCGGATGCCACGCTGCTGCAGGAAAGTCTCGACGCGCGTCGCTTCCTTCTTGTACAGGCAGAAGACGAGAATGCGGTCGTTCTTCTTGTCGCCCTGCTGGTGCTGCTTGAGCAGCTGAAGCAGCCTCTGCTCCTTGGCCCTGGGGTCGACAACCTCGACGCGCTGGGTGATGCGCGTGTTGGCCTGCAGCTCGACGGCACCGCTGGCAGTCTCCTTGCCGCTGGAGCCGATGGTGATCTTGATGGGGTCAACCATGAAGGACTCGGCGAGCTTGCGGACGGACGCGGGCCACGTCGCCGTGAACATGACGGTCTGGCGCTCCTCACGGGGGGGCATGGCACCGAGGATGCCCTTGATGTCCTCCTCGAAACCCTTGTCGAGCATGCGGTCGGCCTCGTCGAGGACGGCGAAGCGCGTGTCCTTGAGCTCGATGGTGCCGTCGGCCATGAAGTCCTTGAGACGACCCGGGGTCGCCACGATGACGTCGGCGCCACGGTTCAGAAGGGCGCGCTGGTCATCCTTGGAGGCACCGCCGTAGATGCACACGCACTTGAGGCCAAGGAGAGACGAAACGTGCTCGAGCTGCTCCTGGGTCTGCATGGCCAGCTCACGTGTCGGGGACACGACGACGGCCTTGATGCCGCGCTTCTTGACCTTAGAGATAGCCTCGACAAGGGGCAGGGCGAAGGCCATGGTCTTTCCGGAGCCAGTCTCTGCGACACCGATGACGTCGCGGCGGGAGAGGGTGAAGGGCCAGGAAGCGGCCTGGATGGGGGTAGGCGTCTTGTACGAGGAGAAGGGGTTCTTCTGGATAAGCGGAGTTTGCGGGAGGTAAGAGAACTGGAGGATGGGGCGCAGGTGGCTGGTCTTGTCTGTCGGGTCCGTGACGGTGATGGTCTCGGCGGTCATGAAGGCGTCAATGTCGGACTGGGGGAGAGCAGACAGGGCAGCGGCCTGCGCGTACTCTGCTCCGGCAGCAACAGGCTCGGCAGCCTTTGCGCTGGTAGCACCGCTCTCAGCCTCCTTGTCCTTCTTGTCCTTCTTCTTCTTTTCCTTCTTCTCCTTCTTTTGCCTCTTCTTCTCGGCCTTGTCGTCCTCATCGACGTCTATCTTGTCCTCGACAGCAGCGGGGGCTTCCTCAGAAGCTTCCTCGGCCTCGTCCTTGCTGCGCTTCTCCTTCTTCTCCTTGTTTTTTTTCTTCTCCTCCTTTTCCTTCTTGCGCTCCTTCTTCTCCTTCTTTTCCTTCTTCTTCTGCTTCTTCAACTCGGCGGCCTCGTCGCTGTCAACATCGCCAGCGGCAGGGAGGTCCTTGACTTTCTGCTTCTTGCTGGGGATCTGCTCGACCTCGCTGTCGGCGAGAGAGTGCTTTGTGGCGGCCATTGTCGCGATCGATTCTGGGCTCGGTCGCTGTGGGAATTGACTTGCGACGCTGAAAATATCCCCGAAGACGGTGAGCTCGAGTCGAAAGGGCGGGTGGCTGAGGGGCGAGTGCAAGTGCGATCGGATGGTCGCAGAGACAGACGAAGGGAAAAAAAAAAATTGCTTATCGATATGGCGATAAGATTGGCAGCCGATAAGCAGCGGCCAAGGGTCCAGGCCCGCTCGTCACGCTAATCCCGTTGTGGCCCATGCTTCCCCGCTCACCGAGCCCCGGCCAGAATCGGAGCTGAAGACCCACTCGGTGTTTTCCACCTTCCTCGATCGGCCCCGGACTTCAGTGTTCTTCACTCACCCTCCCCACCTCTCCCACTTCCGCGCGGATTCCACTCCATGTGCCCTTCCCCTCACTGCCAGCTGTCACTCGCTTGTTACGATACTCCCTGTTGGGCCTTGCTGCCCGTCTCTCTGCCTCTGAGGCCGCATGCAGCCCCCCCCCCCCCCCCCAAAAGTCGGACGGGTGCGTGCTAATCCCAGCCGAGACTTGGTTTAAAGCACTGAGGGAGGCCGTCGTTGGCTCAAACCACCGGCGCCGTCGAATGGGATATCTTCCGTCGTGCCTCTGGAGCTGCGCTCGGGTAACTTGAGCGAAACCTGCCCAACAGGAGCGGGCCGTCAACTGTCCATTTCCGTTACCACGAAACTGGGACTATCAACGTCCAGGAAAAAGGAACCATCAGAGACACCGACGTTGTGAAATATGCAGGCGAACTTCTTGTGCGTATCTGCGAACTGCACAAGATTCGGCACACCACAGCGCTCGCGTACAGGTATCAGGTAGGCGGCCGCGGGCATCGAGGCCGCCATGTCAGCCAATAGTCCCCAGGGCGTCAGCAAGGCGGCCCAACCCTTGCAACGGGAGCTAGCCACCGTCTGCAGTTCTTCGAGGGATTTCCATACCCAGCCTATATTCGTACTTCAACCCTGTCCCGTCCTGCCAATGAGTCTGGTTCTCGTGCTGCATGGGGAGATGATCGCGGCAGCGCATCACCCTGCGATGCCCATGTCACACGGCTGACGGTGCGGCGTTCACCCTTGTTGTGTCCTCTTCTGATAGCGTCCCACGTTGCACCTCGATGGCGACAACGCGGCGCCCCACGGGGGTGGGGGGAATAGAACAGCTTCGAGATGAGGTAGAAATAGTAGCCTTCCCCCGAGATGGGCGTCAGTAGCCGTTGCAGCCGTCATTTCTTCAAAACAAAACCACACTCCGCGGCTCTATGGATAGCTGTCAGGTACAGGGGAGGCCTGACCTGTACGGGCTCGGCCTTCGAGTCGCATTCTACATCCAATGGTTCGGCGCAATCATTGTAGAATACCTCGAGGTCGCCGACCTGCCCGACATCAGACTCATTGGCCTCCTGTTTTCCGCGGCCGCCTTCTTCGGGCTGATTGTCAAAGTCACCGTGACCACACTACAGCCAGCTGATGTCTATATCGTCTTTCTCCTAGCGATGGGCATCTACTTCTTCCTGGTTCCATTGTATATATGGAAAGCGTTGACGTGCTTCAACCCATACTGGAACCCCTTCCGATGGGCCAAGGAGGATCCAAGCCCGGCCTTCAAGGGTCTCAGCTTCACGTTGCTCCTGGCGTTGACAGCGCTGGGCATCTGGTTCTGGTGCTCGTTCGTTCCGGAGAATCCGTGCTCCTCGTCTCAGTGCGGCTTCTTCTTCAGTTGCGTCAAGCTTGGTAACAAGGCATTCGTCGCCTTCAACGCGATTCTCTGCTTTGCCATCCTGCTGGTTTGTGTCGTCGTCTTGCTGCTCAAGATGGGTTGGAAGATACCGTTCTGGCGGCAGAGGCGCAAGAAGCGTAGGATCAGGTGAGTCAACTCCCAGCCACATTATGATAATGTCAGTCAATCCTAATGCCGATTCTGCAGAGCGGTGCACGTCATGTTAGTCAAGGAGACCAAGACTTTGAGCAATATTGCCGTCGCGGCCACTCTCACCGCTGCCGTTGAGCTGACCATCTCATGGAACCACATCCAAGATGTAAACAACATTTCCGACGTCGTCCAAATGCTTCCTCTCTTCATCAGCGCTGGATTTCTGGTGCGCATACTGTTCCTGCACTTTGCGGGGGCTAACGAAAGCTCGGATTCCTCCGAAGAAGACAGTGATGGCGAGTCGAGTAGTGACATGACGGAGTCACAGGGTGGGTTACCGCCGCCACCTCCTGTTCATCCACGTTAGGAGTAGCATGTGTTGTATCTGAGCTTTTACGATATGAGTATTTGATATTGCGGCAACCAACGTACTTGTGAACTCTCCTCATTCCTATGCATTAGAGAGCCAGGTACATGCAGGAGAAATGGCCGTACCAGTATGAAAGTAGCCGGTGAGCATGAGGCAAAGAAGAACAACGATGCGCATTGCAATTGCTACCAGACCCACGAGACGTCAATGTCTACGGCAGTTCGATGTCGAGTTTTGATTATATATGACTAAACTATTCAGGCCTTCAAGCTGAGCGTTGTTCCAACCAAGAAGACATCCACGGATAATACCAATGGAAAGTCCTGGCTCTCATAACGGTGCCTTCAACATTACATTGCATCCTCAACGTTACATGAGATTTTCCCCTCAACTTGACATCCACTTTGGTATTTGAGTGAACTTTGACATTTCATCCGCGGTCTCCTTCCACAATAGCTTCTGTAGCCGCATGCCATCATCAGAATTGGCGTAGCCTTCTGGCCTGAGAAACGACGTCAGCATCATTGCCTCCATAACCAAGATCCAGTACTTACTTCCAGATGTCTTTATCACCCAGCTGTTTCCCGTGCGTCTCAGCACCCACCACCGCGGCAGCATGAAGCCCAATCCAGCCAGACTGCTCCGGAGACCTGGCCCGTACGGCCTTCACCGCACTCATTGCCAACCTGAAAGGCAGCGGCAGCACGTCGCTCATTGCCGTCTTCACCATCCCGGGGCAAAACGCATTGACGATGACCTTCTCAGGCCCCAAATGTTGCCGCAGCTCTCGGAGAAACAGAAACACCAGGAGCTTGCTGTCCGCGTACCGAGACAGACCGTAAAAGTTCGCCTCGGCGTCCAAGTGCTCCAACACTGACTCTCCGGGTGCGAGAGGCGCCTTTGCCTCCAAGCTGGTGTTTCCTATGGCTCGGCTTCCGGTCCAAGTGACTCTCCCGGGGGATCTCGTCCTCTGAGCCGTGGATTCTAACAAAGGGAGAAGCTGAAGCATCAAGAGCACGTTGGAGAGGTAGTTCACCTGGACCGTCGCCTCGTGATTCGTCGCAGCAACATGACGCTTGAGTCCCGGAACTCCAGCGTTCAGCATCAGAATGTGGAGGTCTTTGTGCTCACTGCAGAATGCTTTTGCAAAAGACTGGACGCTGCCGTAGTCTTCGGCATCCATCTTCATGACCCTGACGATGGCGTCTGGGTTGGCCGACTTGATAGCTGCATCATCCAGAAGTTCTCGTTTTACCGACTCGCCTTTGGAGGTGTTGCGGACCGCAAGTACAACCGTCGAGGCTCTCAGGAGAACGAGCTGCTTGGCCAAGGCAAGGCCGATTCCAGACGTGGCGCCAGTGACGATGGCGGTTTGGCCGTCAAGATACAAGTCATCCGGCAACGGCGTCACTGGGGGCTGGAAGAGTCGCATGATGGTAAAGTTGAAACGAGGTCGAATGAACTGATCTTGGTATTCTTGCTTTCCATCGTAACAGCCGCAAGAATTGCGTCTTTTATTTATGAAGCCATTACGGCCGTACAGTATCGTCTTGCTCGACAAGACACTTCAAACCCGACGGCTTTCATGTCCGCCTGTTGCGATGCCATCGTCAAAGTCCGCCGAGTCCTCGTCGTCGTTTTTCCAAGACGGCGAGGCAGAGGCGTCTTTGACAATGTGGTGTTGGCGGAGTTGTCCATGGCCTCGCCCCAACGCGGTTAACCATTTGAAGAATCGGGAGCTGCTCCGACGCTGCTTACAGAGCAGGCAGATAAGATCGGGGTGTTGTGCCGCAGCCGTGGTCGGTCCTGTGCAGGCTGGCGGAGACGGTGGCAGGGGATCCGACCAGAAGTCTCCGAGGACCATCCGAAGCCCGCCGGGTCGGCATTTGGACCGGCTCACTCGCACACATTTCCTGTGATCAAAGAATGTGATTGAAATAAGTTACTCACGAATCCCAAATCGACGTTCGTATTTCCATGCATGTTCTTGTCCTCGTGGTGTTCCACTGACCAAGAAATTGCGATACGGAGTCAAAGCATGAACGTGGTCAGGCTGTACCCTTGGAGAGGGAGTCCTCCCAGCATCAATCGCACTCGCCCCGCATCACCAGTCTCGCGATGCATTATGCCTAGCCAACGAACGCGCCGCTATCGGTGCACTCTGTTGGTCGGGCCTCGCCGAGTCTTAGGCTCAGTTCCCCATGCAATGTCAAGTTTTTGGAAATTCTCATGTTCCTTTCTTCGGATTTTCATCTGTCTTGTCGGTCGCTGATAAGCTGGCCACTAACTAAAATGGTATTTCAACACTGACGTACAACCCTGCCCCTTGGAAGCCTCTGAGATGAGATTTTGTAAAGAGTAGCTTCGTGGCAGCATGGGCTTGAATATCGTGATGGCCGTAGCGGCCGCGATGAAGGAGCCTTCGTCCATCCAAGCCGTGTGAATCCGTATTTCCCTCCCAAACTCCAGTAATTTTGTTGAAAAAATGTTTTGAAACGACGAAATCTTGTTTAGGCGAGAATCGCCCAATCACCAGACCTCACCACACCCACTGCACCACTTGGCATCATTCTCCGTGTCCGAACTCCATGAAACATGTAACGGGTTAAGAAAAGAGATAAATCATTCATGCGGATGCGGATGCGGAAGCGGCGGCGGGGGCCTCGGTCTTGGCCTCGGTGCCTGCGAGGTTGGTGGGCTTCGCGTTGGGGTTCTTGGTGTAGTAGTCAGAAATGGCGGCCTTGATGGCGTCCTCGGCAAGCATGCTGCAGTGAAGCTGTTGTTTTGTTAGCACCGGATAATGCGGCAGCTTTGCGTCGTCTGGGCAGCCATACCTTGACGGGGGGAAGCTTGAGCTCCTGGGCGATCTCAGTGTTCTTCACTCGGCCGGCTTGCTCCAAACTACATTGGTGGTTAGCAAGGAGATGAGTAATGTAGAGAAATGTGTCGACTCACGTCATGCCACGGACGAGCTCGGTCAGGTAGCTGGAGGATGCGATAGCGGAACCGCAGCCGAAGGTCTTGAACTTGACATCGGAGATCGTGTTGGTCTTGGGGTCGACGCGGATGTTGAGCCTGCGACAAACTTGTTAGCATGTAGGTCTGACAGAGATGAAGGATATATATCGCATGGCGGTCGGTTGATGTGCGAGTGCATTCGGGAGGGAGCCGAAGCAAAATGAAGCAGCTTGCGACCGGAGGGCATGCCGAGCCCCGCAGTGCGTGCCGACAGCGACTTGATGATATTGGGGATGTTCTTCGCGGGAGGCGTCTTACTTCATAACGTCACCGCAGGCGGGAGCGCCGACGAGGCCCTGGCCGACGTCCTTGTCGCCCTTGGGCATGGAACCGACATTGCGGGGGCGGGAGTAGCTGTTTCGCAGACATCAGTACTCTTCGTCTTCCAAACGTGATATCCGGGGTCACATACTGGTCCAGCACCTTCTCGTGGTATGCCCTCGTCGCGCCGACGGCAACAGCAGGTGCAAGCTGGCGGGCGGGAGCGGCGGAGGGGCGGACAGAGGTGGTGAGGATCGCGCGGGAGGCGACACGCAGGGACCTGGAGAACATCGTGAAGGGTATTTTCGTCGTCGGGGTCTTTTTCGGTTGGCTGTGTGCGGGTAGGTATCGAGCTTAGGAAATCGTCGCAGGTGTGTTTGAAGTCGCAAGGATCGATTGAGGGTATCAAAAGTGATTGTCGATGGTGTTGGCGACAAGAGGAGGGCGAAATAAGAAATTTGTTGAGGCAGAAGGGCACTCGGCAGCTGAGGGTTTAGCGGAGGGCAGAAAGAGGAGGCGAAGATTCGGGTCAAAAGAATAAAATGGAGAGAGCTGGCGCTGGCAGTGGCAGTGGCAGTGGGAGTGGGAGTGGCACCGTCGCAGTTCACTCCCAGTCACTGGAGCGGGCGCTGGGACGGGCTCCAGAATCTGGCACTCGCACACTCACAGCTGCGGATGCGGGACTTGTGACGGAGAACGATGGCGATCTCGGTGGTAGCAGGTGCCAGCCGCCAATCAGAGCTTTCAATGACCATGCATTAAGTCATGGAGAGCTCACTAGGCTCGGCGCCTCGGAGAAGACAAAAACTCGACCGCCTCCACTTGATTCGTCAGACGTCGTCTCATTGGCTGTGATAAGGCACGTTTCCTCGGCTCAGCGACGGGGAGAGTACGTACCACACGGCACCGGAGCGTATCCCCGTCTTTTGACAGCCCGCGCCAGGCCTCCCCTCTGTCCCTACCAGCTGGCTGGGCGGGATTCGCAGCTGCGGTGGAGCATCCGACGGGGCGGCAACAATTTGTCATTGTCCTCGTCAACGAAAGAGATTGGATCTGATTAGATACGTCCTGCACCTCCGTCGTCGCTGGTCTTACGTACTCCAGATTCAATCACCGGCCGGTCGGCGGTAGGCAGGGTCCCGTGTCCGCTTTTTTGTTCTTCTTTTTTTCTGTCCTCTGTTCTTAAGTCCGGGGAAAGTCGTTTCGATGCATAATCTCCACTAAAAAGTCGGTGTTGCATCAAAGACAGCATCTTGACTCATCCACGCGCAATTAAGCAGCTGTCATGCACGTAGACAGCGCAATGCGATTAACCACTGCGACAGCCCCACTCCACTACGTAATCCCGTCGTTCAGCTCCAGGCAGCCTGTCCTTACCTAAGCTCAAGCTCTCCCGCGTGCAGCAGTAGAGAGGTTCAGTGTTGCCTTGTGGTGCCGTGACTGGGTCCCCGCCGCGGGGCAGCACCAGCACCAGCACCAACCAATACAGCCCACCAAGACTTAGCTGGGTGCACCACCACAACGGCCACTACCTTACCTTACCTTACCACTATTTTCCTGCAAGAGGTTGAGCTTATCGGTTGTTTGCTCTGACTTGCTTTGCTCAGGAACCTGCCTTGCGCCTTCTCAACTCAGCTTCCTTCCTTTCAAGGTTGTGCTTTGACGCCTCTGCTGCACCTGCCTGTTTGCCTTTTCTACAAGACAGCCAGGGCGCATTCAAAAGTCAACACAACTTCAACCCTCACCCACCACAGCAACATTCCGAAGCTCACTGACCACGATCTCTGAACGAGAAAAAGCAACACCAGCTTCCACCATGGCGTGCCCTCATCTGGAGACCATAGCCCCAAGTTTGTGTTCCCCGAGGCTTACAGACATCTCCCCTGCCCATGCGAAGCTTCACCCAGCTGACATCTTGCAGCTCTGCAGCCGCCGACGCCCATCCAATCTGTCTATCGAGAGGACTGCACCCAGTGCTTCGACTCCCGTGTAAGCACTTCTCTAAGCCTCCCTCGACCTTCATTTGCTGACTTGTTGTGTCCAGGACGATCCCGCCGGCGTTGATGTCTGCCTCCAGTGCTTCAACGGCGGTTGTGCTGGTGATCGCAGCCACGCCCAGCTTCACCGACGGCTATGGGAGCACCCTCTCGTGCTGAATATTCGCCGCACCCGCAAAGTCGTCGTCCGAGATGAGCCTCCGCTCAAAATGTCGAAGCTGGCTATCGCCGCCGAGACCGAAGAAGACCGATTCGACACCACAACCACCGTCAAGTGCCTCGAGTGCAACCAAGAGCTTGACAGGACAAGTGACAAGCTTGCAAATGTCGTCGATGGAATTATGAAGGCCAACACCTTTTCCCGCAAGGAGGAGGTCAAGGCTTGGGAGCAGGAGCTGACCAGCTGCGAGCACATCTTGCTTATGCAGCAGTCGGAGCCCCGAACCATTCAATCCGGCGATCTTGGACACTGCTCGGCCTGCGACTTGCACGAGAACCTTTGGCTCTGCCTGGAGTGCGGGAACCTGGGCTGCGGCCGCAAGCAAATGGGCGGTGTCGATGGTAACTCCCACGCCCTCGCACACTCGACCGAGTCTGGACATGGTGTCGCTGTCAAGCTGGGATCCATTACCCCCGAGGGTACTGCAGACGTCTACTGTTACAAGTGCGATGAGGAGAGAATTGACGGAGACCTTGGCCAGCATCTGGGCCACTGGGGAATCATCTTGGCCGATCGACAGAAGACGGAGAAGAGCTTGACGGAGATGCAGATTGAGCAAAACTTGCGCTGGGACTTCAGCATGACTACTGAGGACGGAAAGGAGTTGAAGCCTCTCTTTGGCGCCGGCTTGACTGGCCTCAAGAACCTCGGTAACAGCTGCTACCTTGCCAGCATCGTCCAGTGTCTTTTTGATACCCCCGCCTTCAAGAACCGCTACTTCTTGCCTGCCCGCGACCTTCCCGTTGTCCATGACCCTGCGGAGGATCTGGAGACCCAGCTTCGCAAGATGGCAGACGGCCTGATTTCAGGCCGCTACTCGAGGCCTGATTCCGATGCTGTCCCATCTGATCAGTCCCCCGACCTCCCGACACAGAAGGGCCTGGCACCCGCCATGTTGAAGCACTTGATCGGCAGAGGTCATGCCGAGTTCTCGACCATGCGCCAACAGGATGCCTTTGAGCTGTTGCAGCACATTTTCAAGCTTATCACTCGTTCACCGCATCCCCCCGACCTTGGAGACCCGACCCAGCCTTTCCGCTTCGTTCTTGAGCAGAGGTTGCAATGCCTTGGATGCAAGAAGGTCAGGTACTCGACTAATGAGCAAGACAACATCTTCATCGACGTCCCATTGGAGAAGCTTCCCGCCGAGGAGGGTGCCGAGGCGAAAGCCGATGCGTACAAGCCGGTCACGCTCAAGGAGTGTCTGGATAATTTCACCGCCGAAGAGGTTGTGGAGTTGACGTGTTCTGCATGTGGAAGCAAGGACGGTTACACCAAGCGATCTCTGTTCAAGACGCTCCCTGAGAACCTTGTCGTCAATGCTAGGAAGATGGCTGTCATCAACTGGGTTCCGGTCAAGATCGACGTCCCTGTCATCGTTCCCGACGAGCCGTTCCTCCTCGACGACTACCTCTCCAAGGGTCTCCAGCCATTGGAAGAGACTCTTCCGGATGATGTCGAGGAAAGTGCCCCTGCGTTCGTCGCCAACCCTGAGGCCTCCAGCCAGCTTGAAGCCATGGGCTTCGGCCGCAACAGATGCGATCGCGCCCTCCACGCCACTGGCAACTCCGACGCCAACGCCGCCATGGAGTGGCTCTTTGCCCACATGGAAGACCCGGACATTGATGAGCCTCTGGTTCTAAGCGGCGGTGCAGGCGCCAAGGGTGATGCGGCGGATCCCGAAAAGATTGAGATGCTCGGGGCCATGGGCTTCTCCGTGCCACAGGCGAAGAAGGCGCTGCGGGAGACCAGCGGTGATGTTGAGCGAGCTGTCGAGTGGCTCTTCAGCCACCCTGACGATCAAGGAGTCTTTGACGACGAAGAGGCGCCTGCGGCAGCATCCGACTCTGCTGCACCCAAGCCGGAGGCGGGAAGTGCTGCCACCCCTGCCAAGTACCAGCTCCAGTCCATCTCCTGCCACAAGGGCACAAGCATCCATGCTGGGTAGGTCTTTCTCTTTCGGAGTTGTGGTCGTGAAAACAAGCTAACAATCAAACTAGGCACTACGTAGCCTTCATTCGCAAGGAGGTAGACGGCCACCCCGCTTGGGTCCTCTTCAACGACGAGAAAGTTGTTGAAGCGGCGGAGATTGAGGAGATGAGAAAGTTTGCCTACGTTTACTTCTTCAAGCGAGTCTAGGAACTCTCTTCAATGCCAGTAAGGTTGTTGAAGCGGTGGAGATTGAGGAGACGAAGAAGTTTACCTACGTATACTTCTTCCATGGCGTTTGGGTTGCGGCATAACGACGAGAACGGACAAAGGCGGTTGTCCTGGGCATACGAATGGCATGTCGAAGTTGCGTGTATCAATGATCAAGGGAAGAAGCATGGTTGGTTGCATGGCGGGAGATGGAGGGAAGCAGTCATGTACGGTGTGGAAAAGGAGAATACACATACAAGACAGACTCTGGTATACGGGCACAAGAAGGCAGACAAATTATAGTTTGTTCATTACTGGTGACGGCCAAAGATAGTGCTCATCACAGATTCAGACTCGGGGTGTTCCGAACATGTTCAGTGACCTCCAACGCCAAGACGCCTTTAACATGTTGATGCCCCCCAGCCCGGAATTTCGGGGGGATGTGGCATCAGATTCCGCACTCCATCATCGTACATTCATATTTGTAGCTCCATCGTAATAGTACACGGCAACAACGTAAGGGGTTGCCCGACATAAGGGGTGGGAGAGAGAGACAAGCCGGCTCACTCGGCCAGACGGTAGCTGACGAGGGTATCGACGCGGTGGTTGCTGGTGCTGAAGCCACGCAGCTGGACGCGTTCGCCGTTCTCAATCTCCTTTGCGTCGCTGTCGCCCCACTCGACGGGCACCTCGCTGTCGGCGTCGGCGTAGACGAGCACGTTGAAGGTGCAGTCGCCGGCGAGCTGGGGGAGGAAGGTGACGGAGGCGGTGATCTGGCGGAAGATGGCGGCGATCTCGTCCTGGATCTCCTTTTCCGTCTTCTCGGGCGCGGCCTCGGCCGCCGCTGACCCGCCGCCGGGTGCGACGTTCTCCTGGTCTGCTGCTTTTGAGCTCGACTTGGACTTTGACTTTGACTTGCCAAAGATTTGCACGTCAAACTGCCAGCGCTCGACGTGCTCGCCCGTGTCCTTGTCGGTGATGACGATGACGAGCTTGGAGATCTTTCCGCGAAGCATCCAGCGGTCCAGCTGGCCCATGATCTTCTTGATGTATGCCCTGACCTGGTCGTCGGATGATACTGCAGTTGTGTGTTAGAGCAACCTGTGACGCTTTCGATCGCTCGACGTGATGGGAGGGTGTCTCGAACCTAGCATGTTGAGGCCATATTTCTTGACGCTGGACGAAGCACAATCAAGTCAGCAAACGGTAACGAAACCAATGCACAAAAAGATTCAGGATGCGCCAGGAGGGGTTTTGACTTACGCAGAGAAGTCTTCCGCAGGATAGACACCTCGTTGGAAACTGGGAGCGGGGTTAGATTATGCTGAGCGCAGTCGGGAACTCCAGAGGGAGGTTGGCAGTTCGTACAGAATGGTGTGTATCGAGTATTGAAACTACTCAGCAGAAGCCTGATCAGTATAATGTTCTGCGCATGATGCAATCAAGGGGACGTGGCCCAACGGGATGCAACGAGGGGTTACTCACGAACTCAGCGACAAGCTTCGCGCTGCCCTTGAGGGCGAGCTTGTGCACCTTGGACTTGTCGACCTTGTCGTCGGAACCCATTGTAAATGATGTCGGTCGGCGAACGAGTGAGTGGGCGGGGCGGCAGCGGTTGCACGTGGAGTGTCGATTCCTGAACGAACGGTTGTTGAGGTGAGACTTGCGGCGGTGATGGGGTTTGTTTACTTTTGGACGGCATCGAATTTTGGGCTGGTTGCGGGGTGATTGGGCCTGTCTTGGCCTGGCGGTGACAGCTGACAGTGAGTACAGGGGTCCAGTTGGGCGGGCAGGGCATCCATATTCATCCACGGTTCAGGTTAGCGCTCGGCACTGCTACAGAGCCCCGCTGTTCCGGGCCGGCCGGCATTGCAACCTCCAGGTATCTTCCGCCGTACACTGCATCGCCCGGGCTTACCTATTGAGTTGCAACTTGCCAGAACCTGCCGACGGGCAACTTACACAATTTGCTTTGCCAGTCCGGGGGCCCCGCTTCGGGCTTGCTGCTACAACTGCGAAACTTTCCGTCATGGCGGTTGAACAAGGATTTGACTGTATAGTAAATATGGCTTTGTTTTGACGTCGGGGAACCCAACGGAAGTTGAACATTTGGCAGCAACAGATGTATTATCTAAAAGCTCATCATGACCTCGTTGGACTTGGTGGCGGAAAGGGATCGAACTAAACACTTTACTCGCTGGGAGCTGTTCAAGCAACCATACGACGCAACTAGAGGTTGGCAAAAACTACTTTGACATTATTCTCACAGCCTTCAGCAGCGGGTGCAGATCGGCCCAAAAAGTCACGATGCATCACATGGAGAAGACAATAGCTTGCAGTAATAAACAGGGGGTATTCGTATTATCTATGAAACTTGAAAGACTTTTGTTTTGCTTTAAGCAAGAGCAGCGCAGGTGAAGGGGCTGCTGATGGCGCCGGTCTTGAACTTGTGCGCCTGTAGAGCGGGTTAGCGTGTGGACTATGACCAAGAGCGATGAGCGGCCAAAACTTACAATCTCAACAATACTGGCGTATGTGCCGCAGACGAGAACAATCATGCCAATGACGAAGCACAGACCGTTCAGGGCGGTCTTCCACAGGTTGTGGGTGGCGAAAGGAGACCCCTCACGGATGAGCATGAACCACATCATGGCAGGGAAGTAGAAGGTGAAGCCAGAGATGAAGAGGGAGGAGCTGATGGACAGGAGCTCGGAGAAGAAGGGGATGGCCTCGGCAATGATGAAGGCAAGGACGGTGATGACGGTGATCAGAGTAAGCCAGGTGATCCAGCCCATCTTGGTGTTGATGAAGCGGATGATGGAGTCCTTGTACATGCGGCCGTGGATGTAGCGACCGACGACCGTGGTGTTGATGGATCCCGAAATGAAGATGACGGGCAGACCAACGCCGAAGGCGACCTTGGAGATGGTGTGGCCAGCGGACAGGAGAGCGGGGGACTGGACCTCCTGGCCGACAAAGGCGTAGATGAGGGCACCAGTGAGGGTGTAGATGAAGATCTCAATGAGACCAAGGGCCCAGATGGACTTCTTGTAGTCAGAGGGAGTGTGCATCTCGTCCATGAAGGAGAACTGGCAAATGGCAAAGCTGTAGGCGAACACAATGTTGGTGATGGCAATAAAGGCCTCGGCAAAGGTGAGACCGTCCTGGGGCCACGCGGACCAGGGAGCGGTGGTGATGGAGTCCTTGTTGATGCCGGTAGCAATCATGGTGATACCAATGGCCAAGATGATGGAGACAAAGTCGATGTATCCCAGGATGGCAACCTCGGCGAAGGAGGGGGGGATGGCGAGGATCAGCAGAATGATGGCGGAGACGACGGCGAAGACGATGGAGCAGGCGCCGTTGTTGGTGATGTTGCCAAAGGCAATGGCGCCGGTGAGGGTGTGGGAGCTAACCAGGAAAGTCAACTGCAGGGCGAACATGGCACCGACGAGTTCGTAGCCGAAGCGGCCCATCATGAGCTGGCCGGCGTCGGCGTAGTGCGAAACGTGGGGGAACTTGAGCTTGACCTGACCGACGACGTCACTGGTGTAGATGGCGATGAGACCGAGACTGATGCAGAGGATGACGCCAGGAACCATGCCGAGGGTAGCGAAGGCGGCGGGGAGACTGAGACTGCCGAGGGCGATGGCCTCGACGATGAGGACGACGGTGAGACGCTTCCAGCCGAGGCGATGGAAGTGGGCGCTGCCCTGGGCGGCCTTCTGCTTCTCCAGGTCCTGGCGGTTGAGGTCGGTGACCTCGCCGACGACCTCGCCGGGGAAGACGGCATCGCGGGAGAACTGGGGGGCGACAGCGGCGCCGTCCGCCTTGGTGTCCTTGCCCTCAGCCCCGCGGGACTGGTTGTTGATCTGGTCGTGATCCATTGCTGTTGGTGTTGGTGATGTTGGTAATTTTGACCGTTGTGCAATGGATGGCTGGATGGATGGATATGCTCCGTGGGGCCTAGTAGGGCGCACGAGTTTTTACACACGAGATGGCTGGTGTCGTTGGTGTGGAGAGAAACGGACCGACTTGGTGGTGGCGAGTAGACTGGACAGACCTACACAGGCGCGTGCTCTGGACTCTGGCGAGAGAAGAGAGGAGAGACCGGGTTGAGCTGGTCGCGAACGGCAGTTGAAGAGTCTGGAAGGACCGAAGAGTGAGAGAGAGACTGTCGAGTGCCTGGTTGGACTGAAGAAGGAGAGAGGGAAAACAACTCCAAAAAGATGGGAAGGTGGGAGGAGGATATATGGTGGCAAGAGGCGGAGCATGAGCCAGAGCCAGAGCACCGACCCCGGAGTCAGGCCGAGGAGGAGATGGGAGAAGAGAGGAGAGGAGGAGAGACGAGAGGAGGGCTCGATGGAAGCCTCGCCCTTCCCTCCGCCGTCTCGACTACTCTGAGAGGACAACTCCAACAAGTTGGAGGAGACTCTTCCCCTTCCACTTCCATGCAATCTATGAACATGGACTTGTTGAACAAGGGTCCTTATCTCTGGCCCCCCGCGATCTTGGAGCGGTGACACCGGCAACGGACGAATGTGAGTGGGCGGGTTTGGGATGGGTTCATGGAGGTTCGTCAGCCCGGGTCATGACTGATATCACAGCAAGCTCGTCCCATCCCATCATCCCCGTCGCCTCTATGATTCCGTGCGTCTTGGTTTTGCGGGGGAATAGACCGTTGCAGACTTTCCCCGCGAAATCGACCAGCGTCCCTGAAATTCCAGACGCACTGTTGAAGGCGTCCCGAGTTTCCCTGGAGAAGCAACGGCCAGAACCACGATGCTGGTGCTCTTTGCGCTGGCCATTTGTCAAAGAAACCAGGTCTGCTCGCGAGGGCCTGCGAGGCACTGCGGGACTGAGGCAATTCGAAATGTTTTGACATCGTAATAGAGTGGATTTTGTGACCTCTGCTTTACCTAATGGACCCAGCAGAAGAGCCGCAGAGTGGCCTCACCTTGCCCCTTGAGTCAGTCCATACCCACGACCAGCCCCGAAATACGACCGGTGGCGCTGGGAAGAGCTGGCATAACTGGGATTGCGGATGGGTGTATCGTCAGGCATGCGTGTTATTGACGGGAGAAACTCTGCGCTCGCTCAGTCCGCCTGCTTCGAAACCCAGACTAAGGTGCGAGTGGCGCACACTCTGCAGAGCTGTGGACAGCAGCCATCAGACGTTGGGCCAAGAGTGTGAGGCTCAATCTCTTCAGACGGGAAGCAAAGCCAAGTTGGCGATTGCCGAGCAAGTGGGGGAGCGGCATGGTGGCATGAGCCGCTGCTAGCCCTGGCGAGAAAAGTCCTTTCAAGGCTGCCCGTCACGCCCGTCTGTCCGTTTTTGCAGTGTTCCTGAATGCGCTATGCCGCTCGTGGGAGCAATGCCGCATACCCGCAGCCGGCTGCAAAGGAAAACGTAATAGCGCGGGTGATGGTCCCGTAGAATCCCGACATGCTCGAGTCGTCATCCTGGCCGGTGCCCACTCACACCGTCGCAAAGAGTCGTGCATTAGGAAGGCTTCTAGAAGATCGACTCGAGGGCGGAAAAGGCTTGTCGACGCCTCCGACGTCGTTCCCTGCAACGTGAGTGGCCGACTGCCGTGACGACGCGGGTTGTCCCTGCACAAATCTCACTTCTCTGCGCTGTTGGCGACGCGAGAATGAGATCTCTCACGCGACGGGGACTTTGGGAACACCCATGTCGACGACCAGAGCCATGAACTCAGGGCGGAACTGGCGCAGACCCTTTTTTCTTTTTTTTTTTTTTTTTTCTCTTGGTATTTGTTTTTTCTCATCTCATCTGCTCTTGGGACAATGTGAGTGGCCAGCCGTGTTCTGGCGTGAATAAACTGACATCTTCCCATTACCAACCGCAGAGATAATGGTTTCGGGCCTCGTTGGGGCCTTCATTAACGAGAGAAATATTCGCCGAATTGACCGACATGCGACGACGCGGTGGCAAGCAACACGGTAAAGCCGGTTTCAAGATGAAAATGATTCGGGTCTTGATTCCTTCAACCAACTGTCAGCAGTGATCACTGATAAGGCTTGTTTCCACAAATGAGTTTCAATTAAGAACACCAGTCAAAGATAGCTCGACGGGCGCGCCACGGGCAAACCGACATTTGATGGCCTGCGTCTCTAGCGGACCCGAAGGTTTGCGCGTGCATTGCAGACACTCGGCCGACGTGCCGCGAAACCGAGCATGCTTGTGCTTGTCCTTCACCTTGCACAAACAGTGTGCGAATGGCTCGGACGCGGTTTGCGCCGGGCTTTTCTTCGCTCCTCTGCAACTCAGCAGGGGGCTCGCAAAAGAGAAACAAGGGGCCAGGCAGGCAAGCAGGGGAAAGGGGGGGGGGGGGGCGCTGGTCCATGGACATGGGCATGGGGGCTTGTTGAGAGAGGAGCAGAGGAATGGATGGATGAGAGGGGTTGGGACGAAGCCATTGGCAATTCCAATTGTGTGATGGAATCCGGGGTAAAAATATGCGGGGATGGGGCCAGTTGGATGCAAAAAGGGCAATTTTGAGCGCCCAAGTGCTCTCATTTTCTCCATATTGTCAGCAATCCAACGCACTCGTCCCCGTTGCCTGCGGCGACTGAGTCGTGCCACCCTCACCCTCCCGCCGACAGGACGAACGCATCAACCGCCGATATTGCTGCAATACGGGTCATACCGGTCGTTTCTTCGCCGACAAGCGGGACGGCGTGTCTTGACATGGTCCTCGAGGCCAACACGCTCCGATCCCACGACAGCTTCAACCAATCTCGTTGTCGTTATTTGACCGCCGAATAGGTATGGGTACTCTGTTGCTGCGTGTGACTCCCCCAGATTTCCTCCAGGACCGGCAGACATCGCTCGTCCCGCCAAAGAAATCCCGCGAGCATCTGCTGTAAGGTTTCGCGGTTACATCGCTCTGGGGGCAACACGTCGCCGGCTCTGTCCAGAAGCTTGTGCAATCTCGAAGCGAACCACTGGCGGTCCTCTGTTGTTCCGGACCCGACGATACCGACGAAGAGGATCCAGAGCAGGGCGGCGTCGTGGGAGACCCAGATGAGTGCGATGGAGTCTGCGTCGTCCAGCGCGGCCCGCATGCGCGCCACCAAGAGCCGGATCATGTGCCCGGTAGTCGGGATCTCTCGCAGGACGACGTACAGAAAGACGTGAGCCGCTGCGACCAAGACGAGGAATCGCTTCTGGACAGGTGTCGCTGTTCGACGCTCCACGTACAGGAAGTGCAGGATCGAGCTGTCTGCGGTGTTCATGACGATTCTGATGTCGTCTGCTGACACGGCCCCCGCCTGCGAGCAGATTGCTTGCCTCAGACTCACGAAAATCTTACGTGGTTCATTGCTCTCGTCGGGATTGTGGCCTCCGAGCCTGTCCAGGTGACGCAAGGAAGGTGTCATTGCGCGATTCACGACTGACGATGGCAGAGAGACCTGGTCGAGGGTATGGAACATGGGAAATTTCGGAATCCTCCCCAGACCGGATGCCACTTGGATGTCAATCCTGACGATGGTTTGGTGAGCAAGAGTCAAATTGATGAGGAGGAGTCTGGGGAAAAGGTGGAGAGCCCTACCAGTTGATGCAACGGCAGAGGATGTAGTCGTGTTTGATCGTGTCTGGCCCGCCTCGGGCCTCCATCATGGAATGGAGCCCGGTCAGGTGTACCTCTGCTGCTGCAAAATGGCCTTGGAATGCCTGAAACTGTGTGTCAGAGTTTTGGAGTGTGTTGGAGGCATGTTCCGAGAACCAAGAGAGGTACACTGACTTCGACGCTTCCCAGCATGGCCACGCCGGCGAGTACGGACAGGTCGTCGCTTGCGCTCTTGGCAGACTCTCGAGACTCCAGCCGAGTCCTGATGATGCGCATGGCCTCTCCTTTCTGTTGGTATCCTTCGCGCTGGAGCTTCGGATCAAGCGAGGGCATCGTCGCCGTCAAGAACTCGGCCGCCAGAGCGAGCGTGACGCGCATGATGAGAGCACTCTGCATGGCGTAGGGAAACCACGGCCTCTGCTGGTCAATCGTGGTCGAATTGAGGTTGAACCTTGTGATGACTGTGGGGTCAGCGTCTAGCATCCGTAGATGGTTTGGACGTTCAAACCTAACGCGGGGGTTCATCTTACAGTATCTGACCAGAGAATCTACCGAGGAATTGCTCGGGATGGGCAGCGTGTTGAAGGGATCTGCGTTATCGCTACCCAGCCGCTGGACCCAAGGAGGCAAAGAAGCCTGCGTCACAAATTCAAGTGAATTCTGCAACGACTGACGAGGGGTCGTCCTCGACGCATTAGTGGAATGAGGTGTTGTAGTTCGTCTTGGCTTGCCCCTGGAGCTTTGCCCTGCGGAGGTAGGTTTCGCAGAAGTCGCAGGCAGTCTGAAGCGGCCCTTTAACTGCGCTTTGCGCTTGATGGTGTCCTGAGATATCAGTGCCGTATTGGTATACAGCTCAGAGGCACCCTTCTGGATGGCCGTCCTAATAGCATGGCTTCGGACGGATTTGTTTGCCGGCTGGAATTCTCCCTCGTCGGCACCAAAGTTGACGAACTTGTACTCGGGCGGCGGGGTCATGGCAGGCCCCTCCTCATGGGCCGATGCGGCTGGAATGCGGAGTGGCGGAGGGTAGTACGGCACAGCACGGCAGAGCTTGCATCAAGGGCCGTGCTTTCCTCCGTGCTTTCCTCCGGCGCAAACCCGGGCTTTGATCGGGGCGGAAGCGGAAGCGGAAGCGGTGCGGGGTCAAAGTCGGAGACGGGCCCGGGGCAGGAACGCTTGTGAAGGCGTGCTTTGCCTTGTTACAGGGAGGAGACTGGCGCCGGGTATGTGCAGTACGTATCCTGTAACGTGTCAAGAATCGCGAGAATGCTCCTGAAGTTAGTAATCAAATACGAATGTGGTCCGATTTCTGAGAGCAGACGGCGCGAAGGATGCTCGACGGGTGAGATGCAAATGCATGGCTGAACGCCAGGAATGCAGCCTGCGTGAAGTGGTTTTCAGTACGTACTTATCAGCCAAGAAACACTAACCAATAACATTTGGACGCTTGTATCAAAAGCGGAAAGCGTCTGGCTTTGATTGGCTTGCCGCAAATGACTCGGGCATCATTCGTCTGTCCGAGGGCATTTCCTTGCTCCCTGTTGCTGCCACTTCGTCCGCTTCGGCCTCCGACCGGACGAAATATCCGTAAGCAGATGAACAACATCACGATAGCAATGAGACAGAAGCTGACGCTGTGCCAGGCGCGGTGATGCAATTCTCTGTGCGAAGGGCTCTTTTCATGGCTGGCTTCAGCCAATTCGCCTGGCCGCACAACTTTGACCAACTTTCACCAGATCACTGGCCACAAACCGTCAGACACAGCACTCAATTGATGCTGCAACCCTTTGCCGTGTTAGTGAACCCACCATCGTATTAACACCATGGACGAGCGCCCCTCCAAGAAGAGAAAGGTCCGCAAGGGGACACGCAGCTGCTGGCAGTGTGAGTTCGTCCGTTCGAGAACCCCGCCGTCCCGAGACCCGAACATCGGTTCAGACCCCAGAATCTGGGTTTCGGACATGGCGGATGTGAACATGGCATGGCCCGCTGACATGTCATCCAGGCAGGAAGAGAAAGATCAGATGTGAGTTTGCCTCTGACGAAGAGCAAACCTGCGCCGGCTGCAAGACAAGGGGGACCACCTGCGTCAGCCAGGAATTCATCGACGATGAGCCGTCTGGTCCTCCCGAGCGCGGCTTGGCCCAGCGTCTCGGCCGCCTTGAGGAGTTGATGGTCAAGCTGGCCGACAAGATAGGCCCTGAATTGTCCTCCGAAAAGGCCATCACGCCGGCCACCTCGCACACGTCTCCTCGTACTTCAGAGTCTCTCTATACCCCGGACAGCCGCGTCCAGACGACCCAGAGTGCTTCTGTCGCGCCTCAGCTTCAACAACCAACCCCTTCTAAGTCGACATCAGAATCATCTCAGCCCACCCAAAAACATGAGAGAATATGCAAGGAACTATACTCCATGTTTCCGTCCGTCCAGGACGCCAGGACAATCATCGAATCGAGCAGGGGTCCGATATTTGTCCTGATCTTGTTCTACTCCAACCAAGACATAGCCGACAACAAGTCGCCGTCGCTAGCATCCCTCTCAACCATGCCCGACATCACCAAACACCCAGCCATATTAGCCAAGCGCCTTCTTCAGTTGACCATCTGTCTCCAGCAGTTACCGCCATGCTTTGACGCCTCTCGGCTCTCCCTCAAGGATTCCATCCAGGACACCATGGCCGAATGGAGTGCAGTCGCAAGCCAGGTTACCTCCAATGACGACCTCGTCGGCTCCGTAGAGGGTCTCGAGTGCCTCATCTTGCAGGGCTTCTACCTCATCAACTCGGGCAACCTGCGCAAAGCATGGCTGGCGATGAGACGAGCCCTGAGCCTCGCACAATTAATCGGCATCGAGCGGAACGGCGGTCGGCCGCTGAAGTCTTGTGATCCCACCACCAACCCGGCAATGATACCCTCGTCGCATCAACTCTGGTACCGAATCAACTTCTGCGATCGCTACTTGTCTCTGCTACTTGGACTGCCTGCCGGCACACAAGACAACAGCTTCATGTGTGAAACTTACACAGGTAACGACACACCCATGGAGAAGCTGGAGAAACGCTACACGGCCATATGTCTCCGCATCATTGACAGGAACCATGCGTCCACCAGCGAGGGGTACGCCATGACGCAGTCCATCGACTGCGAGCTTGAGCATGCGGCGAAGACCATGGGCGCAGGATGGTGGGAGATGCCCCCAATGTCGACCTTCGCAGACCCGGAGACGCAGATGACAGTCATGTCCCACCTGATGCTGCAGATTCACCACCACAGCCTGCTCATCCTGCTCCACCTGCCTTACATGCTCCGCAACCCGACGAACAACCGCTTCGACTACAGTAAGCAAGTATGCCTAGAGTCAAGCCGGGCAGTGCTCAAGCGCTGTGTGGTATTCCGCACGGCGAACGATGCCGCCTTCTCCTGTCGACACATCGATTATTCCTCTCTAATGGCGGCGATGACACTCTTGCTAGGTCATCTGAGCCGCCCGCCCGGAGTCAGAGACGATGAGTGGGCGCTGCAACGCGATGAAGACAGGGCGCTGGCACAGACCGTCATGGAGAAGATGGAAGAGCTGGCCGACTTAAATGACGATAAGCTCTCGGGGGAGAGCGCCGGGATAATCAAGCAGCTTCTGCCCATCATCGATTGCTGTAGGAACTGCCTAACCACGGATACGGGCGAGGAGTGGAATCTCAAACTGAGCATTCCCTATCTTGGAACAATCAACATCAAAAACTCTTCGGACCAAAACGCCCAGTCTCATTTGGTGGATCTAAGCCACTCCCAGCTCCCAACGCCGTCCAACACCACTACGGTTTCGCCGCCTTCATTCCCGCCAAACCAAGAAACCCCGTCCACGACGTCTGTGGATGCTCTTCTCGGCCAGGAATTCAACACCACTCACGGAGACATATACACCGGATTCAACGCCGACTGCCTGGGATGGCAATGTCCGGGTATAACGGCCGAGGTGGGCGATTGGGCGTTCCAAGGCGTCGATACGACATACTGGTCCCTCTTGAACCCTGGCATGTCTCCTAGTGGGTTTAAGCAATAGTGTCGCGGCTTATGGGAAAGCGATCCTGTGGGAGGGGAGTCTTGAACATTTCCTTTTTATGGCATGCTAGTAGTGGGCTGTGGCACGAGGCGTTAAACATGGATCTCATATACCCAACTCCATCTTTTCGAAGTTTTTGGCATCCCATGCTTACGTCCATGGCCACTTGACTACCCTCTCTCATTGCAACGGTAGACATCCACTGGCCCAGCTGGGCCCGGGTAAGCATGGAGAATAGAGTCATGTAATGCCCGCGACTTTCTCCAAAGAGAACCATGCGTCTCTTGAGCTAACATGACCCCTTTCTGGTTCCGGATGATGTTTGTTCGTGCCAAGCAATATTTTCGCGGTACCGGCAGTGATGTGTGTCGATCCCGTTGCCGTGCCGCTTCGAATCGGAGGCACAAGCTCCGAACCTTCGTCTCATGTATGGATGTCGCCAAAGCAGAGCCACGCCGTCCGCAATCGTGTGACAAATGCCATATTTCTTGCGACAAGCTTAATTTAAAGTAGATTGGCAACATGGATGTGCGTCTCTTCCGGCGAATCGGCTATTACTCCCTGCATGCGCGACTTCTGCCGGGAGATCCTATCGACTACGGTGCTTGTTCGCATCCAAACTACTGCAGCCAATCCACTTTCATGAAACATGTCATGCCCCCTTTTTCCATTAACAACGGTCAATCTTCGGGTCTAAACAGCCGGTCCGACTCCCCTTGGCGATGGAAACATCGGCCATGACTGTGTGGACCAGCCGATTGGTTGTCGTCCTGGTTGAAAATCCAGACAAGCCACTGATATGCAGGCTTGATGTGTCCTTTGAAGAAGGAAACACAACGTCGAAGCTCTTGCCTGTAATCTCAGATCCCGTGCCGCTGGATACTACTCCGCGGGGGCGATTTATATTGCAGCTCGAAAAGTACACCAACCAGCTCGCCTCATGCATACTAGGAGGTCTAGGACGCAATAGGTGATTTGCTGGACACAGAGTCCATCATAATGTGAGGGGCGAGGCTGTTCCAGTTTACCCAGCTTGTTCACAAGTCAAAGCCCCTCAAACTCGTGAAGAACTCCTCCGGGGTAGCATCGTGGAGGCAAGGGCTCCGGGCCGCCTCTGTGCAAAACACCCGCGGATGACCGTGATGAATGTCACAGTCCAGCTCCATAGTGGCTCTGAAGACAATAAATGAAGCTGGGCATTCGCAACGCCCGAGCTGTTGATTGCTCAACCACCGCCGCCACTACCCTTCAGCTCGCCACCTCACAACCTGCAAGTCATCCATCATGAAGGTCTTTGCCATCGCAGCCGCCTTGTCGGTGGCCGTCTCCGAGGTGTCTGGCCACTACATCTTCCAGCAGCTGGGCGTGGGCTCTTCCAAATTTGGCGTTTTCGAGCACATTCGCAAGAACACCAACTACAACTCCCCGGTGACTGGTACGTGGTTTCGAGGAAAGGCGATTTGATTTGCAAAGGGCATCAGCCCGACTGACGAAAATACTCCCAGACCTTGCCTCCACGGACTTGAGATGCAATGTAGGCGGCGCCAGCGGTGCGCAGACGACCGTCACCTCGGTCAAGCCTGGCGACTCGTTCTCCTTCACCCTTGACACAGCCGTCTACCACCAGGGCCCGATCTCTCTGTGAGTTTCGAATAGATCAACCGGAAGACCCCGCACTCATTTGTTTGAAAGATTCCTCTCCAAGGCGCCGTCTCACGTTCAGGACTACGACGGGTCTGGAAAATGGGCCAAGTTCAAGGACTTTGGCCCAACCTTCTCCAACGGCCAGGCCACATGGCCGATGTACCGTAAGACATGTCCGCAATTTCCATCAGGAGTTTGATACTGACCCATGCAGAAACATACGAGGCCAAGATCCCGACCTGTCTTCCCAACGGCGAGTACCTGCTGCGCATCCAGTCGCTGGCCATCCACAACCCCTGGCCCGCCGGCATCCCTCAGTTCTACATTTCCTGTGCCCAGATCAATGTCACCGGCAGCAGCGCGAGCGCCTTCTCGCCGACGCTGAGCATCCCCGGTGCTTTCAAGGAGACTGACCCAGGATACACCGCAAACAGTACGTGTGCTCTGTTCGAATTTTGCGCGTACTATGCTGACAGAATCTCGCAGTCTACAATGGTTTCACTTCTTATGAAGTCCCCGGAGGCAGCGTGGTAAGTACTGGTGAAACAGTCTCGATTCTTGTTTTGATGCTAATCATTCGTAGTGGAACTGCTAAGTTGTGAGATTGGGGTTTATGTTGTACATAGTTCATCTTCCTTTCTCTCGGTGCGTGATTAGGCTTTTGAGTTGGAGGTTGGAACGTCCAAGACATGCAGATTCAAGTGGTTACAAGGAAGAGTACACAACGTAAGATTCGGCGACTAAGCCATCTGTAGCCCATGCAATTCACAATAATGCACAGTCACTTGGCATGAACTGCGAAGCATTTTCAATTGTCCCACGGCTCGACCCAGACGTGACCTGTGAGGGCGAGGCAACTCGGACATACCAATATCGTCGGAGAATCTTTATCAACAACTAGGATTTGGTTGAATATCTTACCACGGCCGCAATATCAACATCTTGGCGGCTTCAGACGTTTGGTCGCGAGATGTCTAGACTTACCCAGAGGCATACACCAGATCGATGTTAGTGCCCTCAGGTGCCAACAAAAGGAGCACAGCATCCTCGTGACACGGAAGAAATGACCGGCTATATTCAACACAGTCGCATTGCCATGGTCTCGGCAATCTAGACTCGACACCCTCCTGAACTAATGAGGCAAGTGCCGGGATCTCAGTCCGTCTATGGGCCCCTCCGGATCAGGGGAACTCTCCCCACCAGCCCAGACTTGGGAAGACTTCTACATACCGCCAAACAGTAAACTCACGGCCCTTAAAGCCAGCGGTCGCGCGCTTGTTGCATATCTCTTCAGAAAGAACTTCGATCCAGCCACGGACTCGTAAAGCCGCTACTCATCTGGTTCAACATGAAATCACTCACTCCAATCCTCGGCGCTCTTGCCACGTTATGTAGCCTCACATCGGCTCACTGTCAGTGAAATCAGTATTCTCTTTCATCAGCGTGTATTGACATGCTCTCTTAGACCGCTTCACAAGCTTGGTGGTGGGGGCCACCAACACCGGCGAGTACGTTAATGTCCGGAGAAACACAAACCACAACAGTCCCATCACCGACGTCTCGAGCAAAGATATCGTTTGTAATGCCGGTGGTCTCTCCTCTGGACCAGCCACCAAGATCGCTACTGTCGCAGCGGGATCCACCGTAAGTGGCCGGCCCAAACACGGAGATTTAGGACTTTGAACTGTCGTTGACAAGCAAACAGGTTGGCTTCGCCATGGACCAGTCCATTTACCACGACGGTCCTGTGATTGTGTGGCTGTCACCCGCAGGCTCCAGCAACGTCACGACGTACGACGGCAGCGGACCCTGGGCCAAGATCTGGGAGCTCGGCGCGGAGACGGGTAACGGACAGATCAAGTTTCCCGCCTCCAACCAGGCAGCCTTCAACTTTCAAATTCCCTCATGCACGCGTACGTATTGTCCTCCTGTAGATTGCCTGTGGCAAGAAACGGAACTGACTTGACGATATCAGCCCCCGGAGAGTATCTCCTCCGCATCGAACAGATTGGCCTGCACTCAGCCAGCGCCAAGAGCGGGGCCCAGTTCTACATCTCATGTGCCCAGATCAAAGTGACCGGCTCTGGAAGTGGCCAATTTTCTCCGACGGTCAGGTTTCCGTAAGTGTCCAGTGTGGATGGCTTGGAGTTCTGGTATCTGACAGGTGACAGGGGCGTGTACACTGGCAACGAGCCTGGAATCTTGATCAACATTTACTATCCCGTGGTGAGTCAGACCGTGAATATTGCGAGCTCGGAACACTGACAAGGTTGTCCAGCCAACTAGCTACACTATCCCAGGAGGTCCGGTAGCCAAGTGCTAAAGTGCGTGTTGGTCGTGCAAGTAAGGTGGCGCTATGAGGCTTGCCCACGTTCTCATCTCGACAAGATATCATCAGGTCACATAGTAAAGAAACCAAATGAATGTTCACATATTTTGATCGTCTACACAGAGTCTGCATGCTCGTGTCGTGTTCATACATCTCGTGTCAGTGGCATTGCTGCCAGATGTCAGCCCTGACTCTACGCCCGGCTGGTATCACTTGTAGAGGTGAAGTAAAAAGAAAAGACCATACTCCACGGCTAAAAGTAACAACGCTCTTCCGTCCAACGCCGCAAACCCCAAATAAAGACACCATCGTCCACAGGGGGCTCACCCAGACAAAGGGAATGACCGGACCCCGAAGAAACACCATAAATCATAAAATCCTGATCATCTCAAGACGGTTACCGCATAGGCCCATCACTGTCTGCAAAGCTGCGCCGATCCCGCACCCACTCACGGGTAGGGGCTCCACAGTTGTTCGGGAGTGCCGGGATACTCCATATATGACTCGGTGGCCGGGCTCGAAGTTGCGATGGGGTTGGTGGTTCGGTAGGCGTTAAGCGCGGCCATGTCGAGAATCAGGTTGTTGGCGCCGTTCATATTGTTCCAGTTCGTTGACGACTGCTCAGTCACCTGGCCGGCGCGGAGGCGGCAGCACTCATTGGCCAGCAGCCTGTAGGCGCAGCAAAGGGCGTCGTTCTTCTGGTGCATATCGTCGATCTGCTGCTGGAGCTCCTCCAAGCGTTGCTCCTTGCGCTTACGGTACGCGCGCTGGTTAGCCCGGTTTTGTGCTCGTCGTTTCTGGAGGTACAGTGTAAGTTGAATGTCTCACAATGACTGGACGATGTCAGGTTCGCTTACTGAAAGCACGGTCTCGCTGCAGTTCTTGTATCTGTTGGCGCGTCTGCTCTTCTGAGAGGCCTTGTCGAGGGAGCTTTCCGACGTTGATGAGTGGCTGCAGTCATCGTGGGAGTCGCCGGCCTTGTTGGTGTCGATGCTTGATGTGGGACTCGGCGGGCAAGACCATAGTGATGTCGGGGTGCAGTAGCCGTTCTCGTTCGTACCCTGCGGTTCAAACGTGAGCTTTATGAGTTTTCAACGAGCGGGTGACTGATGAAGGAGGACTTACGATACGAGCTGCGAACTGAGAGGCAATGAGGTCATAGGCCGTGTTATTCGGGCCCATGGGCGGGAAGCCGGTGGCCATGGTGTAGGGAGGAATCTCGGGCGATGTACTGTTCATTGCAGCGGTTGTATGATGAGCCTGCCTATTTGATGGACAGTATGAGGTGAGTCAGGCAAGGATGAACAAGAGTCACGAAGACGATGACAGATTACAAGTCAAGAGTAGAGAGAGAACAACGATGAAGATGGATCCGTGGGATGGATAAGAAGGGGGCGTGGAAGTGGAGGGCATTAGCGGGAATTGAGAGGCGAGGGTGGGTGGACGGGAGGATTATATATCTGGCGGGACTGGAGAGAGCATCATGAAGTAGAGCAGAGCAAGATATCCGAGGGTAAGAAAGATGCGACGATGGAGCCCAGGGCAGGAGGCTATGAACGGAGCCAATGGGGGAGGGTGTTAATGTCAACGAGGCTCCCCATCTCATCTCAGGGCCGTTGCATCTTTGGGATTCGGTATTCGGTGCCGCGCCGGTCTACGGTATGGGGCCTCCCCAGTGGGTGGACCGTCCGAGTGTGGGTGCAGCTGGACCGTGTTGCGTTGTGTTGTGTTCAGACTGAGTGAATGTACATAATATGTGTCTGTCTGTATGTCTGCCTGTCTGTCTGTGTTGCCCCAAGTCAGGCACATGGCAGTAGATGTCGGTCAAACGCCTACTTGAGCACACACACACACATACATAAGACCTTAGCGTATAAATCATGGTACATACAAAACGTGAACCTGGCGGGGAATACGCAACAAGACGATTGTATGTGCTGTGTGCTGTGTGCTGTGTGCTGAGTGCGGTGTGTGTGTGTGTGTGTGTGGATGGGCGTGGTTGGGTGTGTGCGTGTATGCAGGTATGTGAGTGTATTATCCATCTGATCCCGGGACGCCGGAGATCATCGCGTGGTCTGCAGAGGGTCGAGGCCGGCGATGAGCGGAGACGCCCCGGGAATACCTGGAAAGCGGGTCCCAGGCCCCGGTACGTATCCGCCCTCGCTTCTTCTGTCGGTGCCGCGACTCTGTTATTCTCGCGAACCTTAGGTAGTTACTCGACAGACTGCCGCAACCTTTTCGTTGTTGCTGCGGCTTCTAGACTGCGTGCGGCTTAGCTTCGGAACGAGCCTGGCGCACCTCATTTTTCATTCTGTGCTGCGTATTTTCTGCAGCATGGCAGGGGGGAGCAGTAAAGGCACAGGGTGGTCTAGAGGTTCAGTGTCCAAAAGCTGCAAGACGCGAATAGAAGCGAGCTGGAGCGAGACCGGCCTTATCCGGTATGATGTCATTTGTGCGCGGAGATGCAGCAAGCAAGTAAACAACGGACGGCTGGCTGGCTGGCTGGCTGGCTTGGGCCATCAATGTATTCGTAGACATGCTGCATCTTTTGACATGTGCAGCACCAAAGCCCATTAACACCAAGCCCCGTCAAACTCGGTACCAAACCGCAGCGTCACTTGCGCACAGAGAACTGTCTGTACTAGTACGGTCTCAACATTGCTTGTTAATGCAATTGCTCATCTTCTACCTCTCAACCGTCCGTGAAGAAATGGCGTATTGTGTACGCGACATGAACCACAGACGACGGCAGACCAGATCGGAGACGTGCGCTACATACTACGCAGTACGTGGGTCTTCTGCTCAAGGGCTTCTCCCGGCATCTCGGCGTCTCGCAAAACCGATGCCATCCTGGCCCCATGCCCCCCCATTATTCCCAGCCCATCACCCATGGATCATGGATCATGCTTGACGGCCCTTTTCAGCTGAAGGCGCCAAAGAAAACAAAACGAAAACCCTGTGTTCAACGTTTGCGACAGACGAGTCAATTCAGATCCCCTCACGCCCTCCGGTTTGTGGCGGTTCGTTCACGCACCGGCCATGCCCACCCACCGTGGCTGAAGTCAAGGGCATGAACCGCTCGTAAAGCCCAAAAGGGATTATACATTCGTCTGGTGCTATTTCAGTTTTTACAGCCGTTGCCTATCCCCAAGTTTGATGTTAAATCCGTATCGCAACTATGCTGTGCTGATTCGTGTTGGTTTGGCCACAGTGAACAGTGCCACCACCATCACCGGTGCCCTTTCGGCTCCGGAAGACTGCGCAACAGCCAACTCTCTAGCCGCCGTCGGTCTGCCTCTCTCAAACTCTGGCGCCGCGCCTGGTGATGCAAAGTAGTCATGTACCTGCTGCCAATACATGCAGACCTGTAACGAACGAGTGAATGGCCTTCAGCCCTAGCAAAACGGCGAAGCCCCCTTTACCCGTCAGACCCGTCACACCCGGTTCAAGCCACCCAACCGGTGGCATCTATTTGACGATTCCCGACTTTCAGGAAAGCTCGGGTACGTCGGATTCGCGTCGGCCGCGTCGGCGTCGGCGTCAGGGTCGGCAAGCGGGCGGCTGGCTGGTGGACCACGGGATGTGACCAGAAAACAGCGCAAAAATAATTCCCAGTAATTCCCATCGGGAGATTGCCAGAGGGTGGTGGGGAACTGGGACCGGGTATGCAGAGACTAGAGCATGTAGACTGTAGTGTAAACACACCCGCTGCATCACCCATGATCCATCATCTCCATCATTTGGACGTGGGAACTCGTAAAGATACGGGTACGTCGCACGCATACAGCATGCCCGGTCTCCCTTGGCTCATGCCGACCGGTCTCGCAAGGCTCCTTCCGGCTGACCACATCCACCAGCAAACGCACCTTGTCGTGTACTTGCCGTAGAACCTGGATTAAGCTTATCCACGAAGCCGTCATTGCCAATTTCTGGCCTGCTTGACGGTTCGCTTGTACCTATTCATCGTGCTTTGCTTGGTCCATCGCCCGGCTAAGCAGGAAGAATCCACCCCCGCCAGCACCAACGCTGCATAGAAGGCTTGGCGTCTTCCACTCCTTCTTCGGCGCAGCTTCCAATCACACACATCCCCCGACACTCTCCCGTCCTCTGTGGATATGATGGATATAACTGACTGACGCCTATTCAGAGAACATCCGTAACAGCGAACACATACGTGACATGACTTGGTTTGACTATCGAGCCCGTACTGCAGCCGTACGATTCAGTCAATGATCACTTCCTTCAAACATTTCCAGGACATCAAGGACGCCCCTCAAAAAGGCGCTCAAAGCAGCTCGGTGCCGAACCGCACAGCTTACGAACCACTGCGCCTGGCTGAACCTGGCTGAACCAAGCTCGCGCTCGGCCAATGTTTTTGAGCACAGGTCCCGCCGTCAACCTAGAAAAGCCGCGCACAGAAGACCCTGAAAATATCCATGGTATTCCCGAAAATTACGTCGCCAGCCGCCCAGAAACTCTGTTTAAAGCCGTTCGAACCGGGCTTACTGGCCTCTTGCATACGCACACCCATGTTCGCGCCTCACATCAGCCTTTCTGCATGACCAGACCCTTATTTTCCATCCCCAACTTTCTCATCTACTCCACCGTATTTCTTTCTGGTGTACTAATAATGAAGAGCCCAACTATGCTGCCGCCGGTGAGACGCTTTCCAGCCTCCGGACATTGACGGAGGAAAGCGGGGCTTGGTGCCGAACATGTACCCACAATTGATCGGCGCCGCCACGGCCGATGGTGCGGAGTCCCGCACGGAGCGTCTCCTGCATCTCCGCCTTCATCCCCAAGCCCAAAGGACAAGAAGCTGTGAAGTACGTGACGACGCGAGCGAACAGGGAGTAGGGCGACATGGCACATACTGCCTGGTGCGTTTCACCCAACGGCTCCGAGGAGAAATACTGCCACCCACACTCCCTCCCGCAGCTACAGAAACCGTAAACACCACGCAATCCTTCGTTCGTGATTTGGCTTTTTGCCCGCCGTCAGATTCATCAGACCAACATTAGCCACCATCCGAAGGAGAGACGCATCACCCTCGTCTTTGGGTGGCGTTGGACCGCGCCAGCCGCCACACCGCCGCAACTCTCCTACCCCTCCCCCACCTTCTCTCACCTTCGCGACGCGAATCTGGCCCCGAGGGCCAAGCCACACATGTGTTCATGTTTGACAAGTTGAACCATGAAATCTGGGGTATTCCTGCCGGGGCCAATGGTCCATCTCGCCCTCCCATCTCGTCCCAACTTCGCTAGATCTATACGGGAGAACCGCAAATCACTTACCGCACCATCGCGACTCGTCATTCTCCTCGTAAGGCGGGAACCAGGGCCCTCAAAATTGGTTGCGTAGCTTCGGCAAGAGATGGGACCGTCATCGGCTTCCTTGTTCTCAGGTCCTGTTTCTCCCAAGCCGTGTTCAAGGCGTTGGCTGCCTCCAACCCACCGGGCTGGAGCAAAGTTTGCGATACTCGAGCCGATGTTTTAACATGTCGTTGCCCTCGATGATTCCAAAGCCTGGCCGCCTTGATCCGAGCCCAAGTCAGTGATGCCATTCCACGGAACCTCGTCGTCCCAAGACCCTGTCTCCCAGTCCTCCTGATCCGGGGGAGGGTGCCGTACAGCCGGACCACAAAGTATCGACATCCGTCCGCTGATAGCTAATCTCCCCGCATATCCGCGGTCCGGGGAGCTTTAACCCAGTGCGCTGTCCGATTTTATACTCGAGCCGCGACGGCTACCGGTTCCGATATCCGTCTAGGCAACGAGCGTGTATAACGACAAGTTGCAACCATGACCTGCAGATGCGCTTATCACAGCTGACGGCCATGAGGCAGCTATTTTCGAATATGTAAGCTAAAATAGCAGAAAAAAAAACTAACCGCGCCTTCATCTGGTGAGCGAACCTAATATACGCCAATGGAATTGGAGGTATCCCCTCCACCTTGTCAACATGGGCATCTGACGCGCAGAGTCTTTTACCAAAATCAGGCAGACGTACGTAAGAACAGGACGTACGCATAAAATGGTTTCAATGAACAGTGGTTACGAGAGGGACAAATATCTTATGGTGTAAAGTGTAGAAGTAGAAAACCAATCCTCGTGTGGAATTGTGACTCGCAACACCAGCGAACGCCCAGGCATCAATCATGGGATCATTAAACTTCCAAACCCCGTATCCATTCTTTTCCAGGCATCAAGCACTATTTGCGAAAAACTTCGTAATCTTTTGAGTTCCGTCCTTGGCCTTCACAGGGCTCTTGCTGACGTTGCTCGTCGCGCTGATGCGGCTCTGCCTTGATTTCGTAGTCGGCCCCTTGTACTGGATCTTCTGTGGCGGCTCGTCGTCCTCATCCGCAGCAGAAGCCTCCCGCTTGATGCCCGCCTTTTCCCGGCTTTCTGTGTCATCCGCCGCTTTGGCAATCACCTCAGGGATCGGCTGCGATTCACCTTCTTGTGACTGCTCCGGCTCTACTTTGACCGCAACGGTGGGTTCAACCTTGGAGGCCTGCGGCTTTTGCTTGGCCGACGCGTTGGCGAAGAAATTCGCAATGTTGGATTTGTTTTCCTTGCTCGCGACAGGGATGATGAAGGATGGCGAGTTGTTGCCGACCTTGCCCACGTCCTTGGTGACCGGGTAGCATTCGAGCTCGCCGCTGAAGGGTTTCAGGAGGTCCTGCAGTTCCTTTGACCACTCGTGCCTTTTGGGGTCCAGCCATGCCTTGATCTCTTTCGATCCGGGATCGAGAATGACCGGCATTCGGTCATGAAGGAACTTGAGCTGCTTGTTCGAATCAGTTGTGATGATGGTGTATGTGTAGCGCTTCTCGTCGGAATCTGAATGGGGATATTAGAGCAATTCGTCTGCTCGTTGAGAACGCATGTTAACTCACCCTCGTATTTCACACAATCCCACAGTCCAGCGAAGCACATGAGCTGGCCGTCCTTCCTCTTCACGAAATGGGGGAGCTTCTCCTTGCCATTTTTGAGCCACTCGTAGAACCCCTGCGCCACAACTATGCACCTCTTTCCCGCCTTCATGGTTGCCCACATGCCACCTGGTGTGCTCAGTGAATCGTCGCGGCAGTTGATCGTCTTTGAAAGCTGAGAGTAGCCGGGGTCGCGTTTGGTCCAGAACGGAATCAAACCCCATTGCATTGACTGCATCTTGTACTTTACGGAATCACATTCAGGGTGGGATTGGCTCATAGAAGCCTCTGCCGGTGGTTGATTCTGGCTCTTGGCTGCGTGGTCGCGGCGATGTCCTGCACCGCGATCTGGGACGTCGGCCCGGTAGACGACGCCATGGTATCCCGGCGCAAAGTTGTATGTTTGGCGCGGAGCTCCCTGGCCTTCGTCTTCCGGCGCATCGTCAATAGGCATGCCCTCATCCTGCAACATGCGCCGGATCTGCGATGGCCGCTGTGCCGAAGGATGTTAGCTCACCAAAGTCCAGCGCAGGACGATGGGCGGGCGGGCGGATGGGCTCACCAGTGCTAGTGCATAACGTCCACACATGGTCTATGGTGAGACTGGAGCCAGGATCGGGATTTCTTCAATTGGAGGATACAACTTTTGGTCCTGTGAAATGTTCGCTACCCTCACGGAGCGAAGATGTATGTCGTCATGCCGACGCAGGGTCCATTGGACTAATTTACGCGCCTGAGACGCGCCAGCACATTTCAGTGATATCACGTGATGCTGCAATTCATTCTGAAATCACCCTGATACTGAAGTAGTCTTGCATTCTTGGATTGGGGTCTGTACATAATGCTCTACTATGTTGCGCAAAAAGGCAATATGTGACCAAACATGTATGTTGGTATCTACACGATACCACCCACTCAGGAGTCGAATCCGATGCAGCTCCAGCTGGACGCGGCATCCACATCCCCCTTACCGTCCCACGTTGCATGTCCAGGGTACTTGCAGATGGGCCGTTGCCTCAAGATGCCATTGCTGACGGTATCGTTGGTATATTTCGTCGCAACAAGCTCGTTTACTCCTGAGCCGCCCTCCACCCAGGCAACCAGCGCAAGCAAAGCATCATGCTGGGTGTCGTCCAGTCCAGGTACAGGGAAAGCATGTTGCCCGTTCGTCTCCAGGTTTGACGCATGTCCGCTGCCGCCAAAGTACCACGGCGCGTCGTAAACGCTTCCCGAGCAGTGTTGCATGCCCGGTACGAAGAAAAGACGGTAGAACTCGTCCAGGTCCACGCCCTGCTCCGCCATCGCCATCCAGGTCTCATCATAGAGCACCCGGCTGACATCCGTGGGAATGAGTCCATCGGCGTACCCGTGATATGTAATAAGCTTGCCGCCTCGACCTCGGAACTCCGACAAGTTGAAGTTGTCCGCGTTGACGTTCCCCGGGTTGAGCCTTGCCGCCTCGACAAACGTGGAGTAGTTGAAGCTGGTTGTCCAGTCCCAGTTCAGGTCGTCAAACAGATAGTTCTTGGCGTAGTCGGTTCCGTACAGACTAGGCTGGTTGTTGGAACCGAATGAAGACGGCATCTGGATTTCGGACCCAAGTCCGAAGTTGGGATAGATATATGTCAGGTTGTGGACATTCGCATCCAGCTGGATCAGGGGCAGGTAGAGCTGTTTAAGCGTCGCGACTTGCGGCGCCGTCAGACAGGCCGACAGGTTAGTCGAGCTTGATGTGCAGAGTAACTTCTCGGGTCGGAAATTGCAATGTCTAGGATCCATGATGACCCCGTCAGCAACACCATCTGAGCCGTCGCACTGCCGGAGGACCTCGTCGCTAATCACCTCGAACATGGAAGTTGGGAGATAGCCCGGCCCATCTTCCGGCAGATTGATGGCTCCGACCTTGAGCTGCCACAGTTGTTGGCTCGTCGACTTCCAAGCCGGCGCGCCAGCGAGGATGCCGTCAAAATCTTCTGGGTGGGCCTGCGCCGACTTGACGCCCTGCCTTCCTCCCGTCGAGCAGCCCGAGTAGTAGGACTTGTTTGCCGCATTCCCGTAGTACCCCTCCACAACTTTCTTGGCCAGGACCGTCGAGCCGTGCAGACTACGGCCAGCCCAGTCGGCTTTCGTTTCGGGATTGTTTATAGCCCAACTCATGTCTTGACTTGTCGAGTTGTGACCGGTTGACGTCGAGATGGTTGCAAAGCCGTACTTGACGCCGGTGCCCATGTCATACCAGTTGATGCCTCCGGAAAAGCCTCCATTGCCAACGGCGAGGAAACGCTTATTCCACTCGTCTGGCAAGAAGATCCCAAAGGTATAGGACGATGTTGGCGAAGAGGTGACGTTGACTGTCGCGACGCAGAGGGAGGGCAAGTGGGTCGCGTACTTGGGATATGCCACATTTCCTGCCTCGGCGAATGTCCCGTTGTTGCTGACGGTGTTGGCCATCAACACTTGGGCGCTGTCATCCTGGCCAAGAAGGCCACTGAGGCCGTCAACTGAGCAGCGGGTCGTTGTGTTCTGCGCCACCACCTCGACGGCGTGTGTGGCCGCCCACAGCGTGAGACCGAGCAGACGCGGCGCAAATGGCATCGTGAACAAAACACCAAGGACGATGTGCCAAGCTGGACTGAGCCCAACAGCTCGGCTCGGCAACTCCATACGCGTCTCCTTTATAGGGAAGGGGCAGCGTCCATCACCGCGCGCGGCCGTCGGGCCATTACTGGGATGTCGCTTTCATTCCGCCTGCTCATGTTCCTGGAGTCTCCGCAACCCATCTCATTGAACCCCACAATGTATGGGTGAAGCCTGCGGGGAGCGTTGTTCAACCCCGCATTCTCAATGCGCTAAACCCCTAGAGACTGATCAGATGAACATCTTGTGTGGAATTCACTCAATGTCATGAAAAGCTTGCCTGTAAATGCAACCTTGGGGCGGCTTCCTGGATAAACAAAACCCCACAGGCGGCGTGTCGGACGCATCCCGACATCGGTAAGTCTCCCCAGCATTTGCGGCAGAGAGAGTCCATTTAATCGTCTTGAATTGACCTTACTTTAAAATCTAAAGCATATCCTTGATGGGATCCGTTACAGAATTGTACAGTCCTTGTGCTGATGGACGCCATACCGCGATAACTCCTGTTGTCCCCGTTTTAGACATTTCGACGCGACTTCCGCTTCACTGCCGTCTGGGCCGCCCACGCATCCTCAAATATTGTCTTCCGCTGTCCAACGTCTCCCTTCTCCAGAGCGAGGCGGCGAACAACGTGGAAAGCACCAGTTCCGACCGACATGGTCTGTCCCATGATAATGCACTCACTCACTCCCTCAATCTGATCCGTCTTCATGCCTGCAGCAGCCTCAAACAAATGGTCCGGCGTCTTCTCGAATGAAGCCAGTTGCAACACGCTGTCTCTCATCTTCGAGAGACCGAATCGCGTGATACCGAGAACCTCACCCTTGTATGTCATGACATCTGCGAGCAACTGCATGTGACGCGGGTCAATGCCCATGTCTCCCATGACTTCGCCAATTTCGTGCGCAATCGTTGTCCTTGCGGCCTCGATACCCAACACATCTCGGCACTCCATGACATTGTTTGACTTGACTCTCCGCCCTTCGACGCCCTCCGTGTTCATGCATTTTTGGAGCCCATAGCCTTCAACGAGAACGGTGTGCGTTTCCTGTTCTGACGTCTGGATAATTGCTCGAGTCGCTTCTGGATATCCCGAAATGGACACGGTTGGGATCGTCCGACGGAGATAGTTGGCCCGTACCAGAAGATCGCCATGTTCATCCACGGGCTTAGCCTTGACGGACCGCTTCGAAGCGGCTGACTCGTCAAGACGTACGCGGATTTCGATCCTCCCCGGGCCAATGTGCATATCCTGTCTTGAGATTTTCATCTTCTTGTGCTTGCAAATGGCTTCGGCCACGTCGCCCAAGCCGATGCCCAGCTGCATGTTCGACAATGCATCCATGTCCACTTGCAAGACAACATTTCCAGACTCCGCAAACCATTCGTCTTCAATGTAGCTCAGGATGTCTTCGACATATGTCTTCTCAATACGAGCCTTGACGATTCGGGCGGCAGTCAGTTCCCTGTTCTGCACCAGCGGGCAGGTGATGACGGGCGTGCTAATTGTCTTGGAGGCGTTGATGATTTCCTTGATACGTGGGACACCCTGCGTGATACTCATACCAGCGACACCGGCGAAATGGAAAGTCTTGAGCGTCATCTGAGTACCGGGCTCACCAATCGATTGAGCTCCGACGGCTCCGACGGCGTGGCCTGGCTCAACGTGTGCCTTCTTGTACTTCTCTAGGCAAAGTCGGATGAACATCCGCAGAGTCGTTTCAGAAACCTTGGCAACCTTGTCTGCGAAAGCCTTCTTCGCCTTCATCTCACTCTCGTCGACATCAACTTCCATGCTTTCGGCACCAGCTGTCAAGCCAGTGAGCTCCATGACGCGGCGGAGTTTGTTGGCGCGGCCGGCCACATAAGACTCAAGTGACCTTAGGAAATCTCTGGCACCCTCATGTTCGTCGGTGAATTTATCTTCTTCGTTATCATAGTCGAGGACATCGTCGCCGACAAGGGCCTTTCTTGGATATCGGGCTCGTTCCACAGAGAGCATGCTATCGCAATACTTGACAATCTCATCGGGGAGAAGGGCGGCCTCATCGTTGTTCCATGTCAGGTTTTCCGCGTGTGAGAAGGTTCGATCGAAATTGACAGGCTTCGCCGATGCCTCCATGTCAACAGGATCAAGCTTGTCGGCACCAAATTGGAACTGCACAATGCCTCCGCCTGACGTTCGGACGGTGTCATCGTACTGTGTGGAAAGATCCTCCAGCGACTTCATCAGTCGACGAGACATGTATCCAGTCTCTGCGGTCTTGACAGCAGTATCAACCAAACCTTCACGACCAGACATGGCGTGGAAGATGAATTCGGTAGGAAGCAGACCTGAGTAGAAACTGTTCGCAACAAACCCCTTGGAGGGAGGCTGAGGAGCGTTCTTGTGGAAATGGGGAAGCGTTCTGTCCTGGAAGCCATCGGCAACACGCTTGCCGCCGATAATCTGTTGACCGACGAGGGCGACCATCTGCGCGACGTTGATCTCTGAACCCTTTGAGCCGGACTTTGCCATGACTAGCGGCGCGTTGTTCCTGCTAAGCGTCTCAATACAATGAGAACCTGCTTGAGTTCTGACCTTGCTGAGAAGTCCTGAGATGGAGTTCTCGAGGGTCTCTTCCATACTGCAACCCGTGGCCTTCTCGAGCTTGCCCTTCTTGTACTTGTCGATCAGCTCATCGACATCCTTGTTTGCGTCTTGAATCATTTTGCTCTTCTTTTCAAGAAGAAGTTGAGTGGGAAAGACATCTCCAACACCAATAGAGAAACCACGGTTTGTCAAATGGCGAGCACAGAGCTTGGCCAGGCGATTCATGGTTACCACGGCGGCATCCGGGCCAAAGTCTCTGAGAATGACGTAAAAGACCGAGTCCTTCTTTCCAGATCCTACAGTAGATTTGTCCATTCTACCGCACATGACTTCCGAGTTGCGAACGACAAGCCATCCGTCGTTCGGGTCCATGTCTGGGCATTGTCCAGGCCTGGCCTTGTACTCTCTGCACTTGGCGTCCAGGTTGACCTTAACAGGACTGTCTTTGTTGGGACGCATCATTATGCTGAAGACTTGCTTGCCTGTCCAGAGAGCCTGGGGCTTCAAAATGGCTGGTGGCGGGAGATCAAGGTGAACGTTTCCGTCCATCATGTGCATGCAGATGTAGGTGAATGTTTTGCGGTCGAAGAATCTGTCCTTGCCACTCAGCAGGTAGGCAGCGGTGATGAAATCTTGCGTTGCCGCAATGACAGGCTCTCCGTTCTTGGGAGTTGCCAAGTTGTGTTTGACGCCCATGAGGTTGATGGCTTCTGCGCGAGCTTCTTCGGTCTGGGGAACGTGAAGATTCATCTCGTCACCGTCGAAATCTGCGTTGTACGGGCCGCAGACACACTCGTTGAGTCGGAACGTCCTCCACGGCCGCACCTTAACCAAATGGCTCATGATACTGAGCTTGTGAAGAGACGGTTGACGATTGAAAAGAACAATGTCGTTGTCTTCTAGATGGCGTTCAACGACATCACCAATCTTGAGATCCTGAGCGACCTGATTCCTGTTGCCGAACCTCAGTGAGATCTTGTAGCCTCCATCATCGTTTTTGATGACTTGCTGTGCGCCGGGCCAGATATTGGGTCCATTACGAACGCACTCCTTCAATTTCTTCATGTTGTAGTCGGATACGCGCTCGGGATACGTCAGGTTCTTAGCCACGAGCTGAGGAACGGCAACCTGATCGATTCCAAGGTTCGGATCAGGTGAAATGACAGTTCTGCCGGAGAAATCGACACGCTTTCCAGACAAGTTTCCACGGAAGCGACCTTGCTTTCCCTTCAATCTCTGGCAGAAGCCACGAACGGCTTTGCCAAAACCAGGTTGCTGAAGCCCAGGGACGTCGCTGTTGACATACATTGCGACCTGTAATTGGAGGTACTCCCACTGCTCCATGATGGTCTGAATAGGCGAACCCTTCTGCAGCGCAGAGCGAATCATGCCACTGACCCAGACGATGTCGGCGAGCTTTGTCGTGATATCGTCCTCGTTACTGGCATTGTCTTGGGCGACCGAGGGTCGGATGCATACTGGGGGAGCAGGGAGGAACTGCCAAATGAACATCTCCGGGCGACCTTCGGCAGGATCCAGGCCGAGAAGTTCGCAGTCGGTGGGACTGATCATTTTGAACAGATTGAGAACCCTGAGAGGATTCATGTCTTCCATGGCCTTCCGAAGATGCTTGTCCAACTCGGCATTGTTTTTCCTGGCCTCACTGAACGACTCGTCGAACTTGATCTTGCTCTCGGGAGGCACCTTCTTAGCGGAGGTGGACTTGTTGTAGGTAACAAACTTGTCGTGTGCCAGCTTGAGGACGCCAACCTTGCGGATCTGGCCTTGAACGGAGCCGCAGTACATGCAGTTCTTCACCTTGCGACACTGTTCGTTGATTCGCTTGCAGATTTGGGAGCGGCGCAGGTTATCCAGCAGCGGCCGCCTCAACTCTTTGAGAAAGGCGCGTTTCTCGGACTCGGTGAGCAGGACTTTGCCGCAATCCTTTAAATAGTTAGCTTCTGTCAACTTGAGCAAAGAGGTAGAGTAGAGGCCTACCTTGCAGATGTCCTGCAGGATCATCATGACGAACCGCAAGTAGCCAATGTGGAACGCAGGCAATGGAAGCCTGACATGTCCGAAGTGACCAGTACAGTTCTGTAGTGATTCCTGACATGTCGCGCATTTTCCAGTCTTGCTCGAAGTGCCCTAGAAGCAGCGGAGTCAGCTTCGTGCAGCGTCATGGACGGGGTCGACGGTGCTTACCAGACGCGGATCGAGGGGACCATGCTGGTATGGGGCTCTGTTCTTCTCGATATCGTAGAGGAGTCGATCGGAAACTTCGAGAACGGCTTGGTTCGCAATGTCTTGGTTGGACCTGCGGAGCCGGAGGATTAGCAATGGCACATGGTGCGAGGCGGGCTGAGGGGTGGGACTGACTGGATGCCGAACTTGATGCCCTTGAATCGCTTTGGCAGCTTGTCGACGAGCTGCGACTTGACCGGGGTGACGGTGGTCGTGGTCGCCATTGCGACGATGTTTGCGAATGCGCTGACGGCGGAGATTCTGAGTTCTTGGTCGGGGGGGAAGTGGTAGGATGTGGCGCAAGGTGAGTCAAGATTGAAATTCGTCGCAGTCTAAGTCTACCGGTCGTAGTAGAAGTTGGTGTGTTTGCGCATTCGCCGCAGGGTCATATTCGAGGCCCGAGAAGTGGTGTTGATTCAATCGCAAGAGCTAGTGCTGTCGATACGACGGGATGCTAGGGCAACGGAGTCATCGGGTGTGTATGTATGTATGTTGTTGAGTTTGAGTCGGAGGCTGGCTTGGGGTGTTGCAGACGGATGGGAAATTTTGTGATGGAGGCACGGCAAAAGGTGCTGTACCTAGCGCGGGAGGGACTCTCCAGCGTCCAGTGTCTGGTCTGCAGGTCGTACCCCACCATCAAAAAAAGCAGCTCTGCCCCACCAGTGCGCGTACAGTGTGAAGTACGCTTTGGGGAGACTATCACGGTCCCAGTGGTGGAATGAATCATGAAAACACAGTGCGACGGTGAGCATCACTCGGTATGAGTCTTCTTGCCTGTGACTGGGCGCCTTTTGGCGTTGGGTTTGGAGAAGCACAGGAACGTAGGGAAGGTACTCTGTAGGTAGGTAGGTGCCTTGCCTTGGTGGCATTGAGTCGCGTATTAGGTAGGTACGGGGTGTTTTCCACCGACCGCCCGCCCACCTCAAGAAAACGGCACTTCTGAGTTCTCTGTGGCTGAACGAGATGAGGTAAAATAGGTACCTTACCTACCTACGTTACCTTACCTAGGTAGATACCGTAGTGAGTGGAGGTACCAAGTACGAACGCTGCAGCCTGCAGCTTCCCTTCTGCCCCGCGGCTCGCCCTAGACCGCCTTCCAACGAGTCCTCGGGTCTAATCATTCGCCGGAGCTTAAGCGATCGATCCCCCGTCGTATTCCATTTACACGGGACCGAGAGATGCGTCATGGGGTCCCTGAAGACCGGAGCTGCTCCCTGCCATGTGCAAGGCAGCTGAGTCCTTACTGGAGCCTTCTGCGCCCTCATCACAGCTGCACTCGCTTCCATGTCTGTCCTCTTTTCACACCCGACCTTTAAGGTGTTTTATTTGCCTCGATCACGGGCTGAAGCTTCGGCTCTTGTGTCTCCCCTGCTCAAGAGGAAAAAAAGAAGGTGGAACATCCCTTGCTTCCCGCCCCAAATGAAGGCTCCCTCACCTAGGTAAGGCAGCCTCCTCACCTTGCGGATCCAGGCCCGGCACACCTCCATTTGAACAACACACCTCTACTACCTTCGGTACACACAAGCACCACAAACACCTACCGCAATCTGTCCAGACAGCTGCCATACCTCTTTACCTGCTGTCGTCGTCGTTCCTGACTACTTCGCTGCTCAGCGCTGCAACCTGGTCGACCTGGCTCTTGCTCGATCCTGAAACTGGCATTCCTTGTCTTCGTCCTTCAAGCTCGAGCTTCCCCGAAACTGCTCTCCAACTCGTCCCGTTCTCCCCGCCATCCGCCCGGAACCTGGTGACGCACTTATAAGTCCTGTCTCCGGCCTCTCCCACGTTGGCGCTCATTGTTCCGCACTCACCGCTGCGTTGGAGACGAGGCCACAAAACACTCAGTCTTGTTGTCGCTGTTTCCCGCCGCTATTCGACAGCCCCCCGGAGAACCCCCGAATGGCCCTTTGCCCAGTCGCAAACGATGGCTCCCAGCGGCGCTGACCGCAAAACAGAAAAGTCCTACCTGTCGTCAGCCGTCGACTCTATTAATCCCTGGTCCGGCAGTCGGAGCTCAACGCCCACCCCAAGAGATCCTCCGCCTCAGCCTGTTCCTGCGCCAGCGGCCCGTCCAGGTGATCATAGCATCACTCACTTATATGGCCAGAGCACCAAGAGCTACCCCGCCGACTGCCCTCCGCTCAACGTCCTGTGGTATCATGCTACCGATGTAAGAGCAGTTGCTCCAAGCCTTAAACTTCTTGAAATGGCTAATCATTGTCCCAGGTGCCCAAGCGGAAGCCGCAATTCTTGAGAGACAAACCGAAACCCACCGACGATGCTAAACCTCCGCCCCAACCGAAGAAGTTTCTGCCCTTCGCCAAGGGAGATTCGAGAGCCATAGAACTCGCTTACCAGCGTCTACTGGAGGATTCCGAGAAGCGAAGAGGCGATCGATCGCAGCGCAACGTGTCTGGCGGCTCTCGACGAGGCCGTAAGACCACCGGCGATGATGGGCCGCACAGTAGCTTAGAGACGAGCCCTGAGAGCGCCCCTAAAACGCGCGTTCCGGTGAACGAGGACTACCTCTTCGATGTGGACATTGAGAAACGCGAGCTGGAGCCCGTATACTGGCTCGGGCCTGTGTATGAGGTTCGCCGCGGTACTTGGTTCTACGACGAAGGCTCGTCCTTGAGACCATGCGAGGAGAATCTAGCGTCTCAGCTTGAGGAAGGATACCTCAAGGTCAAGCCTTGGCTGTATCCCAAGCCTCGAGTTCGAAGCGACTCAAACAAGAAGGACGTCACCCCAAAAGCGTCAGTTGATAACTTGCGGGCCGTTGCAACGGCTTCTGCGGCCGCGGAGGGTAACAACAAGCCGCAACCGCCGCAGAATCAACATCAACCCTCATCTCACAGGCTATTCGGCACATGGATGAACAGTATTGCGACATACCAGGATTCCACGACAGCCTGGATAACATCCGACAGCATGCTAGGCTGGGTGACCTCGACGATGTACGAACGATTCTCCGGTGGCGGCTTCATGAGCGGTGTCAAGCTGGTGAGAGGTTACTCTGATGTCTCCAAGAACAAAAAGGAGAAACAGCCGGCTACGCCCACCGAGGCCGCTGCCCCGGCGCAGAAAGATGATAAAGACCAAAAGAAGCTGAAGCGAAGATCCGCACCACCAACCTCTAGACCGTCGCAGTCCAACGATGACTTGACGCGCGCAGAGAACGAAGAAACCAGAGAGACTAGCTTGCAGAGGCAGATCTCATCCTTGATGGAAGGGGCCGAACATCGCAACCAAGAGGAACAGGAAGAAGAGATTAGGAAGCGCGAGGAGAAGGAGATCGAAAACGACTACAACGGCCAGTTTGGCGAAACGCAAGGACGTGACATTGAGCACTTGGTGCTCGTGACTCATGGAATTGGCCAGCTTCTCGGGATCCGGTACGTGGTCGATTTGGCATTTCGGAGAAGTTACGATGACTAACGGCAACAGAATGGAGAGCGTCAACTTTGTACACGACGTGAACATCCTCCGCAAGAACCTCAAATCGGTCTACTCGAGTTCCGCAGATTTGCGGGCTTTGAACTCGGAACTGGAAGATGGGCCGAGAAACTGTCGAGTGCAGGTATTGCCTGTCTGCTGGAGACACTTGTTGGACTTTCCCAAGAAGAGAGAGAAGAAGAATGAACGGGACATTGGAGACGGCGCCTTAGACGAAGATGAATGTGAGTAAACCTCAACCAGCACCATAGAGGACACAGCTAACGAGCGTGATGCAGACCCGTCTCTAGAAGACATAACGATAGAGGGCGTTGCCTTTGCCAGGTCTTTGATTTCGGACCTTGCCCTCGACGTTCTACTGTACCAGAGCGCGTACCGCGAACAGATCGCTGAGATCGTTCTTAAAGAGTCGAATAGGATTTTCAAGCTGTTCATGGCCCGCAACCCCGAGTTCAAAGGCAAGGTGCACGTCATCGGGCATTCTCTCGGGTCTGCCATCATGTTCGATATCCTCTGCCGGCAGAAGGAAAAGGTCAAGGCCCCGGACACACCAAGGAGTGCCCTGCGCTTCTGGCAGCCGCAAGATAAGGCCGAGGGCGCCAGGGATCGCGAAGCGAATGAGCTCAAGTTTGAGTTCGACGTCGATGACCTTTACTGTCTGGGATCGCCGGTGGGCCTGTTCCAGATGCTCAAGGGCCGGTAAGTCGATTCAAGTCTCTGCCCGGCTGCGTGCTAACTCCGCAAAGGACCATATCAGCACGCCACCTTCCCCATGCACTTCCGTCGGAAAGTCCCCTAAATCCTGATTTGATGGACGATCCGTTCCTCGCAGCGGCGCCGACATCTCCATCCCAACGGGTGTCTGCAATCACAGGCTTACCATATTCCGTCTCGTCGCCAAAAGTCGCACAACTATTCAACGTGTTCCATCCTTCCGACCCGATAAGCTACAGGCTCGAGCCTCTCATATCTCCCGCCATGTCCACTCTCAAGCCCCAAGTACTGCCTTACACGAAGAAGGGCATATTCGGCAATGTGGCACAGCAAGGGTTGAGTGGTATCGGAATGAAGGTCGGCGCGAGTGTCAGCGGTCTCTGGTCCAGCTTGAGTGCGGGAATCGCCAGCAACATACTGAACAGGAGTCTCGGTCTGAGCAACGAGGACGTGGCCAAGATGAACTCGGCATCAGCGCAACCCCAAGTCTCCGCTCAAGGGGCAAACATGGCGGACAACGGTGTGATTTCTGACGCATCGAAGCTGGGGGAGAAGACGAATGAGCGCAAGAAGCAGCTGGCGGATTCGAAATCCATGATGGGCCGCACGAGCTTGAGCGGTAACGAGATGACGCTTATCGACGATGAGCTGGAGACACTCTACTCCAAGTTCCAGGAGAAGCGGGTGGACCTGGCCAAGACGAATGATGACGGCGACGCGACGGACTGGATAGAGGCGGAACGGAAGTCTCAGAAATTGCGGCGCGAGGAGATGAAAGTGCGAGCTCTCAACCGCAACGGACGTGTCGACTACAGCATCCAGGAGTAAGTGCTACGTGATGTCCATGATGCAAGTTCAGGTATGCTAACGTGGGGCAGGAGTGTGCTCGATTTCAATCCCATGAACACGATCGCATCGCACATGAGTTATTGGTCTGATGAGGACGTCAGCCACTTTATTCTGTCGCAACTTCTTTCTAACAGGTCACGGGCGAACCGGAGATAGAGTAGATTAGACATGGGCGGGTGGGTTGGCTGGTTACCTAATTAGATGAGCTCGTCACCTCACTTTGAACATGATCCATTGTGCGTGCATACTACTCGAGTGAACAGCTAAGGGTATCTTTTACATTATCACGGACTTGGCAAACTACTTATGGATGCAGAATACCGGCGTCCACGAGGGCGGCCCAGCGAGCGGGCAAGCCCTTGGCGACATCTTCGGCCGTCTGGCCAGCGTCGTTCTGGATGGCGCGGATGTCCTGAGCGTTGTCATTTGTGAGGCGAACGATTTGCAGCGCCTCGGCAGCCTGTCGCGCCGACTGGGGAAAGAGATCAGTGGGCAGGGGCGAGGCGATCCAGAGTAGCAGCCAGACGACCTCTTCCTGAGACTTCTCGACAGCAACGTGAAGAGGGCTCTTGCCACCAGCCAGGGGGTCCTGGTAGCGGATCAGCTGGCCCAGCTGAGTAATGTCGCCGTTGAGCTCCTCGTTGGCGTCCTGGAGGAGCTCCACGATGCCCTGAACATCGCCTTCTGAGCACATGAGGTGGTAGGCACGGGCGGGACGGGCCTCGGGATGGGCGTCAAGGTAGGCCTCCTCGGTGATGTTGGGCAGGATGTCCAGGCCGTCCTGCAGTCCGCCCTCGTTGACGTAGCGGGTCAAGATGGCAGCACCTGGGGTGGTGGACAGGAAGGGGTTGGTGACGGAGGGGCCCTGCTGGTTTGTTGGCAGGTATTTCTGGCAGGATGGGCAGTTGAGAGAAATGGCGATCTCTGCGGATTGGTCCAAGAGACATTGCCTGGTGCATGGTGTAAGTATGGTTAGGTCATCTCATCATGTTAGTGAGACTGGGTTGCGTACCAGTGAAAGTGGCATCCGCAGGGCAGCTCCAGATCATCGGGCACGTTCTGGGTCTCCTCGGTGCCCTGGCCCTCATCTTCACTATCAGGTTCGATGCTGATGACCAGGGGGTCTTGGCAGGCTTTGCAGACGGCAGCCATGGTTGTGATGTGTGCAAGGCGACTTGCGGTTGTGGTGGGGAGGTTTGGTGCTGCGAGAGCCAAAGTGAGGGGGCGACAAGGGGGGTGGTGGTGATATGAGCAGCAGCAGCAGCACCGTAAGTCAGAAACAGCCAGGTGAATGCGGTCTGAAGTGTGCGAATCGGGGATTGAGCCGCTTGTCCTGACACAAAAGCTTCAATGTCGCGATGAAGGCATCGAGATCAGAAAATTCGAGGTGGGGGGGGGGGAACCAGGAGCGGGGACTGTGTTACTCTGTAGAGGCACACGGCCCGGGGGTACATTGGGGGCTGTACTGCACAGTGCATCTTGAAGTACCTTAGTTGATGTCCAGTCTCGGACACCACCCTTGGCGTCGACACTAACTTTTGCCGTGGTTGTTCTGCGCATTTGGTACCTTACGTGGGCTTCCCTGTACTTGCACATGTTCCAGAACATTGCCCAGAGGGGCTAATCATCAACGGGCATCAACCCACGGCTTGGGCTGCTCTATTGGAGCCAGACGCGGGAGAAGCATGGCAGTCCGTCCGTCGTGTTGTGCTACTTTGGTTGAATACCTTGGGTAGCGGCGTAAATGTGAAGTCCAGGGATGGAGGAAGGGATGGCTTCGACCGAAGCCCAAGGAGGAGCCTGAAGGCTGCAGCCCAAGATGAGGGAGGAAGCATCGAGAAGCCAAGAATCAGTCAGAGCTGATGCCTATGATGGCGTACGTTGGTCTTTACGCAAGACCGGTACAACGGGGTGGGCTCACTATAACACTAACACGACCGTCTGTCTTGTCTGTCTGTCTGCCTTACGCAAGTCCATGTGGCTGGAGGCCGTGAGGAGGCCGCAGCGAAACAGGCTTCCCGCGTATCCTGTGCGACCGCAGCCCGGGGGGCACCCATTCGATTCGGCGGGAGGGCCGGAGACGTGCCGCGAGCTGAGGTAAGCGCCATCGAGTAGTCGCAAGATACTTCTCGTTCGCAGCGCCGGCAGTGAGAGCACATGTACCTTTCATGGCAGACGCTCGTCGACGCCTAGCCAAGACAGGAGAGGCAAGGTACCGGGCTGGAATGCTCAAGGCAGCCAATCCTCGTCCCCAGGTCAGCTAATGCCTGTATCATTACATCAATGGCCCCTCCCCGCCCCCGCCAACAAGTATTATCGTCGCTGCTGGAGGAGAGGAGGTACGAATAGAATACCTTAGTGTAAGGTAATAGTGAGTGTACAGAGTAGGTAAGGTAGGTCTCTCGGGTTCTCACACTGAGGTGCGTACTATGCAGTAGGTAGGTACGCCGTATTATTGCTGCTGCTGCTGCTGCTGCTGCTGTCTGGCCCCCGCATTGCCCTGCACCCTGCTCTGCTCCGCTCCGCCTCGCCTGGGCCCAGTGTCCATCCCATCCACTCATTACCTTTACCATTGCGATCATCCGTCATTCGGGCGCTGCCTCTGACATTTTACCTCCCCGGCCTTGCTTGATCTTTCTTGCCTTGCTGCTGCTTGTGCCTCTGCCTCTCTCCCCATTACATACATACAACCAAACACCACAACCACAACTTCAATCGCCGCCACAAGGAATCGTCGTCTCTTCCCCTCTTCACCCATTGCTGCCCGGCAATTGCAGCTCCATCTACCTGCCCACCCATCGAGCACAATCCCTCGCATTCCTCCCTCACCGTGAGGCACCTTACCTCCTCAACTGTCCTCCGCCAGCGTCCGTGCGTTCCGGAGCTTCCTGCGCATCTACCGCTCCCAGGTCCGCTTGGTCCCTGATCTCGTGGTTCGGTTTCCTCCCGCGCCGAGCGCAGTCTCTCCAACTCCAAGGCCCTTGCTGCCGTCCTGCCTAGTTCAACCTCTCCTTCTCGATCCTCGAGTTGTGCCTCCCTTCTCCTCCCGCCGCGCCTCCTTCAGACACCCGCCATCATGAACGTTCTCAAGCTCCAGAGGTGCGCATTGCAAACCCCCGCACCCCGTGATTCATCACCCAGGGGGTTGGCCATTACTGACACACATCTGTCGACAGGAAGTATCCTCAGTTCCCCCAAAACGAAATCTACGGCCTGAGCGACGCTTTCCGCAAGCTCGACATTGACGACAAGGGCTACGTTGACGAGGCTACTGCCATCAAAGCTACCCAACAGAGCGAGCGCCAGCCATACGATGTCGTCAGACAGGCCTTGAAAGAGGTTGACCTCGACTCGTCTCGCCGTGTCGAGCTCGAGGACTACGTCGCCGTACGTCGCCGTCATCCCACCCACCCCTCGTCCTTGCCCCAGCCCTCCAATTTCCCCCTCTTTGCTGACCGACCCTTCTACAGCTGATTGCCAAGCTTCGCGAGTCTTCTCCTGCCCAAAAACGCATGTCAACAGGTCCTACTGCGCCCGCTGGCATTGTCGCGCAAGCAACCGGTGGTCATGCCAAAAAGGCCAGCATTGGCAAGATTCACGTTCAGGGCTCAAACGCCAACGTCACCCACACCATCAACGAAGATGAGCGAACCGAATTCACCCGCCACATCAACGCCGTTCTGGCCGGCGACCCAGATATTGGCAACCGCCTACCTTTTCCCACTGACACCTTTGAGATGTTCGACGAGTGCAAGGATGGTCTGGTGCTCGCCAAGCTCATCAACGACAGTGTCCCTGACACCATCGACGAGCGTGTCCTGAACCGCCCCAAGAAGGCAAAGAACCTCAACGCCTTCCAAATGACGGAGAACAACAACATCGTCATTGAGTCCTCCAAGGGTATCGGTCTGTCCGTTGTCAACATTGGCAGTGGTGATATTATCGAAGGCCGAGAGCATCTGATTCTTGGTCTGATCTGGCAGATCATCCGTCGTGGCCTGCTGAGCAAGATTGACATCAAGCTTCACCCTGAGCTGTACCGCTTGCTCGAGGAGGACGAGACTTTGGAGCAGTTCCTGCGCCTTCCCCCTGAGCAGATTCTTCTGAGATGGTTCAACTACCACTTGAAGGCGGCCAACTGGCCTCGCAGGTATGTCAATTGCCCCAATTCAGGGGAGACTGTGACTGACGCATGACAGGGTCAACAACTTTTCGACCGATATCAAGGACGGCGAGAACTACACGGTGCTCTTGGCACAAATCGGCTCCGAGTACGGCGCGACGAGAGACCCTCTCCAGACACGCGATCTTTTGCAGCGAGCCGAAGAGATTCTGCAAACGGCCGACAGGATGGGTTGCCGCAAGTTCCTTACGCCAACCTCTTTGGTTGCCGGCAACCCTAAACTGAACCTGGCTTTCGTTGCCAACCTCTTCAACAATCACCCCGCGCTCGACCCCATCACCGAGGAGGAGAAGCTGGAGGTTGAGGACTTTGACGCCGAAGGTGAGAGGGAAGCTCGCGTTTTCACTCTTTGGCTCAACAGCTTGGACGTGCAGCCCGCGGTTCAGTCCTTCTTCGACGACTTGCGCGATGGCACTGTACTTCTGCAAGCGTACGACAAGGTCATCAAGGGATCTGTCAACTGGCGTCATGTCAACAAGCCTCCGGCTCACGGTGGAGAGATGTTGCGCTTCAAGGCTGTTGAGAACACCAACTACGCCATTGAGCTGGGCAAGCAGAACCGCTTCTCGCTTGTCGGCATTCAGGGTGCGGATATCACTGACGGCCAGCGCACCTTGACGCTCGGCTTGGTTTGGCAGCTGATGCGCAAGGACATCACTGTCACTCTATCCACATTGGCACAGCGTCTTGGAAAGCGTGAAATTACAGACTCGGAGATGGTCAGATGGGCCAACGACATGGCCCGCAAGGGCGGCAAATCCTCGAGCATCCGTTCCTTCAAGGACCCCGCCATCGGCACCGGTGTCTTCCTGTTGGATGTGCTCAACGGTATGAAGAGCAGCTACGTTGACTACGATCTCGTCACCCCTGGCCACACGGACGACGACGCCTACCTCAACGCCAAGCTCAGCATCAGTATCGCGAGAAAGATGGGAGCGACCATCTGGCTGGTGCCCGAGGATATTTGCCAGGTCCGCAGCCGTCTGGTGACTACTTTCATCGGTAAGTGCTTTGGCAAACGCTTGTTTTCAGCACACTTTTGCTAACCCATACCCAGGCTCCCTGATGGCCACTGCGGAGAAGCAGGGGCTGTAAACCGACTTGACGACCATTTGTTACGCGGCGTGAACGTTATGTTTTGTCAATGAGGGTAGAAAAAGGCCAAAACTTCGGCGAGGCTTTGTTGATTGCGTGTTTTGTAGTTGAATGAATCCAAGTCATCAGAATATCCCCCAAAGACTTCCCTGCCTGCCTCGTGTTCTCTCGAGAGAGTATGTAGAACTTTCTATATTCGAAATTGTACTTTGAAACTTTCTGTAATACGTCCCACGTGGTACAGTCTTGTGAGTATGGTACAAATTTTGTCTCGACATTTGTACTTGAGTCAAGTTTACAAGATCAGGTACAGGCTGCAGAGCAGACTGGGACCGGTAAAGATGCCGAACCAGAACATGATGTTGCCCAGTGTCTTGCGACCTCTCATCCAACTCGTCCTGCTGAGCTGCACAAGCTTTTTTCCCCTCCCGTCAGAATCATCTCGAGATAGATTGGTTGAAGAAGGGCAGAAGGATCCACATACCGGTAGCTGGCACATTTGCAGAAAAAGGAGGTAGCCCCTCAGCTTCTTGAACAGGCACCACATGACCAATTCGTGCACGCAGGCTGAGAGGAAGAAGGTGATGAGCGTCGCAGTGTGGCGGTTCACCTTCATGGATGAGATGGAGCTGTGGTAGACGTGGCGGAGGAGAAAGTTGTGCACCGGGCTAGCGATTGTCAGCTGGGGCTCAGGGGGTTTCGAGGGTTTGGGTCAGAGGTTACCGGTTCCAGTCACGCGCAAATTGGTCCCAGGACACTGATGGAAGTGCCTTGTCAGTTTCTGAGCGAGTCGGCTTGGGAAAAGGTCAACCTACCGCTGTTCCACCACGCGTCGTAGAAGCTCCTATCGGCGAAGTAGGTGAGCTCCGCCAGAGTGTTGAGAATCGTTTCCCAGATTAGATACCAGGCCATCTATTTTCCATTAGTCTCTGCATCAATGACAGGGGGTGTGTTCGGATGTCTGAGTGCTTACCATATATTCCATCATAAAGGGGAAGATGAGGTCGCTTAACATCCAGGGGAAGTAGCGGAATCTCTCAGCGAGGGGCATGCCCGTCTCCTTCATGGCTACAGTCTGCATCACGACGGGATCTGTCAAAGTCGTCAGTTTAGGCCTGTGTCTGAAAGTAGTGGGCGCGGGGGTTGACCAACAGATGAAAGCCTGAGACACCATGATCATGACGAGAATAATGCCAAAGGTAGCGGCCGTTTTCTCGGCGACATAGTACCAGTCGATGGAGTCAGAACGGGGGTACTCGAGCTCGTACACGACGGTCGGCAACACAATGTACTCGTAATGGTTGGCGAGGGTCAGGTTGTTCGGGTACGCCCGCGCGACGCTCGTCGCCTTGCCCCTCAGCTCGTCGGTGAGCCCGTCAATCTCCCACTTGATGATGCGCTCGAACACGCGGACCTGGTCGGCGTCGAGGGGCTCGCCGGATTCGATAGCGTGGGAGATGCGGTCGACGTCCGTCGTCTCAGAGCCACGAGTGTGGGTGACGGAGTGTCGGCGGCCTTTCATCTCGGCTGCAGACGGGGGATTGTCCAGGTGGGAAACGGATATGGTGGATGCCGACGGACTGGTCGTGGAAGGCGAGTTGATGGGGGCAACATGTTCCAGCTTTTTCAACTTCGAAAGGAGGTACTTTCGCTTCTTGTATACCGTGGAGAGGTGACCATTGTAGAAGGCGTACGAGTGCTGCTTCATGAGCATGACGATGCCGTGGAGGACGAAGAAGACGGTATGTGTCCAGGGCCAATCTCGGATGAGGGTGAGACCGACGACGCTGCCGATGAAGATCGATTGCCAAACCTATGAGAAAACCCTGTGTAAGAAAGAACATAAGGACAGCATGTTTTACGGCAGACTTACATTCTGTATGATCCAGCCAGACCGATTCCAGTCAAGATAACCGCTGAAGATGAGTCGTTGCAGAATCCAGCCTACGCCGGTGATGCCACACATGACACCGTCGGAAGCCAACAGAACGATTACATCCCGCCGGAACATGGTCTTCATAATCTCGTTCGTCCCCAACGGGTTGCCGGTGGCCCTCCAGTTGGCCGCCCCGATCTTGACGACGAACAGCGCCACGGCTAGCCAAAATAGCGTGAAGAACCCATGGAAAGGGCTATTTGCCGTCTGCTGGTTCTGCCGGTCAAAGGCAGAGAATTGGCGAGTAAACACTAGGTCGCTGAACTTCCCCGGCCGACGTGGTCGTTTCGGGTCCTTTTCCTGTTGATTTGTTGTCAATGATTGTGCCCTCAGTTCGTGCGTAGTCTATCCCTGTCAGGACAGAGTCACCAAGAGCATACCCGTTCGAGACCCCGTCTGATGACATCGCGAAGCTCTCGATCATCAGCGGACAACACATACGTCTTCAGGTCTTTTCTGTCAGCTCCTCCAGTGGACTCGTCTATGCTCGAGGCTTCAGACAAGGTCGAGCCGTCCAGAGACAACTTCCTCTCATGGTTTGATGAGTTCTTTAGAGGCGACGATGTGTTCTTGGCTGCCGGTCTGTCATGGCGACGTCTTGTGAGCTTGGGCTCGTCGTAGTCCTCCTCGCTCGTGGTCTCGGACGGGGTTGTGGAATTTGTCCTGCCTCCGTTGGCCGCCAGTAATGCGTCTCGCAATGCACGGGGTGACTCCCGTGAGGCCACCGGTCGTGCCGCCATTCTAGAATCTGAGGGTTCTCAATGCGTTCCTGCGTCTTCGCACGGGCACAGCGAGAACGATGCTATGCACAGCTCACTTGAGATGAAAAGAAGCACCAATACGATGTTTACGGTTCTGTCGGCGAAAGCTATAAGACGAGGTCGAGATGCTGAGGCACCCTGACGACGTCAACAAATGTCAGCGCCAGTGTTGTTTGTTTATAATACTTGAAACTGTCGTCAGGATGAACAGAGTGTGAGATATTGTGTGGCGTGTATACGTGCGACAACGCTTATTCCGAGGTCGATGTAACACTGCGATGCGGCGAAGTAGGGCGGCGCGATTCGGGACAGGGAAGTATATGTCACTCAGCCCGCGCGACCGGGAAGACGTACGTTTGCAAGAAGCTACCAATGACTCGGGTCGAGTACGAGATGAGTCCCAAAAAGCATCAATGGAGATGGGCCAAGTAAAGCGAATCAGAATTGAACCATAGTCGGGATGAAACGTCAAGTGGGAAGAGCAGAAATATGAGGACGATGGCGGTTTAAAAAAACGTTCAGAGCGCGGTGCAGTGAAGTGAAGGATTTACGGGTCTGCCGGGCTCATCGCGGGTCGTCCGCCTCTGACATCGATCCGAGATGATCTGAGATGGCCAGACAAAGACGTCGGCGGGTGATCAACTGCGGCCGAGGTTTCCGGGGGGGGGAAGGGGGTTTCTCGTCTTCGCGGGCGCCATAAGCCGGGAAGCGTCTGGGCATTTGAGGGAACGGAGTGTCGCGTAGTGCGAGTAATACGACAAAAGGCTGCTCCGAGGGATTGCGAGTTGCGAGATCCCGCGCATCCCGTTGGAACAGCGAGAGGACACAGGACCACGGACGGAGGCGTGGTGTACGTGGACATGGGTGTTGGGATTCAGAGGCGACTTGAGTGAGAAGAACACGTTGGATGGAGTAAGGTGTGGGCTCCATGAAGTCAGTACGAAGCGCAAATGGGCGCTGGCATAGGAGAAACGAGTGGATGAGGACGGTGTGGTGGTCGTCTCCATACAGGCAACCCCAGTTGGCAATGTTCTTAGCAGGCGAGTAGTATGTAGTATGCTCGAATGAGGTGGCTTGACGCCCTCCGACTGGACCATGTAAGAGTTTCCTTGGTCGACGTCGAATTACACGTGAAGAGACGAAAGGGAGGAAGAATGGATGGCGCAGATGGTTGAGACATGGAAGACAAGCGCGACGACCATCTCCCACATGTCTCTATCCACTCACTGCCTCGACGATTAATGTCTCGCATGCCCTGGAGACGACCCTGGAGATGCCAGACAAGAGAAGGAGAAAGTGAGTCTGGGGTGCCTGTGGGAAGCCTGGTCGCCTCAACTGTGCTAGGAGCAAAAGGTTTGGAGAGCCTCAGGGTGGCATCCAACTCGCCTCCAATGTGGTGATCGGACGATTGAAGCTCGGCAGGCGAACAAACCCTACTGCATTGGCTACCGCGTAGGTAGCAACAGGAAAGACGAAGTGTTCTCTGACATCAAGCTGTCGCATCGTGTGGCCGGAAGCGGAGAGACAGATTGCATCCGCGCTCGACCCTGGGGCCCGAATCATCCGTCGGTGCGCACCGGGCTGTCTCTGTCGAATGTCCGGCCTCGTTCGGTTGAAGGTCTGTCGGTCTGTCGGTCTGTCTATCTGCTAAACATTCGTTGGTCACGCACGTCGTGCAGCAAAGGTTGTTGTTGTTGGTGGTGGTGGTGGTGGTGGTGGAGTGCAAATTCATAGGTAGGCTTGCTGACCGGGATGCCGAACACTGTGAAGCGGGAAACGGACGGGGCGGGCTCGGTGAGTGTAGACGGTGACCTTGGAGTTGTTTCCGCAAGTGCCAAAGTAAATTTGGCGCGCTGGCTGTCAATGACATCACCCGTGGTCGAGCGGGCCGGGGGGTGTTCCTGTCGTTCCGTTTGGGAGACAGAGAGAGAGGAGAGAAGCCCAGGGCAGGGCAGGACAGGACGCTGAGGAGTGAGGACAGACAGGCAACCTGACCTGACCTGCGTTAGCTGCCAATCTAGCGGCAACTGCCCGTTGGCCTTGAAACGCGACCCTCTGCCATGTCCATCCATACCTTACCTTACCTTAGGTACCTAGGTAGGTACAGTGTAAGGTAGGTACGTGACCTGGCTGGGCATCCGCCGTTACGTAAGCTTTTGTTTCCAAGCTCCGAGCGCGGTAATGTCTTGACTGACCACTGACGTCCTCCAGCCAGTCACAAGCTACCTTAAGTATGGGGCTCTCCTTCTCGGACACGTACCTGAGGTAGGTACCTAAGGTAGGTACCGTGAGGAACCCGAGCTCGTTCCAGTGCCAGTGGCCTCCCCCCCGGAGCCATACCAAAATCTTTTTGTTGCGCCAGGCCGATCCCGAACCAACCCATTCCAGTTTGCCTGTCTTGTCTTTTCTCCTCCTCTAACCACTTCATCATCACCATCACCACTCCACGACAAACCACCAACGCGCATCCATCTCGTCAACGGAGCTGCTCCATCAGCCCTCAATTGTCGTTTCTCCTCCCTCTTGCCCATCATTCGAGAGCCTCGCTTCCTCTTCTCCTAGCCTTTGAAGTCGTTTCCTCTCTCCACGTAACCAGTCAACACAGCTCATCATGTCGCGCGGTGGAACCACGCTCTACGTGACTGGCTTCAGCCACGGCACGCGCGCCCGAGACCTCGCCTACGAATTCGAACGGTATGTCAACTGAACTCAGAAACTCCCACGTCGATGCCTCCGTCCGTCCTGTTTTGCCCGGCACGCGAGAGCCTTCCGAGATTTCCGATTCTTCATCTCCTTCCCTCGCCCCTCCCGCCCATCGTCCTCGTCTCCTCGTCCTCCCGTCCTCCTCCGCTGCTCCTGCCTCAGCATATCAATACTATATGCCTCCCTCGCCCTCCGCCCCCGTCGATGCGTCGTCAAGTCCTCGTTCGCTCGCCTCGGCCCGCGCGACCAACCCGCCGCCTGTTGTCCGCGCCGCCCTGGTCTGTCGGCCTTCCGTCCCAGCGAGAACAGACTCACGAGGCTACCTGCCTGGCTCTGCCAAGCCCGTCCGGCGCCCGACCCTTTGTCTCGTTGAACAAACAAAAAGATCAAAATCGAGAGAACAAATATTTAAAAAAAAAAAAAAAAAAAAAACAAGATCCCGAGTATGTATGGAGATGCTGACGTTCTGGCTCCCCTGTAGCTATGGTCATCTAGTCCGCTGTGACATCCCAGCTCCTCGTTCGGCTTCTTCTAGACTGTAAGTTGTCACTGATTCCCCCCTCTGACCATGTTTCCGCCGAATGCTTGCGTACTAAATCTTGCTCAGATTTGCCTTCGTCGAGTATGAGGACCGTCGCGACGCTGACGATGCTTACCATGAGATGCACAACAAGCGCATCGGCCGCGACGACATCCTGAAGATCGAGGTATGATGACGCGACAACCGGTCGACCCGTCCGATCCTGACATGTTTGCAGTGGGCTCGCACTCCTCCTTCCGCCTCCTGGCGCTTCGACTCTGGCCGGGACCGCGAGCGTGCCCCCCGCCGCTCTTCTCCCCGCCGGGGCCGCTCTCCCTCTCCCCGTCGCAGCACCCGCGACTACTCCCCCAGAAAGGACGATCGTCGTGACCGCGACCGTGACTACGACCGCGAACGCCGCGACACTCGTGACCGCTCTCGCAGTCCTGACCGCCGGTTCGTACCCCCGGGATGCCAGACCCACCCGATGGAGATGTTGACAGCTGTGTATTAGTGACCGGGATGCCAAGGACGATCGTGATGAGCGCGACCACCGTGAGAACGGTACCAACGGCGACGACCGAAAGGGTACGTGTATTCAATCGTAGGAGACAGCCATGGAGTCCGCAAGCTGACGAGAACGCACTACAGCCATTGACAGCCCTCCCCCTGCTCACGACGACCTGGATGTCGCTGCGGAGTGATAAGTATACTTGGCAAAATTTTGTCGGGTTGTGCGCGGCTGTGCCAAAAGTTTCTGATTTTCTTACCCGGTTCTCCCCTCACCTGTTGAACCTGGATCTGTAAAGTGTCCTCACCATCTGGGAGCTTTTTAGTCTCGATTCGACCGATTCGGCTTCGGGCCCGGAATGCGAGGGCTGAGCTGCCCGACGTAGGCAGCATTCAAACTTTGGTAGTCATATCGGAGTGATAATGGGCGGAACCTCCGTCTCGGCGATGAGCTTCAGACGACGAAGGTTGCGGCGGCGGCCATTTGATAGCATTTCCCAATTCGTAGTTTTAGAGAAATTGAATGTAGGTCTTTACAGAATTGTATGGGTTTAGATATCTGTTTGTCATTTGTGAGTTCCTTTGTTCCGCGGTGCCATTTGAGAGATGTCTGTCGTGGTCTTGAAGAGAAGATGTTACCAGTGGGCTTGGCCTCGGGTGATTAAGGTCCGTTGTGGCATTGGGTCATGTTTTCATGCGGGCAAACACCTACCTTCCGTGGGGGTCATTTCAAGGGATGCCGATCACGCGTGGGCTTGGCGAAGCTGGGCCGGTGGCCATTCTGTCTTGGACGTGTAGATTTCGGTGCGGGGAAGACGGCAGTCAAGGCGGGGTGTCAGTGTTGAGAATGGTACATGCGCGCTTGTCGATGCTGGGAGTGTTGATAGGGAGGATCCGGAGGCTCGGAAAGGAGAGAGAGGTGAAGTTTCGGCAAGTTGGCCCCGATGTAACCCGGACGAAGCCGACATTCGGTGGGAGAATGCCCGGACCTCAGTGTCGGGACTGGATGAGATGATGCGGCAACACAAACCGAGTCCAATTACTACGTAGTCTATTTGGCGTCTGCAGACCGGCGCTGGCTGGCTGGCTGGCTGGCTACGTGCTGTGTGGCTTAGGTAGTAGCATCAGTTGGCTATCGCAGTCGTCAAGTCCATAAACGCCCATCTGGAAACTCTGGGCATTGCCTCCTCCGCCTGGTCGGGGCTGGCAGACCGTTAAGCCCCATGACCCAAGTCTTTCTTTCTCCTTTCCTGTCATCTGCCGGAATCGCTGCATCTGTTTCTTACCTAATTTGACACGTGAGGCATATGAGCATGACTTGAGATTTTGAAATGTCACGAATTGCAGCGGGCGTCCGTGGCTGTAAAGAGCCCCATTTCCCCCCGGCTTGTCGTCATTTGTGTGGAGAGAGTGTCGGAGGCCACTCCAGTGACTCCACTGGCGACTGGCAACAGAAGCATCGCAACCTAGGCCGCACCCGGAATGATCTCGTGTGCGAGCAAATCCACACCCAAGGGCGGCCTTTTTCGAGCCAAGGACACTGGGTTCTAGGGGTGCAACGTCTCTGGCTTTCCACTACAGATGTCTAGGTGTACAGGACCTAACTTCGCCTGCCCAGGCAGCTTGGAGGGGTTTAGGTGATGCCGGGCATCTAAGTACCTAGCTCTGGGGAAGAGGCCGGTAGGTAGGTGAGGTACCTGGACGGACACCTTCCGACGAGGGGCTTCCTCCCAAAGCTGAGAAGCTCAGTGTCCCGTCACTGTCACTGAGGTGCCCGCTGCCACCCGCCCGACCACCTAATTGCCAGGTGCCAGGCTATGACACTGGCGACGACGGGACTGACCTACCTAGGTCCTTGCTGGAAGCTGAAATTGGATCTGGCCCGGATCTTGATCTGCGCCTGCGCCTACTGCGTCTCTGCGTCCGCGTCCGCATTTCCCTTCGCGAACTTGACTTGGGACCTTTGCCGCCCCTCATTGAACACTGTAGCAACATTCAAAGGTCTCTACGCGCGAAGATCACGACATCTCAACCGCTCCGTTGCATCTCGCGCACCTCTGACAGTCTCTCATCTCGTCGCCGTCCCTGCCCTGTCGACTGCGCCGCCATCTGCCCGACTTCTTCCTCAACGTTTCCCTCTGCAAGGTTCGACCTGTCCTTCTCGTATTCGACTCCCACCACGCGCCCCTCGCTCTACACGATCCGCCTCGTCAACCCGACTCGACCTGCAATTCCTCGAGCACTGGTTGACGATTGATAGCAGTGCACCGACCGACCCGTCTGTTACCCGTGCCTTTCCGTCATCATCATTGTCGGACCCATCCACGCCATAGCCGCGGCACATGGGAGATTGCCTTTCCCGACGACCAACTTCGGCCAAAAAAAACCGCGATACCCTCGAAAACCACCCACGCTTCCGCCCTCTCGCCCCGACGACGAAGCTGCCTTTAATGGTTGAAACCAGAATTTCAATCCCAGATACCCCATTTACTATGCCTCCGTTGCCGTTGTCGAGCTCTCTCTAAATTTCACGTTATCCCTTCTCCATTTTTTTGGGTCATTCTTTGAAAGCATCCTTCCATCTGTGTTCAGCCACTGCTCCAGAGTCGCAGAGCTTCTTGATACGACTCTCGAAAGAACAACCCCAAGAGCTTTAAATGCAAGCAACGTCATAGCACAAAGGCGGCTTCAGAGGTTCAGCAGTGTGGTTGCTCTGAACCAACAGTCTTGCGCATGCAAATAGAGAGAAAAAAGCACACCCGCACTGCTTGTTGACCACCGGTAGTCTGAAGTTATGTCGCCCGTAAGTCTTCTCTGTTCTACACCTAAATCTCATGCCGCTCTGTATTCAGCCGGCTGGGGGCGTGGGAAGCATCGAAACTGACGCGAGTATGCCATCAGTCCCCAAGCAATACCGCTGTGCCTGCCGCAGCGGAACCAGCTGCCCTTGCTGGTATGGTCCGAGTCCGCGAAACGTTTTCGCAACCCGTTGTGGCTGCCTTCTGCGCTGGAGGTGTCGCTGGTGCCGTTTCTCGGACTGTCGTATCGCCCCTCGAACGTCTCAAAATCTTGTTCCAAGTCCAGAGTGTTGGTCGCGATGCCTACAAGCTGTCTGTCGGTCAAGGCCTTGCCAAAATGTGGCGGGAGGAAGGCTGGAGAGGCTTCATGCGAGGCAATGGGACCAATTGCGTCCGCATTGTTCCGTACTCAGCTGTCCAGTTTGGCAGCTACAATTTTTACAAGAGGGTGAGTTCTTCCAAATTGTTTGTTATACATACATACCGCATACAGCCTTTGAGCATGTAAATGTCACTTTCAACTGACCGCAAGCAGAACTTCTTCGAGAAGCAGCCTGGTGCAGACTTGTCCCCCCTTGCCCGCCTGACCTGCGGCGGCATTGCTGGAATTACCTCCGTTTTCTTCACCTATCCCCTCGACATTGTACGGACCCGCCTCTCCATCCAGTCTGCCTCCTTTGCCGAGCTTGGTGACCGACCCAAGGAGCTCCCTGGTATGTGGGCCACCATGGGGAAGATGTACAAGACGGAAGGTGGTTTTTCTGCGCTTTACCGTGGCATCATCCCGACGGTTGCCGGCGTCGCCCCCTACGTACGTATTCATGAGAGAGGCTGTTTTCGGTGGCTTGATTGATAACAGTTCTTCAGGTTGGCCTCAATTTTATGGTCTACGAATGGGTTCGCAAATACCTGACTCCTGAGGGTGACAAGAACCCCAGCGCCGTCAGGAAACTGCTCGCCGGAGCGGTTTCGGGAGCTGTCGCTCAGACGTGTACTTACCCCTTGTAAGTTATTCCCGCTGGAGCGTTGTGCATCGGTCGCGGTGCTGACTTTATCACAGTGACGTTCTACGTCGTAGATTCCAAATCAACACCATGACGGGCATGGGCTACCAGTACAAGGGCATCTTCGATGCTATTAAGGTCATCGTCGCCCACGAAGGCATCAAGGGCCTTTACAAGGGCATCGTGCCCAATCTCCTCAAGGTTGCGCCAAGCATGGCATCCAGCTGGCTCAGCTTTGAGCTCTCTCGCGATTATTTGGTGTCGCTGAGGCCGGATGGCAACTCGGAGGCCAACATCTGAAAAGGTGATGCCATGCACCACAACTTCACTTTAGCGACACGCCGCGGCCGCAAGATGCAGGCGGGCGGCTTACAAAAAGCCTCAGTACTGAGCATGGGGTGATTACAACTAGACAGTGGCTTGTGTAGTAGTCACGATGGGGCAGAGAGACTGCCGCTCGGGTTGCCTCATTCAACCCGGCATTTCATCCATCAGTGTTTTTATAATGTATTACAACAACAACAAGAAGAAGACTAGCTTGAGTATTCAGAAGACGGGCAGGGAGTTGTCCAGTAACTGTCCAGGGCGTCACGGGGAGCTGGACCTCATGGCTGCTACCGTTATGGAAGGACAAGTAAGCACCACCTTTGTTTTCGCACAAGCTAGACCGCAGGTCGTCTGAATACACCGGCATGAATTGAGATTCTTTCATGAGACACATGGTCCCTCCATCTGGCTTCGTGCTGTGGCATGTGAAAGAATACGGCAAGCAGGTACCTAGGCATAGGCAATTTAACGAGCGGTTGACCTCACCGAACTCTACACCGACACACCGAGGCCTGTCGGTCAGGAGCAAGCGTTGCAGGGTCCAGGCCCCGGTCGCTCCTGCAGGGCACTCAGCGTACGGTCCACTGAGGTGGGCACTTGAGGTGCACGGTCCCACTGCCACTCAAGCCGAGAGAGAAGAAAGGCGGGGTGGGAAAAAAAAAGAGAGAGAGGAACTGGATGCCTGACGGCCTGACGGTGCATTAGGGCAAATTTTTGTGCCCACAAGTTTGCTGCCACTCTTTCTGTCTGGCCCGGTTGCGAAATTTCCACAGTCTTCCCATCTACACGACGACGACAAACCACGGCCACCCATCGACTCAGATCGCCAATTCCGGGAGTCCAACGACAAGATGGGTACGTAGGAATTCCCATTCCAAAGCCTTTACATGCGAGTGGAATGTGCACGCAAAAAAAAACCCTTCATTGGGATCTTTGCTGTTGCTATTCTGCGAACTAGGCGCGCGGAAAAGAAAAATCCTCTCCTGCCTGTTTTCCCACCCCAATGGCCGCCTGTCCCCTCGCCGAGTGCGAGCAGAGGATGAGGAGTCTTTGGGACTTGGGGACTCGGGACTGTGGATGACGGACTTCCCGCCTCATTCAGAGCATGCTTGAACCAAAAGGCTGACGATGGGCTCTTCACCCCGTTTATAGGTATTGATCTCGACCGCCACCACGTGCGCAGCACGCACCGCAAGGCTCCCAAGAGCGACAATGTCTACCTCAAGCTCTTGGTGAAGCTCTACCGCTTCCTGACCCGTGAGTCTCTCTCCCCCCCGCCTCGAGCGTCGCCAAGGATGTCAAACATGAATTGCTGATCTTGGTTTCTTCCCAATCTCGCAGGCCGCACGGAGTCCAACTTCAACAAGGTTATCCTGCGCCGCCTCTTCATGTCGCGCATCAACCGCCCTCCCGTCTCCCTCTCCCGCGTTGCCGCCAACATCAAGAACGGCAACGAGAAGAAGACCGTCGTCATCGTTGGCACCGTCACAGACGACAACCGTCTCCTGACCGTCCCCAAGGTCACCATTGCGGCCCTCCGCTTCACCTCCACCGCCCGTGCCCGCATTGCTGCCGCCGGCGGTGAGGCCATCACCCTCGACCAGCTTGCCCTCCGCGCCCCCACCGGAAGCAACACCCTGCTCCTCCGCGGCCCCAAGAACTCCCGCGAGGCCGTCAAGCACTTCGGCTTCGGTCCCCACAAGCACAAGGTCCGGATCCAACCCCCCCCCCCCCTTCTTTTGCCATAATACGTGAGTGCTAACAATCTCTGCAGAAGCCCTACGTCGAGTCCAAGGGTCGCAAGTTCGAGCGTGCCCGTGGTCGCAGACGCTCTCGCGGCTTCAAGGTCTAAACGGGTTGTATGGTGCTATTGGTCTCTGGCGGGACCACTTTCATCATGCTCCTTTTCGGGGTTGGTCGTGCGATTTCTCGTCGCATTGGTGGACACGCTATCACGGCTATGGACTGCCGATGAGGGTCTCTCATCGTGCTTCACAGGTAACTTTCTGCATGGTACTGGCGTGGTTAGGAATCCAAAAAAGAATTGACGATCTACACACTTCGCATGGCGTCAAATGGCATCTCTTGGGCGGCCGTGGGGCTGGTTTTTCACCTTCATATCATACAGTCCCTTCTGCTTGTGTGATCTCATTTGGCATATGTTGTGTGTGTATGAACTTGAAAAGTGTGTGCCTCCCTCCTACACTTGTGTGTAACGACCGTTCCGCCTTCACAAGCTATCATTGTCCCCTTGAAGTCTTACTTCACCTTTCCTCCTAAGAGCCACAAAGTACGCCTCTTTCGAATCCTGACATACGTTAGCCTCGTCGCACAACCCAGTAGACACGTCCAACATACGCTACGAGACGACTCGGGCTTCTCGCGGAACACCTTCGCAAAAAGGGTTTTCAACTTCATCTCGAGCGCCTTGTCCTCGGAGCCCTGATAGAATTTGCAAACAAAGTGGCCGCCGTTCTTTAGCGTATCGTTGGCAAATTGGAGCGCGGCCATACAAAGGTCCTGCAACACCTCGTCAGCCCCCATGAAATGTGAAGCCTGATCTCAGACGAACACGAACCATGCTACCGGCGTGATCTCGAAAGGCCATGCCGCTCGTGTTCATCATCCTATGATAGGGATTACTAAGACTGTTCACTCCAAACCCGGTGGTCTGGTCCCAAGGTGCTGACATGTCACTCAATACAATCTAGACCTCTCTGTCAGTCCTTGCAGAAGTCTTCTCCTGGTTGACGATTACTCACATCAACCAACCGACCATCCTTTGGCTTCGTTGTCTCAGCAACACACTCGGACTTGTCGGGCGTTTCTGAACCCGCCCTCTCCATGTCAATATAGCTCGGCTGGTCCTCGATAATGGCGGACTCGTCTGTGCCTATGCTCTCCTCTCCCTCGGATGAGGTCGTCGAGGCTGGTGGCCGGGCCGGACGGCCTTTCTTGTGCCGGATGAGGTAATCCTTCACCATCTCCTGGACGTCAGGCGAGAGGAAGTTACCCTGGATCGTCGAGACACCCTTTGGTGGCTGGGCCGGGATGATGTCGATTCCCAAAACCTGTCCGTGGGGTTTCGTCCGGTCGGCTGCGACCTAGATACACAGCAACACATCTTGGCATATGCTCCCACGAGTTCATGAAATATGTGCATACCTGCGACCAGCTCCCAGGAGCATATCCCTGTGTCAAACTGTCAATTTACGTGGTCTTGAGGGGTCTTTGCATGAGAGCAAGGGCAACATACCAGGTCCACCACTGTCTGTCCCCTGCGGAAAATTCTGTACTTGGAATCCATCTGGCAGACTCGTCAGCTCACCGGAGGAAATCTTCACAAAGACAAACCCAAAAATGTGCAAACCTCTAGAAGCTTGAACGCCGCCCTGCTTTTGAGGCCCTGGACCTTGGCCTCGCGCGCGAAAATATCCTTGCCCTGCCTCATCTTCCATCTCGAGTTGGACGAAGATGCCCGCGTCTGACCGGCGCCAGCATTGAGTGTATTCCGGCACTCCGCACAAGCTGTAGAAAGCATGAGAAAAGACTGGCGTCTAGAAACTCTCATGAAAGCGCGGGCGGGTGATTTGGACATTGTTGTCATTGTGTGCCGCAGGCGGCAGACGTCACGAGCGTACTGGTTGTTTGGAAACGGCCGTCCTCTGTACCGCTCCACATGCGAATGGCTCAGAGATTGGCACGTCAAGGATCACGTACCGCTTTCGATTGGATTGAAGGGTCAAAAGCCGAGTATAAGGAGGTATTCCAACCAAAGCCCGTCGTTGTTGTGTAGCATGTTTGCCTATTCAAGTGAAGCCTCTGCATCCACCATTGACTCGACATGCTGATTGGCCCAAGCTTTAGTCGCACCTAAACAGGGGTAGCAAACAGCCTAGGTGAGCTTCACAGTGTTGTCACGACGTCTCAGTTTCAACAAGTACACAACCACACGTAGACCCCAGAGGATTCATATCGGATGGAAAGCTTTGGGCGAGATTTGCAGCCCTCAAGCCCTCTTCATTCAGGAAAATGCAACTTGATCTGAATACCGTACCTACATAAACCCAACAATACCAACACCAGTTCCCATCCCAGAACGCCGCCCATGCAACCCGCATATGATTCATGCATGCTCGGATAAAGACACATCCATCGCCGGCCTTGTCTTACGCCAGGAAACTAGCACCAACACCTCTCCTATCTTTCTTGAGTGGAGAGAATGTCCTCTTGCCAAATGCGCCTGCGTTACGCACCAAGGACAAGTGCGTCTTGCCAAGGGCCTTGCCGGCTCCTGGCGCAACTTTACCACCAGGTCGCTTGACATTCGCAGTCTCCGCCTCACCGTCGTCGTCGAAAAGAGTGGTTGAGTCGCCGGCGAGCTTGCGCTTCTTTCTCTTGACCTCTTGTTCGCGCACACCCGTACTCGTCACCGTCGCCTTCTTCTCCGCTGCAGTGGTCTTCGCGGGAGGAACTGCATTCTCTTGTTCGCCGGCCTCGGGCTCCTCGAGAACCTTGTCAAGCAGAGAACCTGACTTGGCCACGTCATTGCTCGCGGAGGGGGCCTGTACAGGCATGTTCGGGGATGCCTCAGCCAATGCCTTCTTGGGCCTGCCACGCGCCTTCTTGGGTTCTCCATTGCTTTTGGCTTTCGTCTTAGTCTTGGTTTCTTTGGGAGCGAGGGCGGTTTTTTCGGGCTCCGCTTCTGCCGAGTCTGCAGTTTCGGGCTCAGCCCCATCATCTTCTCCAGCACTTGCCTGGGCCTCCGCCTCAGCCTCAGCAGCGGCCTGTTGAGCCTGGTGTGCAAGAGGCACGTAGCTGACATCGGCTTCGTTTTCTTCCTCCTCAGCAACCGCGTCCTCAACGGTAAGAGTCTTGCTTTTGGCCAAGAAAGGAGTGATGGAGAATGTCGATTTTTCGCCCACAAGAGCTTGCTCCTTCTTCTTAAGTTGTCGCCTGCCTCGTGTGACATCCTCTGGCGTTCCAATGCTCATGTCGCTTATGCTGAGTTCTTCTACTCGACGCTTGCGAGCATTCTGCGCCTTGGCACCGCCAACCCGCGCGGCGGTATCTGCCTTCTTCGTAGGCACGGTACTTGTGTGGACGACTTCGGATCGCATCGACTTGAGTTCCTCCTGAGTAATCCGTAGCTTTGATCTCAGGGTGTCAAGACGCTGCTCTAGCATTTCGTTCTGTGCCTGAGCCTCCGACAGTGCCACCTCGTTCTCCTTACGAAGTCTCTCCTTCTCACGCCTTTCGGACAGAAGCATCTTCTCTGCCTCCTGTAGCTTCTTCTTAAGCTCCTGGTCCGCTTTCTTGTTGTCCTCGCCCGACTGCGCAGCGGCAGCGACAGAATCGAGTTCTTTTTGCAATTGTTCCTTTTCTCGCTTCTCGGCGGCCAACTTCTTCTCGGTGTCCTTTAGCTTGCGACTCAGCTCGTCCTCGGTTGTCTTGTTGCCCTCCGCTTGGGCTGCTTGTTGTTCCCGTACGCGTTTCTCGTTGGCCAATTGCACCTCGACCATGTTGAGTTCCCGTTCCAACGCCAACTTCTCCGCGATGGCTGTTTGCTGGTGAGCCACTTGTGACCGCAAATGCTCCAATTCGGGCCTTAAAGCATTGAGCTCTCGAGAAAGAGCAAGCTTCTCGGAAAGAACCTTGGTTGACTCTTGGGACAAACTGTTGAGTGACTCAAGCTCGGCCTGTCTTCATCAGCTATGGCGTTTCTTACTGATGGGCGGGCTCGCGACAGGGACCAACCTTGATATTGGCGAATTCTCGGGTTTGTGACTTTATTTGGGTCTGTTGATCGTGACTAGTGGCCTTCAAGGAGTCCAGCTCGGAGCGCGTCTCGTCGCATTTGTCGGTCAATTGGTTGATCTGAGCATCTTTCTCGGCGAGCTGCTCGCGTAATGTCGAGTTTTCTGCGAGAAGCACCTGCTTTGTAACCTTTTGTCTACGCGCGTCTTCCTCCTTGGCGATCAGTTGTGCCTGGTGGATGTGTTTCTCGTGCTTCATCTCAAGCTCGTGGGCGGCCGCCATCCTCTGCGAACGACAGTCAGGATGGAGTGAACTTTGAACGTGTGCGCTTTTCGCGCGTCGCAGGTAGCTAGCTTACCTCCTCCGAGTCCATATTTCTCGTCTTGCACGGCATTTTGCAGGACTTGTTTTTGCTTCAGCGCGTGAGCGCGTCGCCTGGTCGGAGTCCGTATAATCTCTGAAATAGAAATAGGGCGCGATCAGTCCTTGACGTTTATGTCTCAGGGCTGATATCTGAAGTGTAAAGCAGTAGTAGGGGTGCCCGCACTTGTTTCTGATGAGATTCGCAATGTCGATGTTGAATTGGCGATGATGATGCGGTGTGTTCGGGGGGTGCCTTTCGATGTGGACGCTGAAGAGGTAAACATGATGCCGAAAAGGGTTAGCTTCGCCCTCATGGAGTGACCCCACTCGAAGCAGGTGTGTTGTCCCACTGTGCCAGTAGTGTAGGTAAGGTAGCCAGCCTGGTCGATCTGAGTCCGTGCTTGTAGGGGCTACACACAGTGAAAAGTCTCGACGTCACTGAGTCTTAGGTAAGGTTATCTGCCTTAGCTACTTAGGTATCGGGCTGACTACTCTTGACGGAGCGGCAAATACTTTCCCCGGTCGTCCTACCGCCAGACTCCAGTAGGTAGAGCCGGGCCCCAGTTCCCACCTCAGGTCCAGGGGTTGCTCTGTAGCGCGTACGTACCTTACAGAGTACCTGCCCGGCAAAGCACTGGTAGGTTGACCCACACCACTGTGGGCTGGCAACGCTGATGAGAGCTGTCCAGTTCAAGCTGCATCAGCTTGCCGCATCTCAACGACACTCGCGGCGCACCCACTCGTTACGTACGCCGATTCAACTACATCACCTAGGCCAATTGGCCACGAAACAAACACAAATTTCCCGCGCGAGCGTTCACGAAATCGACAATAGCTTCTGGGCCCGCAACGAAACTCACCATGCGCTTCCTCCAGTCCCTCTTGGCCGCGACCTCGTTCCTGGCGGCCGGTTCTCTCGCTGCTAAGAAGACCACCGAGGAGCGCTTCAACGAATTCCATACCAAGGCCCTCTCCTCCTCTCCGATCAAGCTCGCCGACACCAGCTACAAGTCCTTGACCGCCACCCCCCGCGACTACACCGTTGCCGTCCTCCTGACGGCTCTCGAGTCTCGCTTCGGCTGCCAGCTTTGCAGAGAGTTCCAGCCGGAATGGGATCTTCTCGGCAAGTCCTGGACCAAGGGCGATAAGAAGGGCGAGTCCCGCTTGATTTTCGGCACTCTGGACTTCTCTGACGGTCGTGAGGTCTTCATGTCGGTAAGTTCCCACCTTACCACCGCCCCATTGTCCGAGACAAGACATGGACTAATACGACGACCAGCTCGGCCTCCAAACCGCTCCCGTCCTCCTCCTGTTCCAGCCCACCGTCGGCCCTCACGCTGTCCCTGCCCAGGAGCCTTTGCAATACGATTTCACCAGCGGGTTGGTTTGAATAATCCTCGTCACTGAAGAAATAAACTGACACACAACGTAGACCTCAGTCTGCCGATCAAGTCCACGCATGGCTCTCGCGACACCTGGCTGACCGGCCTCACCCTCCGGTCAAGCGTCCTATCAACTGGATGCGCTGGATTTCTTCTATCACCATTATTCTTGGTCTGGGCACGGTCGTCGTCACTGCCTCGCCTTACATTTTGCCCATCATCCAGAACCGCAATCTCTGGGCCGCCGTCAGCCTCATTGCCATCCTTCTCTTCACCAGCGGACACATGTTCAACCACATTCGCAAGGTTCCCTATGTTGCCGGAGATGGCCGCGGCGGTATCAGCTACTTTGCCGGTGGCTTCCAGAACCAATTTGGCTTGGAAACCCAGATCGTGGCTGCCATTTGTAAGCCTCGCAACTGTCTCCAAACTTGTGCGTCGCAGCTGACAGTTACTAGATGGTGTCTTGGCTTTCTGTGCCATCTCTCTTACCGTCAAGGTTCCTCGTATTGGCGACTCAAAGACGCAGCAGGTTGCTGTGCTGGCTTGGGGCGGTGTTTTGTTCCTCATGTACAGCTTCCTCCTCAGCGTCTTCCGCATCAAGAACGGCGGCTACCCCTTCTCTCTTCCTCCTTTCATGTAAGGAGGCACTTGTTAAGCCGAACGCATTGGAGGTATACTTCCAAGCAAGACCGCCACAAAATGGGCCGTTTCTACATCGTTGCTCGGCACGCTTTATTGCTGCAGCCAAACGACCCAATGTCCTCGTTGACAGGAGTGTAAAATAAAGATATAGAAAGTGGTCACAGAGGACGAAATGGCCACTGCAATGACAATGTACAAGTTGGACTTCGGAAATCTACGACAGGATCTCCTGGGGTGATCATTGGCGGAAGACTTGGCATGCTCAAGTCGAGTGGTCGGAACTGGTCCAAATTTCTGCTGCTGTTGTTGGGATGACACGACGCAGTCTACTTTGCCATTCTGCCTTGACATGGTCTTGCTGTAAGGACGAATACTAAGTCCACTCCAGATATCGTCGACTGACATGTTGCCGTGGTCAGCCCGCGTTGCCATCCGCGTCTTTGCCATCGCTGTGTCGCTTCGTCGCGCCGCAATGCCGCTGTCGTAGTCAATGCCATTCTCACCTCACCCGGCCACTACATTCTTCATGACCCCATGAGAAACGAGTTCCAGATACTCTCCTGCGACAGAAACAGAGGCCAATTCAGGCAGGAGACAATCAAATTGACAAATTTGCTCCTCTCACCACCCGTCGTCCCATTGCCGCCAAGCGCCATGGTGGTATCGGGTACTTAAGCGCAATGTGGAAGCAATCTGGATGCGCACTGGTCGGAAGGTTGCTCCGCGACGAGACCCAACCCCGCGTTTACGAATGAAGTTCGGACAGGAACCTTGGAGACGTCCACTTGAATCTCGTGATACCTTGAAAGCTTTGCAATGTTACCGGGCAGCTCCGCTCTTGTGACTTGCTGTAAGTTGGAGGATCAGCGACTATTTGGTCCGTGCCGTGTGTCGTGCTCAATTTCACGCTGCTCTTAGCAAGGAGGCGAGGGGGGGAGGGAGTGTAGTTAATATAACAGAGGGCTACGATACATCGTCAATTTTGCACGAATGGGCAACGTCCTATTCGGCAACGATTGGCAAATTGGTTAGCGAGACAGCCGAAAAGCTGCGGCCCTGCTCGGATATTTTAGCCGGCCAAGAGAAGCTTCAGCAACGAGCTTAGCGCCGGCACCCAACTTCGTGCTGTCGATCTGGGGTTCGCCGGCTAAAGTCGACTCAACAATACTCATATTCATGGCGGCAATAAATGGATGACAATTAGTGGCGGGGAGTTTGCTGTACCTGCTTCCCGATGTGGGATTGCCGCCACGGCATTTCTCCCGGCCCCCTCCTTTCATTCACAGTTTACTTTGCGTTGTGTTATCCTCGTCCCTACTTGGGTTGGCTTGACTGCATCTATTGTGGAGGCGGCCGCTAGTCGACGACTTATACGCAGGTATAGATCAGATCGAATTGGGCACGCGCACACTAAAGAAATGCCAGGTTGATACTGTCCACTGGCACTGGCTTCTGCTCTTTCTCACGCTTCGAGTAGTTTGAAGATCCCACAAGGCAGCACTGGTGATGGCAAAGCGATCATACGAAAGCGGGTAAACATGTCCTGACTACGAGAGTTGGGCGAAAGTGCCAGTCGAGGCTCGCCAGCACTACAATACCCTGTCTCGCCACTCGTGGATCATGAAATGCTTACAGGGCTTAGATACTTTCCTCCGCCTAGCCCGGATGGAAGCATCTAAGGCTTTCTCATGTTGCGGGGGTTGCAAGCAATAAAGCAGGCCAACACTGGGAGACCATCTGACTGGAGGATCGCCATTGAAGAAGCCGCTTCAGGACGCCAATCCCATGTTGCCTGTTTAACTGATGATGGGATTCATATCGACCCCCCTAGAGTAAAATTGCCCAGACATGCCAATTCGAAAGATTAATCTTCACAGACGGCTCGTCTTCTTCCACCAGCCTTGGCTTGCCCTTCAAGGCAACTGCGTCATCGCAACGCGGAGAGAGCCGGCCGAAGCCTTCGCAACTGTCGGGCCTATTTCCTGATTGATGTCGCTTTGAAGGCGAGCGCTCTTGAAGATCGCAAGTACGTAATGTTGTCTACGGGATTCACAATCTGGCTGGCCTTGAAGGTTTGAGGTGTATATATATGGTACTGTCTACCTTTACCCTTAGACTCTCATCAGACAACTCAGCATCACAAAAGAAGAACAGCTAAACCAAGAGAATTTGCATCAACATGAAGTTCACAACCGCCACTCTGGCGGCCTTGGCCTCGACGGCCATTGCTGCGCCCTCGACCACACGCAAGGAGCAACCCCGGGAAGCCGTCTCTGCGTGCTCTTCGGCCGTCTCTTTGGATGCGAAGACGAACGTCTTCTCGAAATACACCCTGCACCCCAACAACTTCTACAGGGCTGAGATCCAGGCTGCCGCCGCAGGCATGAGCGGCACTCTCAAGGAACAGGCTCTCAAGGTCGCTGATGTCGGATCCTTCGTATGGGTGTAAGCCGTCCCAAAACTCACCGTCCGCCCGAGAGAACATTAAGGGAGACTAACGATGACCGTTCAGTGACACCATTGCAAACATTGCGCGTCTTGATCCTGCCATTGCTGACACCCCCTGTGACCACATTCTGGGTGTCGTCATCTACGACCTCCCGGGCCGTGACTGCGCTGCCAAGGCTTCCAACGGCGAGCTCGCGGTCGGCGAACTCTCCAAGTACCAGTCGCAGTACATCGACCCCATCGTCAAGATCATCAAGGCGAACCCCAATACGGCCTTTGCCCTTGTCATCGAGCCGGACTCCCTCCCCAACCTGGTCACCAACATCAACCTGCAAACCTGCCAGAACTCGGCCGCGGGTTACCGCGACGGCGTCGCCTACGCTCTGAAGAACCTCAACCTTCCCAACGTCGTCATGTACATGGATGCTGGCCACGGAGGCTGGCTTGGCTGGAACGACAACCTCAAGCCCGGCGCTGAGGAGCTCGCCAAGGCGTACAAGGCCGCCGGCAGCCCGTCGCAACTGCGCGGTTTCGCCACCAACGTCGCCGGCTGGAACTCCTGGTGAGCATTCAGTCTCCTTTCAAACGACTGACACAAGGGTTAAAGGATGCTGACTGGACATGATTAGGGACGCTGAGCCCGGTGAGTTCGCCTCTGACCCCGATGCCCAGTACAACAAGGCCCAGAACGAGAAGAAGTATGTCACACTCTTCGGTGCCGCTCTGCAGACCGCCGGCATGCCCAACCACGCCATCGTCGACACCGGTCGCAACGGCGTCCAGGGCCTCCGCGAGGAGTGGGGCAACTGGTGCAACGTCAACGGGGCCGGCTTCGGTCTCCGCCCCAGCGCCAACACCGGCCTCGAGCTGGCCGATGCCTTCGTGTGGGTCAAGCCCGGCGGAGAGTCTGATGGCACCAGCGACTCGAGCGCTGTCCGCTACGACTCCTTCTGCGGCAAGCCCGACGCCTACAAGCCCTCGCCGGAGGCCGGAACCTGGAACCAGGCCTACTTTGAGATGCTCCTCAAGAATGCCAAGCCTGCGTTCTAGATGGCGAGTTGAAGGCTTCTTGCTCGGTATCTTGGCAGAGTCCCACTGTAAGCAGGAAACGGAGTGAGGAGGGTAAAAAACAGGGGAAATGCCCTTGCGTACTCCCATCCCGACGTGATGAGCCAACACTCCCTTTATTTGTATATATTCAACATCTTGGATACACAGTTAGCCATATTCAGTACATAGCCAATCAATTCCGTACTTAACCGTCATACTCTTCAGAGCATCTGGACCCACGATCTTGACGGTGAAACCACGAACAAGGCCCAAAGTGGAAATAGAGGTGAGCAGTTGTAGGTTGAGGCGAGTAGGAATTAGTGCTACTTGCTGCTCCTTCCGAACCACAGCGAAATTTGGCAAATTGGTTGTCCCAACACACCACAGTAGAACATCACCCATCGCGGTCACAAGGGACATAGAAACACGGGCAGCATACAGAAACAGTCACAGCAAAATGGGGTCGGCTTCACCGAGAATTGTAACAGAAAACAGCATATTTTGTTTGCCAGGATCTTTTGATTTGGGCGTTACGTGGGTTTCATGTCCAGAGTCCTTTCGTAGGCTACCTATAAGCCAGCAATGCAGTCTCATCCCCATTTTTCACAAATCGATTTGACCCTGCGCATCCCGAAAGACCAAACGAGGAAGCCAGCCTAGGACGCCCGCCATGATCTACCATCTCAGAGCCCTTTCCCCACCACACATCGTCATCGCCATCCATAACCCAGAAGAGAGACAGAGAGAGCTTTTATGCCCTTTATGCTCTCGACATGACACCCCAGGCACGGATGATGTTGTCGGTGTAACCGGCGAACAGGGTCTGGCCGTCGGCGCTCCAGGCCAAGCTCACGCACTCAGGCTCACGGCTCTTCTTGCCGACAGCGGTGAACTCGGGCTTGAGCTCGTCAACCTTGCTCTTCTTCTCAAGGTCAAAGATGATGATGCTGCTGGCGGTGGCAGCGCAGAGCCAGTAGCGGTTGGGAGAGAAGACGAGGGCGTGGATCTCGTCGTTGGCGTTGAGGGAGTAGAGGTGCTTGGACTCGTTAAGATCCCAGAGCATGGTCGTTCCGTCCTTGCCACCGGAAGCGCAGAGAGAGCCGTCGGGGGAGATGGTGACGGTGTTGATGTAGCCGGTGTGGCCGATGTGGTCGGTCTGCAGCTTGCAGGTGGAGAGCTCCCAGACCTGGAATTGCCAGTGTTAGCCCGCAACGTCCATTCCGAGAGTGGATACAGAGGCAAAAATGATGGATTCGAGGGTGCGAGATCAGTGCATTGGTGAATAGTGGTCTCATGGCCTGCAAAAAACAGGCTCTGAAGTAGCAAATACTTTTGGTTGCAAAACATCATGTCGAAGATTTGTCCAAGAAAAAGAAGGGTTCCACGGGGAAATTTTCCCACATACCTTGACGAGCTTGTCCCAGCCGGAGGAGACAATGACGGGGTTCTGGGGGTTGGGGCTGAAGCGGACGCAGGAAACCCACTCGGAGTGGCCCTTGTCGGTGATGGTGTACTTGCAGTCACCGAGGGTGTTCCACAGCTTGATCGTGCGGTCACGGGAACCAGAGACGATTTGTCTGTTGTCGGCGGAGAAGGAGACGGACAGGACGTCGTTGGTGTGGCCGACGAAACGGCGGGTGGTGGTGCCGGTGGCAAGCTCCCAGAGGCGGAGAGTCTTGTCCCACGAGGCGGAAAGGGCGTAGGCGCCATCCGACGAGATAACCTGTATTCACTCCTCCATCAGCCCAAAGTTGGTCAACAGCCCCTAGACGGCGCAGAATTTTCGCGGGGTCCGGGAGGGGTCGAGGAGACGTACGCAGTCGGAGACGATGTGGGAATGGCCCTTGAGGGAGCGCTTGGGGTAGCCGTACTGGGACTCGTCACGGGTGAGGTTCCAGATGATCAGAGTCTTGTCACGACTGGCGGACAGGAGCATGTTGGGGCTGGCGACAAAAGTTAGCGACCAAAGCTCTCAAGCCTCAGATTCGACCACCAGCGCATCTCTCTCCTCGTCTCGGTTTCTGGAACCCGTTCCGTGTCGAGAAAGCACCGTGGGATTCATCGATGGGAGTCGTACTTCTCCATGGAGGTAGCCAGGCTGGTGACCCAGCCATTCTGCAGAGAGCATGCTCGTCAGTCCTGGTGGTCCAAATTTTGCAGACAAAAATCGCCCGCGACGGCGGCGGCGGCGGCAGCAGCAGCAGCAGCAGCAACGGCGTCGGCGCGGAGAGTGGGCAAGCAGCAACTTACGTGGCCCTCGAGGGTACCCTTGAGAATCAACTGCTCAGCCATTGGGAAATGAGGCAATCAGGTCGATTGAGTGGTGAGAGAAAGGTGAGAAAGGTTGGAGTTGATTCTGAGGTCACACCTTTGACCCTTGGAGCTCTTGCTGAATTCAGGAATTTGTGTGTGGGCGAAAAAAAAGCCCTCTTCGGATTAAGGTATCCTACGCGAAGCGTGGAAGAGGCTGTCGGTGGGGCTGCGACCAATGGGCGTCCTGCGTGGCGGCAGCGCTGCGACGAGGCTGATTGGCTCCACTTTGCGCGCTCAGAGTTGCATGTCACTGTGCAGGGGCGACGGCGGGCACGCCTGCAGACGTGCAATGGGACTTGGGTCGGGAACGACTGGACCTAAGGTACGGAGCAGAACATACGTTGTGCAGGATTCATGGAAAGCTTACATAGGGTCTCACAGCCTGTGTATGGATTTTTATCTGCTCCTACCGCTGCTGAGCCCTGCAAGTCTGTCCCTGCCTGGGCGTCCCCTTCTCCTTTCTTGATCATGGAACCGCATAGTCGCAGATGCCTCGGAAACCTTGGTTGTTACTGTGAGCATGCCCATGCCCCCTGTTGATTTACCCTCCTGCCTGGTGGTTTAAACGGCATATTTCCCAAACCTAAACGCCTTGCTGCTGAATGCATTTTGATGCGAGATAATTCTTCGCACCCTCCGACTGAATGCGACAACCGTAAACGACTATTGTGCCGGCACGCCCGTGGAGAACATCTGCGGCCACCATTACCGTTGCCGATTCTTCCCATGCAGGAAAAACAAGCCCCTGCCGACATCTGCCCTCTTAACCTTGACCCGCAGCTCGTTTCCCCTGACGCTGCACCTCTCTGCGCAAGTGTCGCGCATCCGAATTGACAATCATGCTGTGGTCGGCGATCTCGAGCTGTCCGGTTGCCCCTCCCTCCTTCTTCATGAACCCCTCCATAGCCGCGGCCCATAGCGAGTAGCGCTCCTTGGTCATAGGGTCGCGCTCCGACAGTGATCTGACCTCCTTCTGCTTCCGCATCTTAGTCGCCCTTACCAAGCCTCGCAAGGCTTCCTCGCCTTGTTTCGATGCCTTTGCAGCCTCGTCCCTCATCTTCTGAGGATCTCGTCCGCTGTCGTCCTCCTTTGGCGTGTACTTGTACGTGTGCTTGCTCGGGAAATCAGGAAACGATTTGGGAATGTATGATTTGGCCTCCTTCTCTGGCCTGCCACTCAGCTCTTCTCCAAGAAGTGGCAAGGTAGTATGCGCATCGGGGTCCTCGGGCATCGGGTCAAAGTAGTCGACGGCGAGCTTAGATTTGGGGACGGGTTGGCGAGCGTGAGGTCTGAGTGCCTTCGTCTTGAGGGTGAAGCGTTGCATTGTAGACTCGAAGTCGGCAGGCGTTGGTTGCTCGCGGCGCGCGGCGAGAGAAACTCGTTTGAGGTCCTCGATGAAAGAAGCCATGTCTACGCTGGAGATTAGCTCAAATGTGCGGCAGTCAGGGTCCCCTATGGATTCTCACAGGTCTCAACTGTCACCAAATAGCTCTCCATAGCCTCGGTAGTGGCGGAGTCAAAGCCAACATGTTGCAACGCTAAGCCAATACTACGTTCAAGGCCGCTTTTTGCTTGGTAGTCGAGGGAAGGAATGATGACTTTGGTTGCGCATGGGAGTAACGACTCGTCGTCTTCGGCGGGTGTCGCGGAAACCCCAAGATCGGTCTTCTGCCGTTTCGCGTTGGACTCCTCCTCGTCACTGGGCGAGTTTCGTTTGCGTGGGCTCGTGGCCGCAGCGGGTGAGGCAGGTGCGGACATGGCGCGAAGCTCAGGCGAAGCCCGCGTATCGAGACGCGGGTCGATGACGCGCTGGCTTTCGAATTTCAGGATGTTTTCGTCTACGAAAGTTCGGCGGAACAAGGACGGGCGACAGGCGATGGGTGCCGGGCGCTGTTGTTGAAGCAGATGACCCAGCCGACACGAGAGAGTTGATAGGTCGTCGCAGTTTTTGATATGGAAGTTGCAGCTGTTTGGACGGAAACTGTCGGTCGGTACGTACTTTCCAGCAGCAAAATTGGCGAGGAAGCACCGGAGGTTGAGGCTCTTCCTGAGGAACTTGGGAACCTACCTTAGGAGGTAAGGTTCCTTAGTACCTAAAGTAGGTAGGTACTTTGTACCTTAGGTAGACTGGGGCAGGTGGTCCTTGCGTCGGCTCTTGGGCCAAATACGTACAGTGGGTGATCCCAGCCAATTGGTTCGCCTCACTCGTCGTCGTCTCCCTGCGTTTAATGGCGTACCTAGATTCGCGTTCATATGGGACTCGAAACTCGTCCATGTGGTCTCAGGATGGCTCTCGATTTGCCCTTGTCTTTTTCATTTCCATAGTTCCTTTTAGTGTGTCAATTTACGGATAGCTCAACTCGAGTCGAGACCCGTCGCTGGCGGGCTGTGCTACTATCTTATCTGTGTGACACAGGCGTGGCAGTCAAAGAAGCAGTGTTCCAGGTGTTCCACACATCGCTCTACCTTTAATAAGCCCGATCCCGTCTTTCCTCCCGCTACGATATGACCAGCTGTCCAATGCAGCTTCCACCTACTAAATATTGCCGAATTGGAGAGATAGCGGGAGAGAACGCCGCCCTCCGCTCAGTTCTCATTGCCATCCTCGCGTGTCTGAGTCAAGCGCCAGCAGTTGTCCCTATCTCAGCCCGAGTCTCAACGGAATCTCGAGCCAGGGGGCCGCACTCTTTATCATTTGATCCCCCACGCCCTCGATCACGAGTCCCTACCTTATACACAGAACGAGTCCACTATCTATCGTTGCGGTACCATGCAGAGCCTGGAAACCTTGCGTAGCGGTGGCTACCGTGATCTTGGCCTACAGAAGCTGAAACTCGCAGGCCCCCTGAGCGAGTTTCCCTCGGAGATTCTTCAACTCGCCGATACGCTTGAGCATCTGGATCTCTCTGGCACGGGGCTTTCCACTTTACCTGACAGCATCGGTCAACTGCGTAAGCTCAAGATTGCCTTCTTCTCGGACTGCAACTTCAAAGCCTTTCCCAAGCAGCTGGCACAATGCCCGAAACTCGAAATGGTGGCCTTCCGCTCCAACGGCATGAGCAACATCCCGGAGGATGCTTTGCCCCGTAACCTGCGCTGGCTTATCCTCACCAACAACCGCATCGAAAACCTCCCGAGAAGTGTTGGCAAATGCGCGCGTCTTCAGAAATGCATGCTCGCAGGCAATCGCTTGAAAAACCTGCCCGACGAGATGTCTGCGTGCAAGAAGCTTGGCTTGCTTCGTCTTTCCGCCAACGAATTCAACCATCTGCCACCCTGGCTTTTCAAGCTGCCTGAGCTGGCGTTCTTTTCGGTGGCTGGTAATCCATGCTGCGCCATCACCCTCGAACACGAAGTGGCTCAGCTTCGCAAAGTGGTTTGGCATGATCTAGAGGTCGAAGGTTTGCTCGGTCACGGAGCTTCGGGCGACATCTTCAAAGCGAGATGGATGTTGGCCGACTCCGTCGTAGAGGAAGTGGCCATCAAGCTGTTCAAGGGCGAAGTAACAAGCGACGGGACACCTCTCGATGAGATGTCAGCTTGTCTCGCAGCAGGATCGCACAAGAACCTAATCAGCACACTGGCAAGCATTGATGGGCACCCAGAGAAGCATGGCCTCGTTATGCAGCTCATACCGCCCCACTACCAGACTCTGGGGCTTCCTCCTTCCCTGCAGACCTGTACGAGGGACCGCTATGAAGACGAGGGAAAGCTGCCGCTGGACACTGTTTTGGAGATTCTTGCTGGCGTTGCAGCGGCAGCTCTCCACCTGCACGGTCGTAAGGTATCCCATTGCGACTTTTATGCCCACAACATTCTCTTCAACGAGGCGGGACATGCCCTGCTCGGTGACTTTGGAGCGGCGACGGTATATGAAAATCTCAACGGCCTCGACTTTGAGAGGTTGGAGATTCTAGCCTTCGGTCATCTAGTTGAGGACCTCTTGGGAGTAACGGGCCCGGGCCATTTGGAGATGGACAAGAAGCGGCGGACGATCGAGGGACTACAGCAGCTGCTTGCTCGATGCTCGACCCCTGTGGTCAGAGACAGACCGCGTTTCGTGGAGGTTGTGCAGATACTTGAAGATTTGCATTGAAAATATCAACATTCTCACAGCCGTGGGGGTGCGAAACGGCGAGTCTCAAACGTGAAGGGATAGATAGACATGGAAATAAACCAAGAGGCATCCATATAGACTAGATGTCATCCTATAAACATGGGCAGAAATGATTAGGCATTCAAAAACCTTGGGCGATGCGGAGTCAATTCAGGAGTTGACGTTTGGATGAGTGCGGGCTGGGGTAATCTGCAAAAGATTATATGTCCATAAGTCAGTTTACTGGGGATGCCTGAACATCTAGCCGGCGTTGGGTGACGATGTGTGCGTTGAGGTCGTGTGGGTGGTGTTGTTCGAGTGTTGGTTGGTTGGCGGCGGATGTTCTTCCTGGTAGGGCTGCGTGAGGCCGATGGCACCTGCACCGCCCAGGTATGCTGCTTCCTGGAGGCTGCCTGGAGGGAGGCTGCCCTCCACTGCCCACAGTACCTTATTCGTACTTACCTACCTTACCTTACCGAGGTAGGTACTAGGTAAGGTATCTGCGAGGCCCACGGATCGGGCGAGGTCCGATTCGACCAGGGCGGGAGCCAGGGAAAAGAAGGGCTTTGCGCTCCCCTCACCACTAACCCCAGTCGTTCCGTTCCATTCAAACTCCCCTCGCAACGCAGGGTCCAATGCCGACAACCTCAATACTGATAATTACATACCACCATCACCAACACCGCCTTTCACGAACCGACCGCCAGGCATCATCCCACCGACTCATCCATATTTCTTTCCCTTCGTCCTAGTAGGAAACGAAACACGGCATTAAAGAACAGACAGACAGCATCAGACCGACTTCTTTCATCGTCAATTTGCATCCTTGCTACGACTCATCTCCTCGGTTGCGCTCACTCACTATCATCGTGACCTTGCCGCAGCAACGTCACTCCTCGGGTTCAAACTTAACAACACCCACCAAACATGCACTTTTATTGGATACTTTGAGACCGCTCCCACTGTCGCAATGTTTCCCTTCGACCCAAATGTCATGCCAACGTTGCCTACCCGCAAGGGCCTGTTGGTCATCGACTTCCAGAACGACTTCCTTGCCGCCGACGGCGCTCTCCCCGTTGCTGAGCCTGATGCATTAGTTTCGCGCACCCTCGACCTCGTCAAGGCTTTTCGAAAGACTGGCGAAATCATCTGGGTACACACCGAATTTGAAAAGCACCGTCCCTCTTCCGCGGAACAGATCCTGGCTACCGATGTCATGCCCAAGCCCACCATTTTGACATCTCGCTACCGCCGCCGACCCGCCGTCCAACAAGAGTCTGAAGAGCCAGATACGGACCGCGATCACGAGGCTTTTCTCAGCCAGCCCGGCCCCCCCGTCGTTCGCCCTTCCACCTCAGGTGCCCAATTCCCAGCTGCCGTCAAAGACGCCATCGCACCCCGCGATATCAAGTTCCTCAAGTCTCATTATTCTGCCTTCAAGTCGGGCCAGCTGTTGCAGATGCTGCGCTTCAAGTTCGTCACCGAGCTCTTTCTCTGTGGTTCCCTCGCCAACGTTGGTGTGCATGCCACTGCCGTCGATGCTGTCAAGTACGGCTATTCCATCACTCTCGTCGAGGATTGCTGTGGTTTCATATCCGAACTTCGCCTAAGTAATACTATGCGAAGTCTCGTTGATCTAACCGGCTGTGATGTACTTGAAGGCACAGCCGTCGTCGAGAAACTGCAAGCCAAGAAAAGCCCGGCTTCGGCCGCTTCCAGTTCTTCCTCGCCTGTTGTACCAAGAAGGCTCATAGAAACCGCCGACGATGGAATTCTGGTGGCCAGTGACGCTTCAACTCCAAAATCCCAGTCCCTCGAGGAAAAGCTGGCCGGGCTCAAACTCGAAAACGACGTCGGTAGACCTTCTCCAGCCTCGAGGCCTGCAAGGTCCGCAAGGTATCGGTACCCGGATGACTCAGAGTGTGCAACCATCTCCGATATGTTGGAAGTCGACCCGGATGCACAGCCATCATCAGCAGCACCAATCATCAGTGAGTCACCGGTCATAGAGGTTTCTCGCAACCCGGATGCTGCTATTCAACCGGAGGAAGATACCACAAACGGCCCTCAAATAATTGAAGCTGCCTCTGACGATGAAAAAACACATGCATCCGACCCAGAACTGGAAGTAGATACCACAATAGCCTCCACAGGGACTGGAACCATGAGCAGCGAAGAAGTCGACAACGAAGACGCCCTGAAGGTCTCGGAACCTCTCTGTGAGGGAGACACCACTGTCATCCACAACATCATCCCCGAGCCTCTGGCTGAAGGCATCTTTGAGAAAGTCAGAGATGAAGTCAGCTGGCAGAGAATGTCGCACCAAGGCGGCGAAGTCCCTCGTCTAGTCGCCGTTCAGGGGGAAGTGGCTGGCGATGGCAGCATGCCAGTTTACCGTCATCCATCTGACGAATCGCCCCCTCTTCTGTTCTTTTCGCCAACAGTGCGCGAAATCAAGACCGAGGTCGAGAAACAGCTCGGCCATCCGCTGAACCACGCCCTGATTCAGTTCTATCGTGGTGGCACCGACTACATCTCCGAGCACAGTGATAAGACCCTGGATATTGTCAAGGGATCTTACATCGCCAACGTCAGCCTTGGGGCGGAACGAACGATGGTGTTCAGGACTAAAAGACGGGACAAGGACCCGTCTAGTACTGAGTCACCATCCGGAGAAGACTCAAAGAAGCGCCAAATCGCCCGCGCAAAGCTGCCACACAACTCTCTGTGCCGCATGGGCCTGAAGACCAACATGCGCTGGTTGCACGCCATCAGGCAGGACAAGAGGATGGAGCGCGACAAGACTCCTGCTGAACTGGCCTTCTCAGGCGGCCGCATCTCCCTCACCTTCCGACAGATTGGCACCTTTTTGGATCGCGATAGTACAGTGATCTGGGGCCAAGGAGCGACATGCAAGGCCCGAGATGAGGCCAAGCCCGTTATCAATGGGCAAAGCCCTGAGGCGGTGGAAATGCTGCACGCTTTTGGCACGGAGAACCATTCTACCACGTTCGATTGGGACCGGCACTACGGTAAGGGGTTCGACGTTCTTCACATGAACCATTCACCTCGACTCTGCGTCTCAGCTGATTCCGTCGTCAATACACGCATCGCCCTGATGCTAGCCGAGTATGGAATTTCTTACGCAAAGGGCAGCATGTCTTCGTCCTTCAACTGGAAAGATGGCGAAGGTGTAAACAACACCTCTACGATCCCTGAAAGCCCGCCGATCAGATTCATCGACAACGACGCCGTCAAGTCCACGGTACAGGGCGAGCTGGCAATCATGTTGTACCTTGACGGCATCTATGGCTCAGCAAGAGCAGAAGCCGCTGGCAAGTCGCACTCAGACCTGGCGAGGATTCTGACCCGTTTCCAGCAAGGACTCGCATTGCTCGAAAAATGGCGCCAACTCGAGCGAGACGACGAAGGCAAGCGTGACCTGAAACTCCTAAACAAAGAGCTGGCTATCTGGGGAGGCTACTCCGGAGAGTCGGAGTTTATTGCGGGAGAGAGGGTTTCTTTGGCCGACTTCGCCGTTTGGCCAGTGCTTCACACCATTGTGGAGAAGTATGGTGCTGAGGCACTCGTCGCGACTGGAAAGTTGAAGGAGTATTACGAGAGGTTCAAGAGCAGAGACTCGACTACCAAAATGCTGGGAACAGACCGGCCGGAGGGCCCAAGCACGCCTTGAAATTATCCTCACTTCACGTTGGTAATTGAAGATACCCAGGGACGGATTCATCTTACAGCTCCTGGGTATCTGAGGAATAGGTCCATGATGCGCGGGAAAGCCTCGGAGCGTATTGTTTGCTTGATACCTTTTTGTAAGAAACAAAAAATGCCTCGAATAACACAAGCAAACCAGAAAAGGGGCGCGCTGTGAGGTTTGCTGGTGAAGCAGGCCAACGTTACAGTCATCGAAGCTTGGCTCTATCTGGGTCGGCAAATCTTGAAAATGTTTACACATCATTTTTTTTTTCCGTATCTCGTTGAGGATGATAAATTTTGTGTAAATGGAGACGCATGCTCCATGCAACATGTCAGCGCAACATGCTGTTAGGACTGGTGGAAAGCCCTTGATATAAAAAGAACACATAAATGATAAAAACGTGGGGAGGCGCGACCGCTCTCGCACAGCCTGAAAGCAGCCAAGGACCCCAATAAAACGCCGAAATGGATCAGCACCCCTCATGTCTCGAGTCCAAGTGCTCACCCATCATTCCTTCATGAACTGCGGCCCCAATTGCTCAAGAGCGGACGTCCCACGGCAACGGGTATGTGCCGACCCAGTCAGCCACTTCAGATCTCAGCTGCACAATCTCTGGGTCGGTTTCTCCATCGCCAAGATGCTGCATGAAGTGTCTCAGCAGACCAGGCTTCTTCTCTCCCTTCTCCTCGGCAGTCTTTTTTGCGCTCTTGTCTATACGGACGGCAATGGTGACGGCCCGGTCAACGACATCAGCGACACGGCTAAAGTCTTCCTCGCTGAATCCCCTTGTTGTCATGGCCGGTGTGCCCATACGCAGACCGCCAGGCACCAGTGCTGACCTGTCACCGGGAACGGTGTTCTTGTTCGCCGCGACACCAACAAGCTCCAAAATACGCTCAACACGACCACCGTCGATACCCTGCGGCTTCAGGTCTGCAAGCACGAGATGGTTATCGGTGCCGCCTGACACCAGCTTGTAACCCAAACCTCCCTTCTCCTTAGGAGCGCCCAGTCTGTGTGCAAACGCCTTTGCGTTTGCTAAAACCTGCGTCTGGTAGGCGCGGAACTCAGGAGCCTGTGCCTGCTTCAAGGCAACGGCCAGGGCGGTGATTGTATGGTTATGGGGGCCTCCCTGGTGACCAGGGAAGACGGAGTTGTTGATGGGGCCCTCGAGGTTGTACATCTCATCCTCTTTCTTCGCGTTCTGCCGGCGCACACCCTTGCGGAAGAAGATCATGGCACCGCGGGGTCCACGCAAGCTCTTGTGGCTAGTGGTGGTAACAATGTCGGCGTAGGCGAAGGGCCCGGGCATCACCTTGGCCGCGACCAGACCAGAGATGTGGGCCATGTCAGCGAGTAGATAGGCATTGGCCTTGTCGGCGATCTCGCGCATGCGCTTGTAGTCGATCAACCTGCTATAGGCACTAGCACCGGCAACAATGACCTTGGGGCGGTACAACATGGCCAATTCCTCCAGCTTGTTATAGTCGATCTGACCGGTAGTCTCGTCAAGCCGGTAGGGGACGGTTTCGAAGTACTTGGAGATGGCGGAAATCTTCTTGGTCGGCGTCTGGTAGCCGTGGGAAAGGTGACCGCCGTGAGGCAGATCCAGTCCCATGAGGCGATCGTGGGTGTCCATTAAAGCAGAATAGACATACAAGTTGGCGGGGGCACCGGACAGAGCTGCACCATGAGTTATTGGCTGGCTGGATTGTCGAGAAGGGAAAGAAAACAATACGCACCCTGCACGTTGACACCCCATTGCGTGGCATCGAGGCCAAAAGCCTCGAGAGCTCGCTGCTGGCAGAGACGTTCCGCTTGGTCGATGAACTCGTTTCCGCCGTAATATCTCGCGCCCGGGTAACCCTCGGAGTACTTGTCTAGCCAGTTGATGAGTATAAATTCAGTACTGGAGACAAGCTGCTCATACTCTGCATCACACTGCCCAAGGCATCGAGAACAGCTTGGGAGGTGAAGTTCTCTGAGGGGATGAGGTTAATAAAGTGCTTCTGTCTGTTTTTCTCCTGGAGGTATACCCGAGTCAGCGGCTGGTTCCCTTCGCCAAGACCTCGTGTCATCGCAGCACTGCTCGTTGTGTTGACGGGGAAAGCAGGTTGTCGCAAATGTCGGTGTCAACCTTAGATGTCGTCCTATGAAGTCGTACCTTTTCAATGATGTCGAAGACAGCGGGATCGGCTTGCTGGAGGTGAGCAGACAGCAGCTAAAGGGCAACCCAAGTCAGCAACGGAATTCGAAAGTCAGGAAAAGGTCGGAAAGCCAAACGGCGCACCTGTTGTTGGCCCTCAGAGTTGGACGTCGAGATGCATCTCACGCCACTCACGCGCGGACGAGTCGCCGGGACCGCCCCTCTCGGCAAGCAACGCAGGGCACGAGAAGTACCTCGGAAGACGGAAAAAGACATGATGACAGCAATAACGACTGGCTGTCGTGGAAGCAGTGTCAAACGAGGAGAATTGGAGGGAAAGCAACGAGGGAAAAGGTGAAGAGGGGGATGGAGGATGAGCAGGAGGAGGCTTGATGTAAGGTAAGGCTAGGACAGCTGCAACAGCCAGGCAAGTACCTGAGGGAGGGATCGAGTTACCGATGCTAGTACCCCAGCTACAAACCACGAGGAGATGATGTAGCGATGTGCAGTCGGTGGGGGAGCCGGTACATATGGCACCAGCCAAGCTGGCGGATACGCTGAACCAGTGACCATTGCTCGGTATCTCATCCGTCGTCCAGCGGTAAGTCGACCGAGCTGCTCAGCGGTTGGCGCCGGCTTCGGCTCCGCGCTACCCACTATGACCGACCTTATCAGCTTTATCGGCCTGCATGGTGGTTCGCCGATGCTTAGGTAGGGACCGCGCTCCAGACTCCAGCACCTTTCGCCCCGTCATGTCGCTACAGGCACCGCTCGAGAGCAGGTCCGCGCTAGAAGTTGGCAGTTGGAACAGTAAGCAGTGCACGGGCCCTCGGCAAGGTCCCGCCTCATGGTGGACCCTGTCCTGACCTACCTTTTTACGCGGCATCGCGGCCGAAAATTTTACTCTTTTTCTTCTTCTCTTCTTTACACAACTAAATTGGAGATGACGAGCACGCTTTCTTCGCACATCAGCTCTTCCGCTTCGGCGGGTGCATGATGAAATGTTCTGGCACCATCACCACCTTTTCAGGGACAATTTGAAACAATCTGATCCAATCCATGGTTGTGCTTCTTTCTTCATACTCTTTTCATTGCGCCGGTCGGCCATCCTCTCCCCAACGCACAAGTGTGCTCAGGGCTTCAAAACTAAACATGCTGCATATGTGTTGGGAACTTGACGTAGTCCAAGTGCGTTACGTAGTTTGTCCATAGGGAAACCACGTCTGCGACAATGTATTGCTGCACTGTGGCTGTTCCTGTCGACTGCTTGCTGATCAAAGCTGAGTACGTGATGGAATTTTCCATCAATATTCCCAACGGTTGGTTTTGTGCCTCGCGTCCGTGGATGACCTCAATGTTGGTTCTGCATACTGCCCAAAGCTACCCAGCAAGCTTGCCTCGTATACCGCTGCCGTATGGAGATGGGCCAACACCATATGACGGATCGTATCATTCGGACCCTTGACTGAACCCGATCCGCCGAACACAAGAATATCGAGAATTCGCTGTATTCGTAGGTAGGAAACGTAACTGCCGAGCCCTGGGGCTATCTTAGTTCCCGACAATCCCATGACACGAATTGTATGTGCCCTGTGCAATTACCTTGTCTATCTCTGGTTGCGCTCCTATGCTATCTGGTGGCCTTGGGCTGGTAGACAGCGCCTAGAGATAGGCCGCTTAAAGAACCTCAACAACTTTCACAAAATACGCACACCCATGTGGGAATCACAAATAAGTTGAAAGTTTATAACCGTGTAAAGATTGCTGCTGCTCATTTTTCATGCCCGTTTTTTTGCCATGTCATCGATTTCCATTTTTCAATGCTACATGCCAAAGCCCTGCTGCGACATTAGGACCAGTAGGACGTAAAAAAAGAAGACCCAACCCGATGACTCCGAATGCAGCCGCCTAAGGACCGAGATCGAATTGTAGTCGTCTACTTGGTCTCCTCCTCCTCGCCCATCAGAGCGTTCCTCTTCGCCGCCGCTCTCTCCTGCTTGCGCTCGCGGGCGGCCTTGGTCTTCGCACGCTTGGCATCCATCTCGTCCTTGAGAGCCTTCTCGCGGGCCTTCTCGGCCTTGGCACGGTGGATCTATTGCAAACAAAGATGTTAGCACACATCCCTTCCGTCCACGCATAGTCGTGGTCTCGTTTCTGAAGGGTCCGGGTGTTGTAACTTACGTGCTCAACGAGAGCACGCTTGTGCTTGAAGGTGTTACCCTTGCTGGCGTGGTAGAGCTCGTGGTAGAGGTGCTTGTCGATCTTGCCGGAGGCACGGTACTTGACGAGGAGACGGCGGAGAACACGGAGGCGGCGCATCCAGAGGACTTGGCTTCATCGAGAGTCAGTATAGAATCTCCACGTAAGGGCATACAGCCGTGGTGTAGCTGAGATGAGAGTCTCCTCGCCAGGACAAACGTGTGACGAGGAAACTCCTTCGCAACAGGCTATCCCACAGATCGCTTGCCGGGAGTATTGGTGTCGACGAACCTGGGCATACGAGCCTCGGCGGTACCCTTGCGCTTACCGAAGCCACGGTGGCGACCGATGCGGCGGGCAAGGTTCAGCTCACGAGCACGGGATCTCGAGTGCATGGTGACGGGCTTGCGGATGATGAGGCCATCGGCGATGAGCTTGCGGACGGTCTGGCGGGAGTTGGCGTTGGAGATCTCGCTGACCTCGTTGGGGTCGAGCCAGATCTTGCGCTCACCGCAGCCGATGACCGACGCGGCGAGGCGCTTCTGAGTTCGCAAGTTGACCCTGGAGAGAAGCAGTCGCAATCAGCCCGTGTCCCCGATACATCATGACATTGTGGGAGGAAAAAGTGTTCATCCTCCTTCGATTCCATCCAAGTGCCGGTCGTCGTGTGTTCGGTTCGTTTCGACTCCGCCAATCCCCGACGCCACAACGGCCGGGAATTGGCGTTGCCGGGACACAGGACGACGGGAATCTCACTGGAATCGGTGTTGCAGGGCGTTGCTGGGTGCGGTCGTGATAACTTACATCTTGAATGTTGTCCTAGTCGATGGTCGTACCTACCGGGGGAGTCGAGGTGTTGGAAAATTGAGAGGGGTTGACGCTCGAATATTTCTCTGGAGGAAAGTCAGAAAGCGGTGCGGATTCGAGTGGGGCCACTGAGCCAGCTACTCAGGATTAAGCGAGGGCTCCGAATGAATCATGCCATCACGTGATACGCCAACACAGCAAAAATGCAGGTACGTACCGCAGTGTGCAACAACCGCTCTCACCTCGCAGCGCTGGAGACTGTGCCTGTGCCTGTGCCTGGCTGGGGTGGACGGCCACATCTTTTTGTAGTGCCAACAACAGCCTTATCGATACCAACTCAGGAATCCTCCCCAATTCTTCCATACCTCATCTTCGCATCGCGCTTTGCGCACACCTTTCACTCCCAGAATTGCAAGCAACTGTCATGGCATGAAGTGAATTGTAACTTTTCCACATTTACCATCCATCCTGTATGCTAACCCTGCCTACCTTACTTGCCAAACACATCCTCGCCAACGTCAACCTTGCCCACACTCCATATCTCCTTTTCATCTTCAACCTCGTCATTGGACAGGCCCAGGCCTCCCTGGCCTCCCTCTGCTTCCCTCCTTTCCCGTACTTGCGCTCCGAGCCTCAGGGTGACACGTTTGAAGTAGTCCTGCATGCTCCTCTTGGTGTTGGGTGGCAGGTTCGCACCATCCACAAATTTGTCAAAGACCTTGCTTTCGTCGTCCGCAACGTTAAAGAGAGCAACGAAAGCGGCTTCCGCAGCCAGCTTGACGGGAATAACCGGGTCTCTAACGCTGGCAAACACGGGGCCAGCAAGCAACCCCACGTGCGGGCGAACCATATCCATGTTGGTACGGCTCATTGTGCGAACGATAACCAATGCCAGCCGCCGAGAGTCCACGGAATTACCTGGCTGGATGATTTTTGCCAGGGCCTCAAAGATCTTCTTGTTCGAATCAAAAGTCTTGACCGATTCTGACAATAGGTATTTACCAGTGGCCAAGATGACGTTGTCCGCGATGTAAGGCTGCATAGCTTGCGTTAGCATTTTGTGACCGTGCTGCAAGCACCATTTACTTACGTGTTTGCTCGACATGCCCTGGCAAAGGAGATCGGGCAGTTCGTCCGCCAAGGGGCTTTCCAGGAGGCTCTGCGGTGATTCAACCAACACCGCGTTGAGGGCGAGAGCCGAAGAGTGACTCCAATGACTGGTAACCACCCGGTTCTTCAGCAGCCCGTTCGCAGCCTCCTCGGGCACGTTCTTGATAAGTGCTCCGAGCAACTTGGCATTGGTGATTGTCATCGCATCATCTCTCTCATCAGTATCCATATCAATGAGACCCAGGACAGCAGCGCGCGAGGTCTCGCCCATATTGGCACCGGCCTTGCTGATGACTTCGTAGAGCGCGCTGAGCATGGCGGTTCTGACGCCTGGGTCCGCAGTCTTGGACCCAGTCACCAATTCGGCAATGAGCGGATCGATTCGTGGCGTGTATTTGATGAGCGTACCCAAAGCCTTGGCTGCGCGAGCTCGGAGAACCTCGCTGGAAGTGTCTGCAAGCGACTTGGCAAATGTACGTTGCAGCTGGGGCAAGAATGGCTTCAGCGCTGTAGGCATCTTCTCCAAAAGGTTATTTAGGGTCAACAGGATCGCAGATTTGACATCTGTAGATCTCTCAGATACGACACGAATCAGGGGCCCCGTGATCTGCGTGACAAACGGCTTAAGGGAAGCCTCGCTGGTCCGGTCCACAATGTCAGAAATGGCCAGAGCTGCCTGTGTCCTTTGCTCTGGGGTGCCGTTCATGAGACCCTGCAAGAATATCGGTAGGATGGCGTTGATGCCCTTCGGAAGCTCAAAGCCTGGCAAGTTGGCGCCAGCAACGCCAACTTGTTGAAGAGCTTGTCGGGTTGAGGTGACGAGACTCTCCATTTCCTCTTTCCTGAGTTTCTTGGTGAACTCGCTGAGCGCAGCCCAAGCTCCCTTGAGTACATTTTGGTCTCTGTCATCGAACGAGATGAGGAGGGAGCGTACAATATCTTGATTGTAACGTGAATAGTCCACGTCGGCGGACGCGAAGAACTTGGCCAAATGACGTGTGGTAGTAGCACGTCTGCGATGATCGTCGTGCTTGGTAAGCTGAAGCAGGACGTTCATTACCGTGTTCAAACCATCGTACTCGTCAATGGACAGAATCACTGTGTCGAAAGAGTTTTCGAGGTCCTCTCTCAAAGCCTCGTCTTGGCAGTTGATAATGTTGTCCATCAAAGAGTTGATAATGTTCGGCAGACGGCGGTTCATGGCAGCACCAGCGACCCGAGACAGAGAAGCAAGGGCCTTGGCGTTGAACGCTGAAATGGGAGGAGTGATGAGGGTAGGGATGAGGTTCGGGAGAATGATATTGGAACGGGTGGTTTCTGTAAGGAGGGTGAGCAGCGCCTGCAATGCGTTGTCGGCGTTTTCCTCGGAGCGCAGCAGGTTGAGCAGGTATGGAAGAACTTGGTCCACAGCCTTCTTGCCCAGGATCTGCTGCAGGGAGTCGAAGGCCTCTGCGGCGGCTTCTCTGACATCTCCATCCGAATCGGTGAGGGCCGTCCTGACAACGGAGATAAGTGTCTTTTCGTGATCTTCCAGAGCCTCTTCGGAGGCTGAAGAGATAAGCTCCTTGAGGGCAAGACAGATACCTTGCTTCGCATCTGTATCCGTCGATGTCTGCAGGCCCTCCTCCAGAGTTGGCAGTAAAGTAGAGAGGACGCCATCGCCCGCCTTGCGAATCAATTCGCCGAGAGCATTACTGGCAATAACCTTGTGCTCCATATTGGAGCTTCCAAGGCGGCGGATAATGAGCTGGGTAAGAGTTGGCACAAGTTCCTTGAGGATGCGGGGGCTGGACACCAAGGCCTTCCAGACGCTGATTGCGGCGGAACGGACAGCGTTAGCCGTATCGCATCGGCACACGTAGAGAGCAGAAAGGATCTTGTTTCTCTTCTCCTCTCCGAGTGCCTCGCGGAGGGAAGCGCCAGCCTCCTTGGCACTCTCCTCATCCTCCTCGTCATCCTCAGTCTTGCCACTGATGCCTGTCAGGTTGAAGAGCAGGTCACCAACAAGCTCGACGGAGCTGAGACGAATGCGGTAACTATCGTCGGCCAAGCCACGTTCAAGCTCAGGAAGAAGTAGGTCGACGGCACGTACGGCGAAGTTCTTGACGAGCAGACGGCCGGCCCGAAGAGCCGTCTCACGAATTGACTCGACATCATCGGCAAGACCTGACAGAATGGGAGGAATAATTCTGCCCAAGTAGTTTGCAAAGCTGTTGCCGAAGCAGACGGGAAGGAAGATGAAGAGGGACATGAATCCTTCGCGAACAGCTGATTTTGAAGACTCGACGTTCTGCAAGATGGTAGGGAGTGTCTCTTCCAATCTGGTGGTACCCAAGCCGGCGAGAACCTCGCTGAGAGCCTGGGCAGAGCCGAGACGATCGCCAGCACCATTGTCTGCCTTGAGAGTTTGCATAAGGCCAGGAATAAGATCCGGCAGAGCATCTTCACCCAGCTTCTCAACTAGGGAACCCAGCGCTCGGGAAGCCGTAGCACGGGTAGTCGGCACCGGATCGACGATAGCAAGCTTAAGTCCTGCAACAAGGACTGGCAAATGAGAGACCAAATCCTTTCGCTCCGTAAGATGGGCAAGACTGCCAATGACTTGTGCAGCCTTGCGTTTGGTGTTGGAACGGTCGCCAAGGCCGCGTTGGAGAATTCTTGTAACCAGGGCAAGAGAAGGGGCGTCAAGGTAGTGAACAAATTGGACCTTGATCAAAGAATCCAGAGCCTCGTCAGTGTACTTTGTCGGGTCACTGAGCGCCTTCAGGAGAATGTCGACGAGGCTCTTGATCTCAGGGTTGTTGATAACCTCGCCGAATCTCTTCAAGCTTTTGTTAGCTGCGGAACGGACTTCCTTATGACTGTCATTGAGAACTCCTGTGAGAGGAGGAATGATATCGGGAAGACTTTGGGCTAGCTGGTGGGGGTCAAGGTAGGCCATAGCCCCCAGCAGGTCGCAGGCACCCTTCTTACTACGCCATTGCTGGTCGTCTAAGCCATCCAGAAGTGTAGGCAGGATCTTCTTCACACCATAGGAGCTGAGCTGGCCAAAGCATGCCTTGGCTGCAGCCAGACAAGAGTCGCGAACGTTGGCGTTTGCATCGCCAAATCCAGTGAGAAGCTGGGGTACGATCTGAATGACATAGGGCTCGAAAAGGCGACCGAGAATAGTGGAGAGCAGCTCGTACGCGAGGAGGGCGGCTTCTCTTTGATTTGCCTCCTTCTTGTTCTCGATGGCTCCTCTCAGCGTCATCATTATGCGCTGTTCCTTCAGAGATGAAATTCCACGACCCTGGACCAGGCCGGCCAGACCGTATGCTGCGCCGCGTTGCTCGGCGTACTTCTTGGAGGTCAGCAACGTTTCAAGGACCTGCTGGAAGTACTTCGACGATTTGTCGCCATAAGCCTGCACCAGTGGCGGCAAGCATTCCGCAATTGCGTATTGAACGGTCTCCGATGGCGTGCTGAGGGTTGACAGAAGTCGTTCGATGACGACGGGGAGCTTTGAGTCTCCCAGTTTCAAATGCCGAGCAAGAGCACCGTACATGATGATGACAGCTTCATTGACACGGTCAGAAGCCTCCGTGTTCTTATCTGGGCCTTCCAAGGTGCGCTCAAACACCTTCATCAATTTTTCAACCATACCCTTGCCATGAATGTCAATGGCGCGGATGGCTGCGTCGAGCATC